TAATGTGTTGCTATTTCAATCCTTAGGCATAGGCTGCGCAATTTCCCGTAATATTTTCTAGAAATAAGCGTATTCAGATGCTTCCAATCTTCACAGGTTTTTATGGTAGAAACCGATTTTCCAGCGTTCTATGAGTTCTAATTGCTGCGAATCTATTTTAGTCAGCTTTAAAATTAATTCAACCAATTGCTTCTTAAATGTTTACTTTGCGTTGAACATTTCAAGCATAAATAAGATCATTAGCTTCGGGCACCTGTTTCCTCCACCGGATTTAGGTTCCTCAACCGCTTGACCTACTTCTAAGCTAATTGCATTTTTAAATCTGACATTTTTTTTACCAGACTTTAAACTTTGAAAATTTAGTACAAGCGATGTTGTCCAACTAGGAAGTAGAAAAAAGCATGTCTGCCTAAATGTTTTTGAGGTTGGTTATCGTGCAAAAAATGTTGATTCAAATCATGTTGTCTCCTTTATTGGACACAGGATTTGAGTCAAAAATTGACATTCCCAGTCGATGGCATTCACAATAACATCGTACGTGAAAGTTTCTATTGATATAATAGCCTTAATTATTTCTCAACATTGGTCACTTCATTGAATGATTATCGTGTGCTAGATTGATACTTTCTTAAAATTTTGGTTTGGATTAAATAGTTCTCCTTGTCATTTATTCGGCAAGAAAGAAATTAATGCTGTGGTCACCCGTAGATAATTTAGTGGCACTTATTCGGTGACATTCACGCCAAGGTTATGCAGCTCAGGTAGAAATTTTTTCTCGCTAACCAGTTCCAAAATACGTGCCTGCAGTCCTAACTTTAAAACATCAATCCATATAAGATATTCTATATCTAATAAGCATTAAAAACCTGCCGACCCGCGTGCCATATTTGCACTATAATGATCGCCCCGACCTCGACAGTTCTTCAATTCGACATCTTGTGATTGAAGTGTGCTTATATTACTTAAAGCTTCGCTGCATATATCCATATGGAGCTAAAACTTGAAGAATTGTCCCCCTATTTTGATAAAATTCGTCCAGGGTTAGTATGATTTCAGTGGTAGTGGAATTTGTATATAGACTATTTAATTTGCAGGGCAGAGAAAACTTCATTAATGAAATTACCATGTTTCTGCGTTGGCTCAATCCGATACATATCCATTGGGTACAAATTCATAACAACAATAGTCGTTGTACGGTTTTCTGACGATTCGATAGTTATTTTTCTTGTGAGTAAACAATTGGTCCTCATGATTTATGACGCCATAAGATATCTGCCTCCCCTTCTGATACAATTAAATGAAGTTCCTCAAAATCGGGATTAAGTATTCTGTTCTTCCTGCTCCATTTTCAAGTGTTCTGCTCCTCATTTGTTTCTAAGACCAAATTCTCCTATGTGTCCTTAGTGTTTCTAAGATCTGAATATTCGTTTGTTTTTGTTACTTTAAGCGATTTAAATATTCTTCTCTTCATGTTCTCTTCTGCAACTTGAGTGTTCTGTTCTGCTTGTGTCTTTCCAAGACCTGAGGGTTCTGCTCTGCTTGTTTCTTTCTAAGACCTGAGTGTTCTGTTCTGCTCGTGTCTTTCCAAGACCTTAGTGTTCTGTTCTACTTGTATCTTTCCAAGACCTGAGTGTTCTTTTCTGCTTGTGTCTTTCTAAGACCTAAGTGTTCTGTTCTGCTTGTTTCTTTCCAAGACCTGAGTGTTCTGTTCTGCTTGTGTCTTTCTAAGACCTGAGTGTTCTGTTCTGCTTATTTCTTTCTAAGACCTGAGTTCTGTTCTCCTATCAGTTGTTACTACCTGACTGTTCTTCTTGCGTATTTGTAAGACCTAAGTGTTCTTTTGTACCTGTGTATTTCTACGACTTGGGTGTCGCGTTCTTGCTGTTTTTCTTTGACTCAAGTGTTGTTTTCGTGCCATCTAACACCAAGGCCTTTCGTTGTTCATGCGACTTAAACGGACTGAAGCGATTTGTTGTTATCGTCAGTTTGTTTAAGTTAGACCGTATTTTTCTATATTATTTAAACTTTTCCTCAATTACAAAAAATAATAATAAAATAACAAAAAAAATTTGGCGGCGCTTCGCCCCGCCAAGTGTTCTTCCGCCGCCGGCAAGTGTTCTCCCAACGTAGTTGGAGGATGGGTAAGAAAATGCAGGTATGCCAATTGGTCAAGAATGGCAATTGTCGAGTGGAAATTGTTGGATGTAAATTTACACCAAATCCTGAGAAATACAGAGGCGAAATGAGACATAATTTTTCTACGACCCCGACGTGCGACGGTGGTGGATACCCTCTAGAATCCGAGTCTCACTCTGCCTCTTTCTAAATATGGAAATGGTCTCGTGACACATTTCCCTTGATATTCCTCAACATGGATGCTAAGTTCTAAGATGATTGTCATTGGTTCAGTGGTTGACCCGTTGAGGTCATATTGGTGGGTGGGGTACTATCTACCTAAATTTCTAAATAGTCGTAGAGAGCTGAAATTTGGCATTGAAGTTAATAAAAGATATAATCGGAGAATATGAAACAAATTTCGAAAGAATTAGGACATCTACGACATTTACGACTAGTGGAAAAACATGAAGTGGAATTGAATTAAAATTACTCATTTATAATTCAACACATTGACTCAGGCTATATGAAGCTGCACTGCAGGTTTATAAGTTAATTTCGAACACCGTAAGTCACGTCTTTACCATTTGGATAGTTCTTATCGACGGAATAAATTTTGCAATCGTAGTAGGTGCACGTTATAAATCTAATTTCTATTATTATTTCTACATACAATTTCAACTCCGAATTTGCTTAGCAATTAATAAACTGAATAAACTGTAGTAACGTTAGAAGTAGCTCACCCTGTAATAATGATTTGGTTATAACTTGCTCCAAAGGTGCAGAAGAAAGCAACAAAACAGATACATAAGTTTTTTGCAATTATGCACCAATAGTGCAGAAAAATTAAACAAAATCGATCAATAATTATTATGCATCGAGGAAAGTCCAAAAATTGTGCATCACTGGTGCAGAATTACCTACCAACGATCACCGATAATTTTGAAAAATTTATGTCAAAATTGTCTAATAAAATCTGCCGAGTAGTATGCATTATTGGTGCGTTATGCATCAACGCCCCCAATTCTTTCGCATCATTTGGTGTTTCCGATTGTCAGATACCAACGGTGCTATAAATTTATGAAAAAATGGACCAGGGACATTTTAATTAGCATCAATTGATGCAAAAAGGTCGTTAACAGACAGACGGACAGACAGACGGACGGACAGGAGGAATTCAATAGCTCTCATGCTACGCAGGGTGAGCTAATAATATGCATGTACTTTATCTAATATTAGTATAAACGCATAAAAAACTAATGTAGCAAGTTAGTTGTGGAAATTTGTGATTTTTAGAGGGTCAGGGGCGCCTCATTGTTTGCCCAGGGCGCCAAAATCCAAGATCGGGCACTGATTCCTACACACGTACATGTAATGCCCAACCCATTATTAAGGGGTGAAACCCCTTTATAAGATTGATATGTCCGTCCGTCTGTCTGTCCGTCCGTCTGTCCGTGCGATAACTCAAGAACCGATTAACATATTGACTTGAAATTTGAAACATAAATAGTTAATACAAAAACAAAGGTCAAGTTCGAATAAGGGCATTGTAGATCACAACCTTTAAGGTCAAAAGGTCACTGAAAAGTCACTAAACGTTATAATTGATACATATGTCAATTTTAACTGAAATTTAACCCCGAATTTAATGGTGACCTCCGTTTTGACCTTAAAGGTCATGAAAGGTCACTTAGAGGTCACTGAAAGGTCACTAAACGTAATAATTGATACATATGTCAATTTTAACTGAAATTTAACCCCGAATTCAATGGTGACCTTTGTTTTGACCTCAAAGGTCACGAAATTGTTAAATGACTGTTCGTTAACTGTTAGCCGACACCAAATGTAAAATTTGATATATGTGACATATGACATGTCACCTCACGAATGTTATAAAGTTGTCGGTTTCACCCCTTCGTTACATGCGTTTAACGGTTTATTCATAATCATTTATCAGTTGCATGATAATTTGTTTAACATTTATCAGTTATTGAAGAAGCTGAAACTTTTATCAAAATTATACTGCCCGTCAAACTACGTAGGTATATACTGAACTAAACAAAAATACGAAAATGAGACACACCATTTACAAATATAAATACGTATTTATACATAATATTGTCATGACAATATGTGTATTCGTGCAGGCATATGTACATAAATACAGAGGGTGGTCCAAGAAGCTGTATAAATATTCCATAATTTTTCTAGCCCGCAGGCGGAACTTTATGGGTTCGAAACTTGCTGGATATGATGGTCCTTGTTCTTATCTTTAAGAATATATCGCTTTTTACCCGATAAAAAAACTTCCAGGAACTTTTCTACTGTGTTTTATTTTAACCCTTTATTTGAAGCGTTCCAAAGTGCGTGAAAATTCGTGAGTCGTCAAACGTAAAAATTGTTATTCCACGTCAAAACATCCGAAATAATCCAATCGATCAATGTCTGATAACCACCCAGGGAAGTCTTGATTTTTTATGACTGCAGAACCAAAATCATCGACGTCCGTTTTTGCGCACTGGTGAGATTTGTCCGCAGTAACGGAAAAAAGTTTGATTTCTCTCAATTCGTCGACATACTTTAGGTCATTTTTGTTATGATATTTCCTAAATCAGTTTTAATGGTTCTCTGGATAGTTGATTTATTGTATTCTAACAGTTGGACCGTGCTGCATTGGGATACTAGTCCGATACTTGGTAGCTCACGAAGAAGAGAACATAGTGAAAATACGTTACGTGCATGTGCAACGTTTTGGCGCAGAATTTACAGGCCCGACGGAATAGAGTTGCCAAATTTTTATGTACGTTCTAAACAAAACAATTACTGATTGATGCCTTCTATTAAACGGAATTGCATTTTAATATAGACAATGATTCGTTGAGTACATATATGGTCGCCGATCAAAGACTCATGCACCAAATTATTATTATACAAATAATATGGACATATTTATTTTTCTACATTTAAATTCGTGGTAAATTGTTTTTTATTTGTATTTTTAAGCTTGTCCTCTCGGATGTAGTAAATAAATACTCTTTAAAATTCAAAGTACAATGTGTAAATAAATTAAACTTATTCTCATATGATTCTTTGAGCCAAATGTAAATCTTTTACTTTGATGGTAACTCTCCTAGCGTGGTGGGCGCATGAGTTGGTGTCCTCAAAGAGATTTATGAGGTATGCCTCCGCTGCTACTTGGATTTCTGTAAGAGCAATGCGATTAAACCTCCGAATGTGTCCAGAAACATCGTGAAGTATGTACTTCCTGCAGCATAAATTGAGTTAACCTCTTGGCTACCAAAGTAAACGCATTTGTGTAGAGAAAGTAGTTTCATTTACTACAAAGGTACGAATATTTGTGTAGTATTTTATTTTCCGTTCACGGCAAAGTACAATAAATTACCTTTGACACCAAAATTTCTTAAAACAGAGTATTCTTTTGGTATTTAGTGGAAAACTCGATGGTAAACAAGTTGATTTTTTTTAGACATTTGTCTTCTGGAATTTTTGAAGTTTTCCCTATACCGACCAATGTTAAAAATTTATATTTCGTGTTTCTCGTCAAAAACACATCAAAAGGAAACTTATTGAAATTTTAATTGGTTGCTCTCAGGTGTATGTAATTATGAAATCAACATCGTACCGAAGGGAAATTTTATTATAAACTAACAATGCGATGACGCCAGCGGTCTCGCTCCGATTTTGACGAAACCACGATAATTATGTAGCATTAGATAAATGATGAAACACAAACTTAAGGTTTTTTCATCATCGGTTTAAATGAAAATATGACGAAATCCGTGAGTGAGAATTTGCATTTTACCATGAAATTCCTCTCGGAAAGGGAAAAAATACAGATTCTCGCTCACGGATTTTGGAATAATTTTGTTTAAACTGAACATTACGAAAAATCTTGAAGTATATACGTGTTTAATTATTTATTTAAGGTTAAAAAATTATCGTGGTATCCTCAAAATCGGAGCGAGACCGCTGGCGTCTGCGCATTGTTAGTAGTACGAAAGAGGTTAATAAATCTAAAATGAATATAATGAGAACATTGCTCACTCGGCATAATCGATGGAATGGTGCAATGAGAACACCAGTACTCTTCTGGTAATGACGGATACCTAGTCGTGCGACAATTCCAGGTCGGTAGCGGCGAGATTTCTTCACCCCACTTGTGCTTGGAACCTTAAGAGGAGAGCCTTTTCTGGGCAGCGCTTTTCTGGTTCCCTTTCCTCGAGTGGATCGTCGAGCTATGCGCTATTTACGTAATGACATGTAGTGAGATTAAAGTATTAACCCAAAGTATTTATTAGCATATGAGGTTAAAGAGAGATTAATTTTAAGTAATGAGATTTATAAAAGTAGAAAATATAAAAGCATGCAAGCTCACCTTCGTTCGAGCCATTTTTCTTTAAAACAAACTGTGAAATTTTGACATACATATAATTTATAATTTGAATTTAGGAGGAACACATGCTCGACATGTAAACAAAATTATAAGTTCCACTTAAATTAAAAGTAAGTAAGAGCAATGTGAGAAAAGCAAGGGTTCGTAATTTTTTGTGGAAATATTTATATCTGGGGATAATGTCGTATAATATGATTTTAAACGGTTGATTTGGCATGAGGACTACATTACCTGCTAGGAAAACTTGCTAATTTTGTTAACCGGAAATTCTATTTTCTTACATACCTTGACTTTTATGTAGATAATTGCAGTTATTTATGAATGACACAAGTCGCCGTGTCTAATTAAACAGTCGGGAACCTTCCCGTTTAAGTTGACACTAAACCATCCGAACGTCCGGAGATACATACATACATACATACTTACATACATACGTATGTGGAGGTATGACAAGCCCGTCATTTATATCTAATCACATATCCTGTACAATCACTAATCCGATTACGGACCTCAAACTAAAATGATCGGAATTATACTGCGCGTCAAACTGCAGAATAAAGTACAGATATGCAAATTAACCGGACAATGTATGTATGAATCACCATGCACTAATTTAGCCATGACTTGTTTGGGTAAATATTACAATTGTAACTAGCGTAAGCTAAAGACCATAGATTAGATTGTGATGTGTAATAATTCGTTGTAATGCCATTAGGGCTGTGCCGTCAGGACATGTCATTTACAAATATATATATTTATATGTCAGAAATGTCCAATTTGTGACAAGTATGACAAATTCGAATTGTGATAAATATCCAATTTGTTTGACCTTTAAATTTTGCACAAATTGGACATTTTTAAAAATTTAAATTGCGACATTGACATTTGCCATGTTTGATAGCGATCTTTCTCCATTCTTGATGGTGCATCACATTGCACAAATTAAAAACAGTTCGTTTGTATGTTTTTACTCGTAAATAAATATTACTCCTGTACTTAAAATTATTTCAAGTTAAGAATACATTGAAGCGATGAAAATAACGGCTTTTTATCAATCGATTCCAGCACTGTAATTGAGCTAAATTGAGGTTGATCAAGTTAAATTGACCATTAATTACTACAACAACTTGGCATAACACATACATACATATGTAGGCGTCTGTCTCAATCTTAATCTTGTTGACATCGATGGCCTGAAATGCACGATAAATATGTACATATCTAGTGATAAATTTTACTTGCGGAAATTTCATTGATTTCCGGACTCCCTCATAAATCTGCGATGAAATGAAATAAAAAAATTTCAGCTTTTTTATGTCTAAAAGAAACTGTTAATGAACGGCAAATGAGCCATAAATCAGCAGTAAATAAGTTAACTTATTTTCTGGCTAGAAGTTTTACAATTGTAAAACTTCTAGCCAGAAAATTATCAAGTTACAATTTTTTATGTATTTATTAGTAAATTGCCCCCTAAATTAATCTGGGATTGGAAAAATGCTTTAAAAAATTTGCACAAGTTTGTGGCGGAGTTAAACCAAACTCATTTATGTATACATAAATGAGTTTGGTTGGGGTTATATATAACTCATCGTCAAAATTATGTAACTAAATCTTATTTAATTCTCGACTCGAATAAAATCCAATGAAAAAACAGACGTTGACTTCATTCTGCACCGGGTGAGCTTCATACACACATACATTTCAAAGCGATCTTCACGCAAAAATCAAATACTTTCAACATGAAATTCTTTCTGTCCACCCTTATTCTCGCAATTTTGGCTGCTTACTCTGGTAAGATTTTTTATGAGGTAGATCACCCAGGGTTTGGTAACTATATAAAATTCGTTAATCCTGTACACGTAGAAAACTTTAGAAACTTTTATATGCAAATATTTCCAAAGAAAGTTAGCTTAGCAATTTTGTTTCAAAGTTCCCCCGATCAAGGGTGTCTTTTTATTTTGTGAAATTTTGTAAAATTTTTATTTTTTAAGTTATACTTACCAATGACTTACGTTAATTGCCTAAACTATTTTACAAAATGTTTATATTTCTGTTTGATAAATTATTGAAAAGGCGATTTTTTATATTTCATATTTGTGTACGTGCAAAGACCCACGTTGAGGAGGGAGTCGTCACAAAATTTAAAACTTACGAACACGCCGGGACAGCGGAACGGGGCAAGCTTTTCGACAAGCTTTTTGCCAACTACAATAAAGACAACTACCCAGAAAATACAACCGTCAGTGTGGGCGTGGCTCTGTTGCGGGTCAGCTTTGTAAGGAAAAATTTGAAACAACGTAATTGATATTTAATTACAGAACAATCTCTGTAGAACGCCCGACTAATCTCTACCCGAGAAAACGCTTCTACTTAATGTGTCTCGGTTGAAGTTAATAAGAGCCCTTTCTAATGTGAAATATAACGTATTATTATTCGTTGATGGAAATAATACACTTTCAGAGGTCGTATTGTTAAATGACAAACAAACTACTACTTTATTAAACAATTTTACTGGCTAATTGTCAACCCAAAAATAACTACTTTCACGACTTAAAATTCCACACCATCACTACTGCGTGTCTGCTTGGTAAGTAAAAAGAACGGCGTGCTCTCCATATACTTAACACACTAAAAAGAATAAAGAATAACCTCCAATCCAATCACACCGCTCCTTTCAACTCTGGGAATTTGAGACACTTTGTCTCCTTAACTTTTTACATAAAAATTCATACATACAGCTTTTAACATTCTCCCACCTCTTTTGTGGGAACAAAAGAACATACATACATATTACATCAATATTTACATAAATGAAACACTTCCAAAACGCACGGGCTTCTTTACTTCTCGTCCTTGTCTCGTTCTCTGGACTGGTTCCAATTCTGTCGTCGTCTTCAGAGCTTCTTGCACTGCTCTCACTTTCACTTCCGGTTTCAAAGTCTCGGCTTCCACTTCCGATGAGACTTCCAGTGGGTAAAGCCGCTGCAGTGGTCGAATCCCGATCCCGTTCAACGTCTTCACTCTCGCGAGCCTGACTTTTCCATCTTTTCCTGGCAGGAACTCCACAATCTTCGCCATAGGCCAGTCCAGCCTCTTCTTCCCATCAGCGCCCACAAGGACCACATCCCCAACGCGCAAATCTTCCAACTTTCTCTCGCTTGACTTTTGCACAAGGAGAGATAAATACTCTTTCCGGAATCTCGACCTCAATTCCTCTCTCAGGACGACAATTCCCCTCGACTTCTTCCGTAATTCGTCTCCTGACAATAATTCTGCTTCTGGGAAGGCGCTGCTCTTAATCTCTTGCAGGAACATTGCAGGAGTGAGAGGCACCAAGTCACCACCATTCTCTGTGACATAGGTCAGAGGTCTTCCATTGACGACCGCCTCCACCGAACACACACAAGATTGGAGCTGGTCATAGTCCAATCTACGGCTCCCCAACATTCTCTTCAACAAGTCCTTCACATTTCTCACTAGGCGTTCCCACCACCCTCCCCACCAGCTTGCCGTGGGAGGGTTGAACTTCCACTGGATTCTTCTGTTTCCGGTTTCTTTCACAATCCTTTTCCAATCCATTCCTTTAAACAGGTTGGCGGCACCCACGAAATTCGTGCCATTGTCACTGTAGAGCGTTGTAGGTCGACCCCGTCTTGAGATGAACCGCTCTAATGCCAATAAAAACGCCTCCGTACTGAGTGCAGTGACCAGCTCAAGATGTACACAGCGGTACACTGCAGAAGTAAACAAACAAATCCACACTTTCTGTCCATTTTCAAAAATAGTGGTCCTGCCAAATCCACGCCGGTCACTTGGAACACTTTCACTAAATTGACTCGATCGGCGGGTAGTGCTGCTGGCGGGACGTCCACTTTCTTTGCAGCAAATCTCCTGCACACGACACACTTAGAGATGACCTTCGTAATTGTCTTTCGTCCCTTCAGAATCCACACTCTTTCTCGTAAATGTCCCATCATAAATTGCGCTCCTGCATGACCATTCATGACGTGTTCCTCTCTAATCATTTGCTCTACTAAGGGATGAGACGCTGGTAGCAAAATGGGTCGACGGAATGCCACCCCGTGTTCACTGTGGAGAAGCTTGCTGCTGACACGGATGATCCCTTCGGTGTCTTTCTCCACCACCAAACCGGCGATCACTCCAACTCCATCTTCAAATGACTCCATTTGCACCAGCTTCAAAATATGTCTCTCCGCATCTTCAAATTCTGACACTGTCAAGTCACTCTCTTTATTTTCTACTGCTTCTCCTCGGTATCGCTTGACAAGTCTTTTCAGCCACGCCACATTTCGGACGTTCTTCCGGTAGGAGGATGATGCTCTCGCGTACCAAGGAGTCTTCTTTTCCTCGATATTGACCAATGTGGTCGTGGCACTTCTCTTCATTTCTTCTCTGACCATTTCTTCGTTTACTATGGCGTCTCCTGAGGGCCAATCTTCCTTCGGCCTCTTCAGCCAGATTGGTCCCTCCCACCATTTTGACTCTAAAAGTTCTCGAGAGTCGCATCCACGCGACGGCAGGTCCGCCGGATTTTGCACCCCCGGAACGTGTCTCCAATTTTCAGCTTCCGTCAACTCCAAAATATTTCTGACGCGATTCCCAACGAACGTCCCCCAGTCATCATTCCTCTTTATCCAGGACAGGGCGGTCGTTGAATCGGTCCAGAAATAGCTGGCTACTTCTCCCATGCCCAATGCTTTCTTTGTTGATGAGTAAAGTCGGGCTGCAATGACACACCCGAGTAACTCCAGTCTCGGTATTGTCGACTTCTTCAGCGGCGCCACTCTGGATTTCGCCTGAAGAAGTTGCACGGTCACTGCTCCATCTTCATTTTCCGATCTCAAAAATACCACGGCAGCATACGCGTCTTGACTCGCGTCACAGAAGACGTGAAGCTGCATATCTTCATCTTTCTTGACCTGCTGCCCCATAATCCAACGTGGTATCTCGATTTTCGCCAAGTAGTGCAACTCCTCATACCACTTCATAAAATTTTCCACAATTTCACTTGGCAACTCTGCGTCCCATTCCATTTTCTCCGCCCAGGCCTTCTGGAGAATTAACTTCGGCTTGAGCGTCGCCGGACAAGTGAATCCAATGGGGTCATATATTTTCTGCACGCACGACAGAATCCATCTCTTCGTCAGTTTCTCGGCTATTTCTAATTTCGCGAAGTTGCACCCAATGCTATCCCTCTCTCTATTCCATACTAGGCCCAGCACCATTGTTGTCGCAGTATTTCTAGAATCCTGTGGAGTGCAGCCACCATCGTCCCCCAGTCCGCACCCCCTCATGGCAGGGCGGCCGACTTCGGGAGCCCCCACGGCACTACACTCCCACTGTCGTAACTCCATCTTGGCGCTGGCCATAATCTCAGTTGCCTGTTTCTTGAATACTTCATATACTTCAACTGTGTCCACTGACGCCACACAGTTATCCACATAGAGAGAGGAGATCAACTTCCTTGCAAGTGACTTCCGATCCCCTTTAACCGAATCCAACAAATGCTTCAACACCGCAGCAAGGATGAAGGGGCTACAATTTACCCCGAAAACCACACGACAATGTCGAAACTCCTTCAACTTCTTCTTTTCTTCGTCCTCCCACCATAAGAAGCGGAGGAAATCTCGGTCGGCTGCATCCACACTAATCATCTGGAACGCCTTTCGGATGTCCGACACGAATCCAATCTTCTTCTCCCGGAATCTTAGCAAGATTGCCGGGATCAACTCAATTAAATTGGGGCCCTTCTCCATGCAGTCGTTTAGAGAAGGAGCTCGACCCACTTTACACGAGGCGTCGAAAACTGGGCGCACTGGCGTTGTCTCACTCTCTGGCTTGAAGACAGGGCGGTGGGGCAGATAATGCACCCCTGCATAATTATCTTCTCTTTTCACTTCTTCTATAATGCCCTCTCGAAGCCAAGAGTTGAAGATTTCGTCGTAACTCTTGTAGTCCCCAGTTTTCATTAACTTCGCCGTGGCCGACTCCAATCTCTTCAACGCCACCGCCTTGGCGCTATTCCCCCAATCCACGGCATCTTCACATAATATCTGCCGTCTTCTTCTCGTGACACAGATTTCTTGAAATGCTCTCTTGTTTCTTCTTCTTTTTCTTTTCGCGACTTGACATCGGCTGGATCTTTAATCCCGATGATTTCCAAATCCCAGAAGTCCGAGACACTCGCTTCACCAACATGGAGAGAAGCACATTCCATTGCTACTCCTTCCTGTCGCCTTCCAGGAACTGGACCGCTTAGGGTCCATCCAAACACGGTCTTGACAGCAAATAGTCCACAATTAAGCGGGATTGGTTTCCCTACTACAAGCTGCCCCCAGTGGTCACTTCCTACTAGCACTTCAATTTCTTCGCTGTCCACTCTGCTTTGCTCAAAATCGCTTAACCAAATTTTCTTTCTTCTCAATTCTTGCATCCACGGCCCCGCTGGAACGCGTGGAATGTTGCCACAAATTACTTCCGATTTTCTCAGATGCAACTCTTTCTTCACTGCACCGTCCAAACTCTCCACCCTCACTATACATTCTTTCACTTTCTTCGGCTCGGTCACAGTTCCGCCAAACAAAACATTTCGGGCCCATTCCTCCCCTACGACTCGACTTCCAATTGCCTCCAACGTTGATGACCGACCGTTGCTCTTTTGACTTCCTTCGTCAAAGAGAAGGCGCACCACACGTGACCCCATCGGTCCAACGACGCGGACCACTAGAGTTTTCAGGAGAACATCCTTCCGGCACGAATGATTTGAATTGTGGGCGTTGGTGGTTGGCCCCCCTGTCGACTGCTGCTCCTGAATTGCCCTCTGATTCGCCCACAGCTCAGGACACATCGACTTGCAGTGGGGTCCACGACACTTTCCACACGTCACTTTCACTTTACAATCTTTCACAGCATGTCCAAGTCGCAAGCACTTGAAGCAAGCTTTATTCTTCCTTATCAGTTCCTTCTTCTCTCCCAAATTCATATTTTCTGCCCGATAACACTCACTGCTGTAGTGGTTAGACTTACCACAAAACAAGCACAATTTGCTAGCTTGTCCGCTGAATAAGCCGGCAGCAGTGGCGACACTTTCTCTCTCCTGATGACTGTTCTTGACTTTCTGCTGATTTTCATTCTTCGTGTCGGCGGACTTCAATGGTACCATCCTGCAGGCAATTTTCACACACATTTTCACCCACTCACTAAAGTCCTCCAATGATGGTCTCTGTCCAGCTTTCACAACTTCCATTTCCCAATTCTTCCGGTCACTATCAGGCAGCTTCTCCACCAATTCATGAAGGAGCACCGGATTTCTCAAATGTTCCATTTCTTCTAAATTCTTTATAGTCGCCACCAGATTGACCACTGTCGTTCCAAAGTCAATCATGGTCTGCGGCTTTCCTTCCTTCACTGATGGCGATGCTCTTGCCTTCGCGATCATGCTTCTCACTATTATTTCATGCTGGCCAAACTTCTCTTCCAAAATTCGCAGCACTTCCGGCAACGAGTTCGGAGACACTAACAAACACTCGACACTTTTCGCCGCCTCTCCTCTCACACATTTTCTAATCCTTTCAATGTTCTCTGCATCTGTGAATCCACATGACTCTGTGGTTCGCTTGAAGGTGGCGACGAAGGTGGGCCACTCCTCCGGTCGTCCACTGAAGAGAGGAAGGTCACGACCAATTGACTGCCGCACCATCATTCTCTCTTGAATATCGCTCCTTGGTGCAGGATTATTCGAAATCTTCACCAAGGCTTGCAGTGACTGAGCGATATTGTCCATCGTAGCTGCTTCTTCCTTTCTTTGCGCTGATGTGGCCATCTCTTCTTTCGCAGCTGCGGCAACTCCTTCTTTCCATGCTTCAAATTTTCTCACTGTTTCGTCAGGGTCAACGTCACTGCCCTCGTCACTACTACTACTACTCAACCGTTGCTCTTCATCATCATCAATCTCGGCCAGAACTGCTTTCTTTTCTGCTTGCAAAGTTTCCAAATGAATTTTCAATCTCTTAATCTTTCCTCTCAGCCGGATATTTTCCATTTCATTCTTGTTTCTGAGGGCTACCATCTCCTCGTTGAGAATGATGATCTCCTTTTTCACATTTTCAGCCTCCTCGGCCATATAATTGGGATGAGTCGGATTGATAATCGCGCTCTTCCTCTCAATTTCATCTCGCACCGAACGCAGTTCACACTCGTGCACTTCCAACTTTTCCTCAAGTTCGGATACTTCTTGGAGCACTGATGCAATCTTTGCTTGATGTGCAGCCTCAGCTTGACTCCTTCTTTTCATCGCTGAACTCGATGTCGACGCCGTGTGATGACTCTTCTCTTTTCCACCGAATCCGAGTAGCCGTGACATAAATGACGGTCCTTCTTTCTTTGGGCTGGACGGCTGATCTTGATGAGCATCGGTCGGTTCAGATTCCGCTCCCACCTTCATCACCTCCTTCTTCTTTCTAGGCGTCGGCGACTTCCAACACGGATCCAGGCGATCTGGCGGTCTCCTGTTCCTGTCGCTCCTCTGCAAGTGGTCATCCTGGTCCTCCTTCATCATGGTGATCTAGAAGACTGGGACCCAACAGAACAACAATAATCAATACTTGTTCAAAATTATTCCCTCTTGGAACAACACGACCTCAGGATGCTGTACTTCGGGTACAGCACCGCAAAAACTCAGTATCTCCTTCAATTGGCAGGAACGATGACCTCCCAGCAAACCACCCGCTCCACGAACAGTCCTGTGCAGGATTAACGTCTGCTCCTTAAGGGTTGAGTCTCGAACCACCAACACTTCACTTCACTTCACAAAGAATCCGCACTTGTTGTGATAACTTCAACCTCGATCACGTCGAGGTCACCAAAAAATGTAGAACGCCCGACTAATCTTTACCCGAGAAAACGCTTCTACTTAATGTGTCTCGGTTGAAGTTAATAAGAGCCCTTTCTAATGTGAAATATAACGTATTATTATTCGTTGATGGAAATAATACACTTTCAGAGGTCGTATTGTTAAATGACAAACAAACTACTACTTTATTAAACAATTTTACTGGCTAATTGTCAACCCAAAAATAACTACTTTCACGACTTAAAATTCCACACCATCACTACTGCGTGTCTGCTTGGTAAGTAAAAAGAACGGCGTGCTCTCCATATACTTAACACACTAAAAAGAATAAAGAATAACCTCCAATCCAATCACACCGCTCCTTTCAACTCTGGGAATTTGAGACACTTTGTCTCCTTAACTTTTTACATAAAAATTCATACATACAGCTTTTAACAATCTCTCTCTGTAATTAAAATGTTTTAATTTGAAAGGATGTCGATAACGATGTGATGCGAATGGTAAGTTCGTGTAGATACAATTAAAAATTTGGAAGATAAATTGGATAAACTGGAAGAAATTCAAATTTTTTGGTTAAAGATTTAAGAAGAAAGTTTGTGTACAGCAAGGCCTGAATTGACACGTTGATTTTCAAGATAAAAAGCTAAATTTAGCGGGAGTAAAGGCATTTTGAACTGAATTCCTCGACCACGATTTTATGAATCTTGTTTTTATCCTAATTTGTCTATGCGAACGGTTAGTTTGTTAGTGTGTGTACAATATGGACCAAATGGACACATGCTAATTTCAAGAAAAATTTACCGGGAAAAATGAGCGAGGGTTCCTGGACCAGGATTTTTAGAATGTTTTTTTTTTAAATTTAGACCTAGACCGACCACCGATTTACTTGGGAAGAGTCTGAGCACGCTGTTGGGATGTTGCGCGTTCCCGCCGAAAAAGTGTGGAAACCAGATATTACCTTGTACAATGGGTAAGATGGCATAATTGCAAAAATTTAAATTTCAAAAATTAACCCTAATTTCAAATTTGATGATCCAGGGTGCAACCGAATCTGGATTGTTTTACAACGAACACGCTGATATTCTCGAACGGGAGTGTTATGGGTGACCCCCTGCCGACTTCAGTCCTACTGCAACCTGACTTTAAACCACGGTCCGTACGAGGAACAAATATGCACCCTTAAATTCGGCTCATGGACCTTTGACGGCTACACGATGGGACTTGAACTCCACAAGGATAAAAATGTAAGGCGCGAAATTGAATTTGACTGTGGTTTTTTAAGCGAGGCGTGTCATGAAAGTTTTTGACAAGTCAAAACGTGGTGTAGTGATCAAACAGAAGTATTAAAAATGAACATAACGTCGGAACAGGAAAAGATTTTTAAATTCGGTGCGTAACGTATGTGCGGTGTCATAGTTTGAAATTTCCCAGTGAGGGTAAAGCGGTGCAACCGGGGGAACACGAGACTCTTAACCATAAAATTTTCCCACAAGAGTGGACAACATTGTTACAATAGGTAAATGGTCCCGCCCCAAAAAATTGTTTAGTGGGACAACTTGATATTTTATCATTTTACAAAATATGTACAGCTAATTTGTAAATCAATTTTTGCTTCCGTTTATCGGCAGTTAATTCTCTGATTGAATTAGCTTTGAGGAATAAAGTGTAGCCAAATTTTTAGGTATTTCAACACAAACGTGAATAAATCCTTGAGTTAGCAGAAAGTCGTGCTATTTTGGTCAAACAAATCTACAAATTTGATATGCAGAGTACCCTGGTAGACGTGGAGTACTATCACGACCGGAAGTACAAGATCACTCAAAACACGGCGGTGAGAGAAGAGAAGAAGTATGACTGTTGTGTTGAGCCGTATTTAAATGTACTCTTTACCATCGGATTCCAAAAAAACCGGAAGGGGAAACCTGTGAGAAACATTGATGAGAAAAAATGACAGCGGATGTTACTGGTGGATAAATGCACCTCGTTTATGGAACGATATATGGACATTATGATTAGAAACAATTGATATTTAATTTTCGAAATTATTAAATTAAATTGGCTTGCTACAAGATTGTGTTGAACAATTTTGGAATGTGTATAATATCAGATAATAACAATACAGTAGGATAATAATAGAAAGAAGTTAAAAAAAAGTGATTGGAAGTCCCTTGTAAATGAAAATCAAATTTTGCTGCAACACGTAATTTTCTGAATTTGAAGAGTTAAGAACAAACAAATTGAACAGATAAAAATAAACAAATAATCGAGCTAGTTGTAATAAAAACTATACTCATTTGATTCCTTGAACTAGGTGGAAATTTTCAAATTCCACCGTGCAATTAATTCCTTTAAATCGTTCCGAGCCTGCTCATCCATCTACAAAAAAATTCATTTGTAATTATTTGCATATGTATCTTGTAAACCTCATAACTTAAGCTTTTACCGATAACCTAGACATATCGATATGTCGAATCGATCTGCACGACACGAGGGCATCTCTTACACGGTCAGTCATCTCAAAATTGTCAAACTCTGGAGACTTTTTAAACCGAAGTGATGTATTTTTCAAACCTGTCACAAAACTCAAATTTTAAGACCTGTTCTTAATTTTTACCGAAAAATTACGTACATCGCCACTCCATTAACCCTTCCATCACCGCCGCCGCAACATCCGGAGACACACCTTCAATAACGATCACCCCCCTATTCAACTCCCAAGATCGAAAGGATCCCATCGCTTCGGCCAAATCTGTCGTAAAAACCTCTGGATAAGGTTCCACTTTCAGTATAATCTTAAACTCGGTCACAGATGGGAAGATGTACGCAATTTTAGCGGCAGCTAGTATATCCTCCTTGTTACAATAGGTGCTGGTGTCCAGCTCGAGTGACATTACCGCCGAGTGGGAAACGTGACAAGTTTTAAACAGTTGAGAAATGTGGTGATGGCGTACCGATAAATGGGTCAGTTTGGGAACATGGGCTACGTCCAGAAAGTTCTTAAGATCATACTGCTCGGCATCATGGATGTTCAGGTGGGTAAGGTGCAGGGCGGAAAAGTTCAAAATCTAGATTTTGAATTTCTTAATAATTACAAACTAATCTGTACATATATGACGTAATATAAGTGATTCTCACCTACTTGAGCAGTCTCAAAGTCAGAAGGTCCCAATTCTAGCTTTTCTAATGAATTTGCAAATCTCTCAAGTATTTTGGATAAGGAGAAATCTATCCATGGAACGTAATAAGGATCAAGGTTTGAAATGCGGTAGGATTTGTTGCGGTCAACGTAGCGGTACTTCAAAATCTTCAACGTAGTGCCAGACAATTCCTAATCTGCACATCCATCAAACATAGACATGTTGAGCTCTTCAACTTTTGGAGAAATGTTAAGCAGTCCTTGCAGAATGGCCTTCTGGCCCACAGTTGGATAATGTGGATGACATTCACCCCACAGTTTAAAGTAAAGCACTCTCAGATTTGGGAAAGGTCGAATGTTTGGCGCGGATAAGCTGTCTGCGTTTCCCCAACCGTCAACAAGGATGGAGAATCGGTTCGGCAAGGTTCGGTGCCTTACCCCCGGTGATCCCCGGCCGACGCAGACTTGATCGCCTGCCGAGAGGTGGAGTTCAGTCAAAAGGTTTGAAATTGCAGACATGCTGATAGTATCCAGGGATTGTGGGTCCGCTTTGAGTATACGTCCAAAATTGGGCATGCAATCACAGTTGTAATCCAAGAAGATTGAAACATTCGTTGCTAGCTTAGGGTTGAAGACGGTCATGCTCTTAAAGTCGGAAAAGGTGAGGAGGCCTTTCCGTACAACCATAGGGGTGCTTATATCGGCCCAAACGGTGCAGACAAGACGAGCGGAGGTTAACGTGGTAAAATCCAGATGGGAGAATATGTTATCTATAATCTACAAAAAGAGTTCATACATACATAATTATCGCAATCAGCAGTCGAATATATTCCAGTTCAAAGTTCAATTTAAGCGGATTGTGATAAGCTAGCAAGGTAATAAGTGTTCACAAAAATATATCTGTAAGCTTTTATTTGGATAGCTTCAAAAACGCCAGCGACAAATCCTTAGAGTTGCAAGGTAAAATGGTTATAAAATTACATACTTGTCGAATTCAAGTAGCCATGTTATCAGAAACGGATAATGTTCTTAAGGTACGAATATGTGCAAACCATTTCTGGACGCCTTTTGTAAAGCAATAATAATGTAGATATGTATTTGTAACGTCAAGGTTAATACTAATGCCTCCTTGATGATAAAGTGTTGTCCATCAAATAATAAAATTGAGAGATGCTGACAAAACGTTGATGCATACATTAAGGGCGGAAAATAGGAAATTAGTGAAAATTAAATATGTATGTACACTTCCGAATTACCAAAGGATTCATGAGCCCCTTTTCCATCGCCGGATTTTCCATTTAGGAGAATAGATGACTAACCTTCTGTTCCAAGATGAATTGATCTGATGAAGGAAAATGAACCTATGTGCGTTTAATTGGAACCCTGAAAAAATTTCAAAATATTTATCAATGCAGTAATCGCTTCAAAAATCTAGACACATGTCATGATGTTTTTACCCGAAAAATACTTATCGCGAAACTTTTGTTGAGGATAAGTAATTATAATTGAAGCTGATAGTTAGATCAGAAATAAAATATGTCATGGTTTTCACACGAGTTTTGTAAACTGACATTTATTAACCTCTTTAAATAAGTACTAAATTTTAAATACTAAATATAAATACTAAATTAATTACTAATAAATACTAAATTCGAATAAAGGTTGCCTTGAGTTGACTTGAAATATTTAAAGATTATTTTAAGATTATTTAAATATTTAATATTTAAAGATGGGGGAAATCCGCCAGGCGAATTCGGTTATGTATCACATTTCTTGCACTTGCATTTGACCTCATTGACATTCGAAGTTCTAATCACAACGCAAGCGGGGATTAACAATTCTACTTAAAATATGTGCACTATGTACGAAGCAAGTAACTCTATGTAAAATCCCTACAAATTCTATTCTCTTATCCAATCTATCCAAATTGTTAAGTTTATTTACACCCGACTGCAGTGATTTGGCAAACATTACTCGTCAAACACCAAAGTTCTGTTTTTTACCTTGCTTTTGAGGGATTTCACTTCTTTGTAAATGATACAAGTCTACGTGTTGGGTACGATTAAGTTAATTAGACCGTAGAGTAGTTTTTGCGTAGTATTTATTTAATCTAACTGAACTGCATGGCAAGTTTGTGTCAAATGGTTTTCCCAAGTGTATCAAACCCTGAACTATACCTAATCGGTATATATGTATAAACATTCATACATATGTTGAGCGCAAAGTAAATTTTTCCTAATCATTTATCACGTCTGATAACGAAATTGATTCTTTTACCAGAATTATACTGCGCGTCAAACTGCTGAATAAAGCACGCAAATATGGCAAACCATTTACGTATCTATGTAATATTCTCAAACATTTCAAACTGGACGTGATTTTATCGGGGTAAAAATCACAAACTGATGGCTACAAATGAGATCATGACATCAAGTAGCAATGCCTACAAAAGTCCTTAAATTCTTCTTTTATAAGCTTCGAGCAATTTATTAGATATGGCACATGGCATCATTTTTTATAATAATACTCCACAAAAATTAGGTTAGAAAATTTAATATTTTAACGATCTCCAAGGTGCGAAAGGGACGATAGCTTTGAGCACACCTTATCAATTTTTGCCAATTTTTGTTAAGCTAGTTGTCACATTGAAAACACGTGATATAGCAATGTCATGAATATAAATATAAAAGTTTTCCCAAGCAAGAAACAGGAAGATGATTGCAAACCTGTTACGATTATATATCTAGGTTATTAAAACCCAAGATGTTCTCTCTCACTTTCCAGACTTGATAAGTAACAGGTTTGCTGTTTGACTCATGCAGAAGTCCTGAATCACTAGCGGGGTTCCATTGTCGATAAAGTTGCTGCCGAATTTGATCTTGAGCACGCCACACACTTTGATTTCCTCGCTAGCTGGGATTTCTTCCCGCCAAACTTGACCGCATGCCTGATTTGCGTTCGAAGTACCTTGATCGACTTACTGTACACCCAGGAGGCCATCGTGTAAGCGAACACGTTCGCCACCAAGGTGTTAAGAGAAAGAAGGGGGAAGATGAGAAAGCCTGGCATTGGTATTTCGTCATGCAGCTCAATACAAACGTATTGACAGAGGACTTGGATCATGGGAGGCCAAGTACTGCAACGGGAAGAATTCGAAGCATGAAGAACTCATTCAAGTGTTTTTCCAGAATTTGAGTACTTCGATAGAGTTGAACACAGGCACGTTGTTCCGAAATTGACTGCACGTTTCCAATCCGACTAAATTAGGGAATATTTTAATTTACCGTAAAAACTCAAATAGTAGCCGTTGCTCAAATAGTAGCCGTGCTCAAATAGTAGCCCTGCGTTTTTTCATAATTTTATAAATAGTGACCTTGCCCAAATAGTAGCCGTGCCCAAATAGTAGCCCTACTCAAATAGTAGCCTTATTTGAATTATAGCTGTGCATCAACTTAACCACACATCTCCTAGCCAGGTCATTTAATTAATTCAATTTTAATTCAATTTAATCGCAATTACATACAAAAAATCGTAGTGAACACGAGATTCGGCTCATCGAAGAAATTAATTAAGAGCAGATTTAAACAATAGTATTGTCATAGACTGCGATTCTAGGGGAGAAATTGGTGTTGTGATTAAAATTAAATTTGAGCTTGATTCTGGAAACAAAATTCAATAGCTGTGTGCAAATAGTAGCCGGGCATCTTTCCGTCATTTTATAAATAGTGACCCTGCCCAATTAGTAGCCTTGCTCAAATAGTAGCCGGGTTCCAGCCACCAATTTTTTAAATAGTAGCCCCCGGCTACTATTTGAGTTTTTACGGTACGTTATTTTCATATGGTTGACTCACCACCCTTCTACTGTTAAAATTCACATGTACAAAGGTGGTTTTAAATGTTTAATAGAAAAAATTGTTTAAGTGCAATTAGCAAACAAAAATATTGCTCACACAAAAAGGGACATTTATATTTACGAACTTGGATGCACAAATCCTGATATAAATAAACTTTGAGTCTGATTGATTTCCACATAAACCAATCCATTAAGCATTTTAACCCTTAATTTCATACACTAAGCTTTTCAAAAGTTGAAAGTAGTCGAGAATCGCGACAATTCCTGGAAACAAGATGCAGAAACCCCACGTCGTTCCAGATGTGGACATTTGCAACGCCATCCATGCTTCAAACAAGACCACGACTATTTCCGCTGGCGGCGACATCTTGCGACAAGATAATTCAGTACAATGGATCGTCGAGAGCAGGAAGGGCGGTGTACAAGGTTCCATTATCAGCAGGGCGATCACAGCGAAAGGCATGATGAATGCGGTGAAGTTGACCAAGAAGAGGTAGAAGTACATCACATTTGCTTCGAGGAATGTTTCGACACTTTCGCCAGCTGTGTTTTGTTCAAATTAGTTCAATTTGGCTATATTTTTCAAATTTTAATGTTATCAATATTTTTCCACAAGATTCTAATACCTTTAAGAAGATTTTTTTCGAAGTTGAGGATCGAGTTGATTATTTGTACAGGCGCCATGTCCACGCTCACATTGGATCCTGCAGACAGCATCAGCACGAATACAAGTAAAATCGGAAATCCTTGAAGAATTTTTATAACTGGGAGGCCACCAAGACTGTGGAAAAGCAAGCCCACGTACATTAATGTGATAATGTATTGGATTTGCGAGGCAAGTACTCGCTTTTGGCATTTGATTGGAACAAATTTCCCAGTTTTAGCGTCAAATTTGAAAGCTATGCTGCCAACGAGCCTGGCGAACTTGAAGTGTTGAATTACAAAGGGCAGAAATTGTCCGGTATACATGAAGATAACGGGTGCGGAATAACTGTAGGAAATTTTCTGGTCAGATTTATGTTTCGAAATTTCTAGAGCAGCAAATAAGTGAAGTTGATTAACTAATGAGTGGTCGACCTACCTAAATGCACTGTTGTCAACATCAAAACTAAATATGGTTACAAAAGTAGAATTCAGGTATGTTTGTACACGTGCCTTTCATTTCATTTACTTACCAATAATTAAACACAATGATACGCCAAACAGTTAATTATAAGCACATACATAAGTATGTATTTAGTTGAGTAAATAGCAATTAGCTAAGTAATCTTCAGCTTTACCCGTGAATATTTACACAGGCATTACTTACATATTTACCTTTCCGCTGGTTTTGACTGACTGCTCTCTTACAACTTGTTTCTATTTTTAAATGTAAACTTATACAGTTTAAGCGGATGTTTACCAAAGAATTTGTCGTCTCAACCATTAGTATCAAAATTTTAATTCTTGACTTATGATATAATCTTACGTTCTGAGCACATCACGAACTAAATGTACAAACATTACCCTCCCAAGTATCCCTCCTACCGCTCTGACAAATAATAACGCTACAGTTTTTAAAACTAATATGCGGTATCAATTCCAAAATAAGTAAACCGTAGAAACCCTTAGTGATGTTAACGTCAGGGTTCGGAAAAGCCTGGAGTTTTTCTAGCAAAACGAAACCCCGAAGGCTTCTCCTGGGGTTTTGTGGTTGTAGCTTATTTTGGGGCGGGTTGACCAAATTTCCTAAAATTATGCGGAGTAAAACTTATGGAATATTCGAATTCAGCGCGAAGTTCTAAGTATATATTTTCATACATACTCGAACCAGAATTGCCCGTCCAAGAGTTTTCGGTTTGAATTCTGGCGCAAGTCTTCCGGAGGTCAGGTTTCTTCATTGCCGCTGATTGTCCATATTGTGGTTAATAAACACTGCTGTCGCCGGTATTGTACACATTTTTTTTGTTACGTAATCTCGGTTTTTCATTCATAAATAAAACCATCACAGAAAAACTGGCAATCGAGACTACAATCCTACCAATGGTGGAATCAACTACGCATTTCTCTGAGCTAATTCATCGGCCCACTGATCCATTCCTGTTGCTGAATACGAGCATCACAATTGGGGGTATGCACACCATAGTTAAAAAAATAACACGTAAAGTTTATTAAAATTTTATTTATAGAAACCAATAATACTGCGAATTGGAATAATGGTTCCAACCATAGTGGAAGTTTCAACTCTTCCGTCCCGACAACTACCAATTTAACGATTTCGGTATTTATTAGTGTTTATATGCAACCAATCCCAATACCGTCTAAAGCCACGAGAACAAATTCGTATGCAATTCTTATTGTGTCACTTCTTAGACTTTTCCAGTTGTAGCAGCAAGAAAACGGAAAATGTGGAGCACCTATGACAAAATTGGATTATATGCATGCAGAATTACTAAATTACTTAAGAAGAATAATTTCTTTCATGATCGAGATCTTTCTACTATTAATAATATCATATCGAGGAAATTTGATTATGTATTATGTGATTCGTTACTCAGCGGAAAGTCAATATTTTATGCCAAAAACATTTAAATATATATGCAACAGGTTAATTAAGCAAATGCATTTGCAGAGTGTTGGATTTAGAGGAAGTTCTAGCAATAAATAATTATGATAATTTTATTACAATAAATGCATGAAATTTTTTCGATTTATTTTTTTATTTGCTCATTTCCATCAAATCATTTGTTTTTATTTTCAATCATCAACTTAAAATGATTAGAAATCACTACTAAAATCACTACTAAATTCTACATGTATATATGAACTCTACAAATGACTCATTTCGATAAAATCACCACTAAATTACTACTTTTTTTAATTTTTCGTTCGTTTACTGGCGGGGGCGTTTGTGGGGGGGGGATGCTTGGACTGCTGCTTGGACTGCGGCTTCCTGTGCCTCCTTTATTGCTTCAGACACAACTGACGAGGTCAGAGGCTGAACCGTCAGCATCTCATTCGGAATAATTCCGAATTCAATACATAATCAAATTTCCTCGATATGATATTATTAATAGTAGAAAGATCTCGATCATGAAAGAAATTATTCTTCTTAAGTAATTTAGTAATTCTGCATGCATATAATCCAATTTTGTCATAGGTGCTCCACATTTTCCGTTTTCTTGCTGCTACAACTGGAAAAGTCTAAGAAGTGACACAATAAGAATTGCATACGAATTTGTTCTCGTGGCTTTAGACGGTATTGGGATTGGTTGCATATAAACACTAATAAATACCGAAATCGTTAAATTGGTAGTTGTCGGGACGGAAGAGTTGAAACTTCCACTATGGTTGGAACCATTATTCCAATTCGCAGTATTATTGGTTTCTATAAATAAAATTTTAATAAACTTTACGTGTTATTTTTTTAACTATGGTGTGCATACCCCCAATTGTGATGCTCGTATTCAGCAACAGGAATGGATCAGTGGGCCGATGAATTAGCTCAGAGAAATGCGTAGTTGATTCCACCATTGGTAGGATTGTAGTCTCGATTGCCAGTTTTTCTGTGATGGTTTTATTTATGAATGAAAAACCGAGATTACGTAACAAAAAAAATGTGTACAATACCGGCGACAGCAGTGTTTATTATTGTCTCCGTTGTGGTCTCTGAATTGTCTTGCTCGGGATCAACACTTGGTTGTGTGGGATGTAAGGTTTCCGGCAAATAAAAATTGGTCGTCACTATTTTGGTCGTTGGCAAAGTCGTGAAAGTAGGTAATGTTGAAGTATACAATTGATTTTCAGTTGTGGTGGAGGTTGAAACCCGCTCTAAAAATGTCAAAATGTTAAAATAATGGAATAAATTGCGAAAAATCCCAGTGCATACCTGTTAAAACATTGTGCATTATCTCTTCTTTAACAATGATATTGTTTCCACTTTTAGAATGGTTATCAAATGCACTCGTCTGGGTGGTTGCTAAAAATTAAAAAACAACTTATTTATTCAGTAAAGAAACACTTTGTTCTCAGTATAAAGTGAAAACATGAAAATGAACGTACCAAACCTGTAAATTCTTTTACATGCAGTCGGATTTCGAAAGGTTGCCAAAATTCCAACCGAAATCTCGTCACGATGAAAACATTTCCGAGCACTTGAACTTGTTACTCCGTAAACGCAACCCACAATTTGAATGCATTGCACACAACTATCATGACGATAACATTCCGCATACGAATTTACGGTCTGCAGCACAACACAAATTAATATAAGCAAATTCATTGTCACTTTGTGTGTATCAATAAAACTAAGCAATAATCAATTCATTGTATGTGGAATAATAAATATCTTAAAGTAAATTTCTTTAGAATAAAACTGGACGTAATTCGCTTGGAATGTCAAATGAAGTTGGCCAGCTTCTGCGAGCCATGTACATTTAATTAAGCTATTAAACTGTGAAACTTAACATTATTATGCACATTTCATCATTGTAGTTAAATATCAATGTGTGGTTTTTTCATCTTGACATACATACTCACCATGTAACGCTCATATTATAATAAATACGCTTGACAGGTCAAAGGTCACGGCGCCGCGGTCACTGCGCTGGGGTTATCTGCAACCCCTGGGGGGGTCAGCCCCCAGCATCGCAAAACTCCATGCAAAAAAAGCTTGCATGCAAAAAATGGATGCATAAAATTTGCATGCTAAAAGTTGCATGCATTCGCTATAAAATCTATAAATAGAAAATGAGCGAGGGTTGCTTTAATGTCCTTACTTGAATATGTGACTCCTCGAAAATCTTGTAAACGGTTTAGCTTAACCACGCGCCGAGCACCCTGACACATCAATACGTCGAATCGAACTGCATGCCACGAGGGCTGCGTTTACACGGTTAGTCAATTCAAAATCTTCAAATTCTAGTGATTTGCTAAACCAAAGTGACGTGCTTTTCAAACCTATATAATAAAACACAAATTCGCAAATCTCTCGTTAATATTTACTGAAAAAATTTGTACCTTGCCATTCCTCTAGCCCTTCCAAAATGGCGGATACGGCCTCCGCAGACATGCCTTGAACCACGACCTGCCCCTTCGTCAAAACCCAGCTACGGAAGGCACCGATCGTTTCACCCAAAAATGCTGTGAAAACCTCCGTTTAAGGTTCTAATTTCAATTTCATCTTAAACTCGGTTACGGATGGGAAGAGGCGCACAATGTTAGATGCAGCTTGCACATCCTCCTGGTAACAATAGGTGCCCGTCACCAGTTCAAGTGACGTCACGTGTGCGTGGCCCCGCTGTCTAGTTCTAAACAGTTTGGAAATTCGGTAATGGCGTACCGACAAATGAGTCAGTTTCGGTAGGTGAGGAAGGTCAAGAAAGTTCTCCAGATAATTGTTATCGGCATCGTGGATCGTAAGATGGGTAACGATCGGGAAGGAAACGTCTATAGTCTACATTTCAAATTGGTGAGTAATTGGATACAACGTATATAAGAGGAATGTGGATAGTAATGCACAACTACCTTAGCATAACCTTGAGGACCCAATTCTAGCTTTTCCAAAGACTCCGCAAATCTCTCGAACACCTCTGAGTGGAAAAACGGTGTGTACGGTGGAGAAATAGGATAATCTGAGGGTTCGATAGGGTGAAACCACACGCTGTACTTCAAAATCTTCACCCTTGTGCTAGATAATTCCCAATCTGGACTTTGTCCAAACAAAGATATCGTTAGCTCTTCTACTTTGGGTGCAGAGTTGAGCAACCCTTGTAGAATGGCCCTCGAGCGGGCAGGCGGAGAGTGCTGATCCCTTGCACCGCCTAAGATAAAGCGAAGCACTCTCAGATTTGGAAGGCTTCGAAATTTTGGCCCTTTAAACGCGACGTGGTCTTCCCAGCTGTCAACCAGAATGGAAAAACGGTTCCACGAGTTATCCATCATTCTTCTGCTCCTCCGTTCCTGGACCGCTTCGAATTTACTTCCGGCCGAGAGGTGTAATTCAGTCAAAAGGTTTACAATTTCAGTAACGATGCTCCTGAAAGGTGTTGACCCTATTTCGGATCTACATCTACAAATGTGCATACAACCACAATTGGAATCCAAGCATATGGCAGTATTCGTTGCTAGCTTAGGGTTGAAGATGGTCATGCCCTTAGACTCGGAAAAGGTGACGAGGGCTTTCCGTCCAAGAATGGGGGTGCTTATGCGGGCCCAAACGGTGCAAACACGACGGACAGACGTCTTCAGTGTGCCAAAATCCATATGGGAGAATATGTTATCCAATATCTATAAAGGTTACTTGGCTTTCAGAAATAAGCATTTGATTATTTCATTTCCCAGCGGATACAAAACCATAACTTATGGTTTTGTATTTAGTTTTTCTAATATGTTTAATTTTAGAAATTCTGGTTCAACCTGCCCCAAAATCTACAAATTTTAGAGATTTTATAATCCATTCAAAATAACAAATTTGGTCCAGAAAACGGTCGTGGTGTGCCAAACTTTACCTGCAAAATGCCAAAATTCTGTTTTCTTACCTTGCCTATCAGAAGATTTGAATTATTTGCAACTGACACAGGTCCCCGCGATAGCTTCTATCAGGTTAATTAGACTAGAAAGTTGATTTTGCGTAGTATTTAAGTAGTTCAACTTGTGTTAGGTTAACTGGATGACAATTCTGTCCAAATATGTTGATGAACATATCTAACAATAACTACAGTTTGTTGGTATATACGTACATACATTTATATGCTAAACGCAAAGTTAATTATCGTAATCAATTACATATCAGCTCTGATAACAAAGCTCAGAATCATATGTGTAAATGATGCTCCAGAATAAATCACAAAAATGCAAATGGGGCAAACAACATACGTACGTATGTAATATCGTCATGCACTTCAAAATTGGAACTGATTTTATCCGAGTAAAGATAACAAACTTAAGACTCGAAATGAGATTATATCTAATGCCTAACAAATCCTTAAATTATATTTCTACCTATATATGTACGCTTCAAAGATAGAAGATATGAGTAATTCCCTTGGGATCATTTTTTAGGAGGATGGGTCACAAGAAATGAGATTACCGTGATTTAAGCTGAAACTTAAATTTGTCAAAGGGTTTCAAAATGCGAAAAGGAATATAGCTTTGAGCCACTTCGTCATGCTTTACTAGTTTGCTAAATTTGTTGTCACGCTCAAAACATTACTGATTCAGCAATAAAATAAATATATCTTAATATAGTCTTTCCAAAGTTTCAAACGTAAATCATGGTCAGATTGCAAACCTTTCACAAACATATCGTAACAAATTTGCAGCTTACGAAGCTATGTATATTATAAATCGCAGAAAGAAAGATAATATTTTCATCGGTGGAGGAAAATTTTAAAATAATTTTTGTATTCGTCCCCTAAAACTTATGCGGAGTAGCACTATCTGTATCTACACTTTTAAATTTTATATTCATTTATTAATGGCATGATCAAATTAATTAAAATTGATTTATTTTATAATTGTGGAACTCGCATTATACTCGAATGCATATCCACATTCTTATAAAATAAGGACTCGTCATCCAAGGTTTCACCACATTATGAATTTACCGCACTAGGAGTTTAGTGGCTTGGTCCTGAGCTCGATAGGTACCCTACGATATGGATCGAAAGCTATATAGAAACTGGCAAGTTCCATCGTTCAATTAATTCCTTTAAACTGTTCCGAGTCTTTTCATTCATCTAAACAAATTAAAACATATTCATACACATTTAAAAACCTTATAAATTATATTATTTTTGCACGTACTGAGAACCCTGACATTTCAATATGACGAATCGTCCTGCATGCCACGAGTGCATCTCTTAGACGGTCCGAAAATTCAAAATTATCGAATTCCGAAGGTTCAATGAGCCGAACTGCCGTGTTTTTTAAGCCTAAAAATTTCATAAAATACGAATAATTCGGGATCTGTCCTTAAATTTTACAGAAAAAAATCCGTACCACGCCATTCCATCAGACCTTCTAGCACGATCGTCATGATACCGGAACACATGCCCTCAACTTGGACTTCGCCCCTTGATAACCCCCATGCCCCGAAGCAACTCATCGTTTCCCGTAAACGCGTAATTTCCAACTCTGCGTGTGGTTCTGTTTGCACCCTCAGTTTCAGGGTAAATTCGGTCACGGATGGGAAGAGGTGCACAATTTTGGAGGCAGCTTGTACATCCCGCTGGTCACAATAGGTGCAAGCATCCAGCTCGAGCGAGGTAATCCCAGCGTGGGGAGGCTGACGAGTTTTAAATATTTGAAAAATGCGCTCACCGCGAATCGATAAGTGGGTAAGTTTCGGTAAGTATGTAACATTAAGAAAGTCCTCAATATCGTACAAATGAGAATAGTGGATCGTTAGATCGGTCAGGTTCGGGGCGGAAAAGTTCAAAATCTAGATTTTAAATGACGCAATAATTAAGGTAAGTCAACTTTGTAAAATATAATGCCTCCCTACGTACATACCTGAGTACATTCAAAACCCTTCAAAACGCAAACCCCAATTTCCAGTTTTTCCAACGACTTTGCAAATTTGTCAAACATTCCAGAAATTGATGAACTTGAAAGACTAGAGAATTCGTTAGAATCTACCAAAGCGCCAAACTTCAAAATCTTCAACTTGTTACTAGATAATTCCAAATCCGGGGCCAATAATAATTTCTCATTCGTAAATATGCTGAGCTCTTCGAGTTGATGGGCAGATTTAAGCAGGCCCTGTAAAATAGTCTTCAAGTGGCCTATTGGATGATCCTTGCCGCGTTCATCAGACTGGACAATGCTCAGAACCCTAAGATTAAGCAGGGGTAGAAATTTGGGGGTAATCTCGTCCCCCCAGCTCTCAACGAGGAAAGACAATCGGTTCAAGAAGTTGGGCGTCTCCCCGAACTCTTCCTGCCCAAGCCCGTAAATATTTTCTGTCCAGAGGTACAGTTCAGTCAAAAATGTTGAAATTTCTGGCATAGCAGATGGCTTCAAATCGTTTCTGAATCTACATCTACACTTGCGCAGGCATTCACACTTAAAATCCAAACATAAGGAAATCGTCCTTGCCAGTTTGGGGTTAAAATAAGTAACGCGCTTAAAGCGACAGAATGTCACGTGACTCTTCCATCCGAGAAAGGTGGCGCCTACATTGGCCCAATCTGTGCAAACGGGTCGGACAGAATTCTTCAAGGTGGTAAAATCCAGATGTGAGAATATGTTCTCTAAAATCTAAAAGAACATTGATGTCAAATTTAAAAAAACCTTTGATTTAATCAAAGAGAAACCAAAATGTTCAGCGTCACACGAAATTCCTATGACGTTGAATTGACATTATCAAAATTCTCGAAAATTAAATAATCTGGTCTTACCAAAGGATTCATGAGCACCTTTTCCCAGGCCGTATTTTCGACTTGGTCAGAAATATCCATTCCAGCAAGTCTTTCACTTATTCTCTCACCCATTATGATTTCCTCTAATAAAGAAATACGAACCTTTGTTACCGAATATTAGAAGTTAAATTTGAATCTTCTCTTAACGCCAAATTCTACATTCTTACCCTTGGTTATCCGATAATTGTACTTATAAGGTTATTTTACGCAGTTAAAATGTGAACGTTATGACAACCTAATGATTAATAGCTTGCCTATGTCTTGCGGTGATAATATTTAAGCCTGAACTAAACGCTTGCTGGTATACAAACATGTAGTCATTTCTAATCAGTTATCAATTATGATAAGAAAGGTCGAACTTTATCAGAACCAGACTGCGCGTGCAGCTACGTAAATACACTTGAAAACTTGACATGATCGTGTCAGTATAGTAAATACAAAGTGAATACTGCATAAATATTTACATAATCATCACTACATAAATAATGCCTGTATAACAAACAACAACTCTTGAAATTCTGATGCCAAAAGCTTCAGGTGCTTTTATCAAGGGTGTGGCTATCATCATTTTGTAGGATAATTGCCGGAAAATTGTGTCGACGACCGTTATTCAATTCTAAATATGTGCACTTATGTATGTATGTATGTATGAATATTTATGCAAAAAGAAATTTCAGAGTGATTTTAGAATTACTCAGCTGTGATATGCATCAATAAAATCTGTATTAATATTTAAAACATAAGTTAATGTGGTAAGAAACACTTACGAAAGGAATTGATTTTTTGGTCGAGGTTGGGATTATAGTTAAGCTATGTACATTAGTTGAGCATGTCAACGCCCAGTTACAGTGGGGACACCACGTGAAAATAGCACAAGGACGAAGAATACAATTACCAACATGGTAACAGACCTAAATGCCATTACCGGTTAAGTGATGATTGTCACCAGATTTTTTACTGTATTTCTTACTTAATGTATGTACATATTTACTCATACAAGTTTTGAAGTATTGGTACTGGAAATTTAGTGCTGCGTTAAAAGTGACAGATATTACTGTTCGTGATTTAAATTTATATATGTACTAGCGTGATCCAATAGTTTCCATATACATACGTACATACTAATATACTTACTTGAAAGTTATTAATGACACGGCCAAGTTAAACATTGAATTATTTTATATTTTATACATAGTTGTAGGATAACATGATACTTTCCCATAAAATGCTAACTTATGGTTTCAAGGATTCGAGCTTTTAGTTCGCGGTGGAATCATCGGACTCATCAGTGGACTCATATTGTCTTATGTTCATGACCCGAAGGGACGTATTTCTCATACCTACATACGTTATAAAAAACTAGTTTTGGAATACCTCATCAATTTTTAAATAGTTACCTCGCCACTTCCTCAGTCTTTGCAACACTACCGCCACGATACTACAAGACCTGCACTGTATTACGACTTCCCCCCTCGCCAAGGACGAAAGGAATCCATGATTTCCTCCAAACGTGACAGCGCCAGTTCTGCACGTTTCTTTAATTTCAATTTCATCTCAAACGCGGTCACGGACGGGAAGAGATACACAATTTTTGAGGCAGCTTGTACATCCTCTTCTCCGCAATGGGTGCTGATATCCAACTCAAGCCGTGTTACCCCGACGTGACCCAGCTCACAAGTTATAAACAGTTGGGAAATCTCATCCCCGTGTACCGAGAGATGGGTCAGTTTAGGCAGGTTAGTAAGGTGTAGAAAATCCTTCATGTCATACATAGCGGAACGATAGATAGTAAGGTGGGTAAGGTTCGGAGCGGAAAAATTCAAAATCTAAGAATGGTTATAAATTATGTCATAGATATTGGATTGAAGAAAGCAATTATCTGGGAGTGTAATGGTGAAAGAAATTGCAAAATCTGAGTAAAATTGGATTTTTGGCGTGGATTTGAGTGAGTGAAAACTGGTGTGAAAGCGTTTTTTGGGCATTTTTGAGTGGGTGTGGCGGGCGCAAATGTGGCCATGGAGTCAAACCACTTCAGGGTTCTAATACACTCATGGGTCCCTACCACATATCCAAAGGGCATCAGGATCTGTTATTATCAACCTCGCAAGCTCCCCTCCTCAGGGGAGTGGTCCGATTGACCTCAAAAGTTGATAAGATACTCCCCTGCGGCAATTTGTATGATGCCGCAAACCGATTTCTATCATACCGTTGCTTTCTTCCGTGACACACAGAAGGACAGCCGGATGGACAAAATCTTGGCATAAAGTAGCAGATGGAGCTACTTATGTGTAAGTAGTTGGAATTTCTTGGAAACGAATAACAACTTTTCTTAAAATTTCTATCCATACTATATATCATTAACCTTGCAACAAGTACATATGTAGACATTCAGGATGACGTGAATCCTCCACTTTATATTGTATATGTGTATAAGTTAAAAATAAATTGAAACTAACGGCTTTTTGTAAATTGATCTACTCGTCTGATTAAGCTCAATTAATATTTATCAAGTTAAATTAAGTACTATTTTCTGCTCACAGCACACACCCTCCAGAAGTCAGCACATTTAAAAATAATGAGAATGGATTCATTACGATTTCCCATGCATAAAGTTGTACAATAACTTGATAAAGAGTAACGTTTAAGCTTGATTTAGTATAGAATTTGCTTCTCAAAAGCGTAACATTATTTTTAAGAGTGCACATATCTCACTCTGACGTCAATTTCGGCACGAATAAAACCCAAATGAAGAACAGACATTGACATTAGTCCGTCGCCGTGGGTTGGACAATTCCAAGGAGATATTTGTAAATAAATCGAATATTTTCAACATGAAATTTTTTTTGTGGGCCGTTACTCTGGCAATTTTGGCCGCTTATTCAAGTAAGATGGTTAATTCATGCTAACCTTTGTAACGTTGTAATATCCGTAAATTCATAAAGTTGTACAAAATAAAAAAAATATATTTCTGAAGAAAAATATCCTACCAATTTTGTAAACTTGCTAAGATCTCACTATTTTGTAAAGATTTGTAAAATTGTTTCACGGATTTTTGCAAAGTTGATAAAGACTGCGTCAATTGTTTCCATAGTTTAAAAAAATTGCAAAATTCAATTTATGTATGCAGAATAAATTATTAAAACTACGGCATTTTTCTTATTTTACAGAGGCCGAAGTTGAAGAGGAAGTCGCCACGAAATTTAAAACTCGCGAACACGCCGGAACCGCAGAGCGCGACAAGCTCTTCGACAAGCTTTTTACCAACTACCACAAGGATAACTACCCGGAAAACACGACCGTCAGTGTGGGCGTGTCTCTCATGGATGTCAGCTTTGTAAGGGAACCAAATAAATTAAAATTCTTGCTAATGACTAATTTTTAATTTTTAAAAGGATGCCGATAACGATATCATGAACACAAATGTGTGGATGCGAATGGTAAGTTAGATAAGTGTCGAATTGGTACATTTTGACTCAATAAAAATAAAAATTTCCCCCAGTTTGTATTTTTCTTTCCTAAATTTAGACCTGGACCGATAACCGATTTACTTGGGACGAGTCCGAATACCACGTGGGAGTGTTGCGCGTTCCCGCCGAGAAAGTGTGGCAGCCCGATATTACCTTGTACAATGGGTATGGAATTCCGCGGAAATATATTTTTTCAAAATTAGCGCCACTTATATAGAAATCTTGTTTTACAGCGTGCAACCGAATATGGACTGTTTCGATACAAACACGCTGATCTACCCGAACGGCAAGGTTTTGTGGGTGCCGCCCTGCCGGCTGCAGTCCTACTGCAACCTGACCTTAAACCACGGTCCGTACGAGGAACAAATCTGCACCCTGAAATTCGGCTCGTGGACCTTTGACGGGTACACGATGGGACTGGAACTCTACGTGGATAAAAATGTAAGGCGCGAAAATTGAGGGGGGTTTTTCATGAGAGGGGTGCATTGAGGTTTTCTGTGTGTCGAGTTTTCATGCATGATGTCAATTTCAATGTGTCGTTTTAAAGCATGCAATTTTAAGCGCAAGACACTGCACGAATTATGCGTCATCTAGCGACGCGCCCTATGAACTATAAATTTGTGTGGGGATGGCATAGTTTATTGCGCCTTGCATTTCCCGCACGTCAAAAAATACTTTTCCCACATTTCCAGCATGCTAATTTCTTTGAGAATATTTTTTTTACAAATATGTTCAAGTCACACTATTTATTAATTTTCAAGTCACAAAAATTTATAAATGTGCAAACTTATGTGCACGTGTCGAATTGGTAGTCATGGTTACCAGAAACTTGCGATAATATGATTTTTTTTTAATGTATAAATATAATTCGCAGAATACTCTCATCGACGTGGAGTACTATCACAACCGGAAGTACAAGGTCACTCAAAATACGGCGGTGCGAGAAGAGAAGAAATACGACTGTTGTGTCGAACCCTATTTAAATGTCCTGTACACCATCGGATTCCAAAGGAAACCGGAAGGAGGAGAAACTTGCGAGAAACACTGATGAGCCGAAATGAGGCCGGGTTTTACTGATGGACGTGTGGGCGTGTTTAATGGAATGAAATACTTTCTTAATCTGATTATAAAAAATTAATAATTAATTTCAAAAATTGTGAAACTATTTTTTTGCTATAAGATCGTTGTTGAATAAATTTGTAAACGTTATTAATATGCATCAAACACTTTGGATAACAATGGTAGGAATTAAAAATTGATTGGAAATTCCATGGATTCAAAATTTGCAAAAATTCAAATTTTTCGATAAATTTTTCTCAAAAACGAACCGGGCTGAGTTCTTTTCAAGCCAAGCTAAATACTCGGCTCATCCTGAGTTAGAATTTTAACGAGCCAAGCCAGCCTGAGTTTTTCGCAAACACTACAAAATGTTGACATAAAAAATTGAAATGACAGAAAGTGTACAAAGTCATATTTCTATTAATTAAGCATGAGAATGAGTGACACCATACTCATGTAAGTGATATAAATATGTCAGCATTGCTATATTAAAATTGTTATTAAGTGCATTCCATTTAGAATGTTATTAGGTATCTATTTAATTGAAGAGAGAATATATATCCCACTAGATTAATTTAGTGGCTTTAATTTATTTATTTACATTTATTTACACCCTCTAAATGTCAAACAATTTGACTTTGCAGATCAAAACTTGGACGAAACTAACTCCAATAGTTTGTAGAGTGGAGTTTTTGTACTCGTATTAAATTTGTTCGTGAATTACAGACATGCCGCAACGGTCGATTTATTTCCAACACAAAATTAGATTGTAACTGGTACAAATAAGACGAGAAGATTGGGTTAACTAATCTCAGTAAAGGCTACGTAATCAAGTTAAATTGGACATTTTTTGCTACCAAAGTCGAAAATGACTTTGAAATATGCATAAATATCTGTCAAGTTCAAACATCTATTCTCCAATAGGACGATAGGATGACATGAAAAACATTATTTTCATTGCCCTATGCAGTAGAAAAAATCTATATTATAAGCTGGAAATGTTTGTCTGCAACGGAAGTGAAAGTAATTTTCCGTGACGGAAGTAAAAATGGAGAAAGTTTCACTTCCCTCGCCAACAGGCATTTCTAGCTAATTATATGGTAAAAAATCATTCGCAGGAATTATGAACAATGCGACTTAATTTTCACGAAAATCGAATAAGCCCTTGCCCGGCGGGAGACGGGCTTATACACTAGTGTATAATGACACATAACACAAGCATATCTGTAAATAAATATTCATCAACTTCTTAGAAGTTTTTTTAGAAGTTTGAAACTTCAAGTTTCATCTGTCGAGAACGCCGGAAGGAAAAGATATAACCAAATGGACTTTAATTTCAAAATTCAATTTCAAGATTTCTCATAAATTTGAAACTGAATAAGTTTGATTTAATTAGTAGTAAAAAAGGATGAAAATTAATCATACGCTAAATATGTACAAATTCGTTCACTCTGTTTTATTCACAAAAACTAAAATATCTCGGATCACAATCTTTAACGCGAAAAAGATAACGACAAAGGCGAAGAGCCCGCCAACAATTAAGATAGCAAATTTGCATATTTTATCCGTGATAATTTTCATGCGTGTTTCCTGTTGTTGTGGAGCGATTGTGGCTCTTCGTGTTTGAGCCTCGTCGACTTCCCCTTCTTGAATTACTGCGAGTCCCGCCGTGACCTGGGGGCAGGTCATGTTTATCCGGCACGAAATAAGGGCATCCTTTAGCTCCGGACTGGATTTGTCCCGCGGAACGGACCGGGTTTCTAGATCGACCCGATTCACCGTAATTCGGTACATTCTCGGATCACTGGAACAAATCGTGCTCCACATTTTGTACCCGATCATGTGACAGGTTTTGTCCGGCGGGAAATTTAAATCGAGGTGTAAACTTGCCACGTGGATTTTGAAGTGGTCAAAGTCACCACTTTTGGCTTCGAAGGAAAGGTCGGGTTCATACAGGACTTTTTGCGGGGCCGGGGTTGTCGTGGGGGGCGTGTTTTTCACATTTTTGTATAACGCTTGAAGTATGTTAGCGGTTAGGATGAGGACTAAAGGACCCGATTTTGGGTGAGGGATCAGGATTGTGAATTTGTGGCGTGGGCCGGTCCGACGTTTTAAGAGTTTTACGGCGAGTTGGAAGTTTCCGGCTTTTTGTAATCTGCATTTATGAAAAAAAAGTTTTTGTTTGATTGGGATGTGTAATGGATTGCATGTAAATCAAGTCAAGCTTGATACAGATAAACATGCTTAAAGTATGAAACAAGGCTACACTATAAATAATTTGGGGACAAATCGTCACCCGCAGACATCCGCCAATCAGGTTCTATTTTTGAATAATGATAAAGGAGGCGTTTTGTCACCAACGGAAAATAAACCAAAAAGTCGAGCACCACATGACATGATTATTTAATTAGTATTTTCATGTAAAAAGCCCTGGTGTTGGGAAAATAAAAATGTTGATGTTCTAATTAAGACCTCATGCGTACCTATTTGATACACGGGTTTTGACTATTTTCCCTTGGTAATAAATAAAACTATTTAATCACTGAAGAAAAATGGGCACAATTTGTCTTCAAATTATTTTGTGTATAAATCTGAAGTCGATAAGAGTGTAAGTAGGTATGACACTCACTCTGCGTATGGTAATCTGATTTTACTTCGTGGTAAAATACTGCGGTCAAAAAAGGTTTTGAATGGAAGCCCAACACTGCGTAATGTTTGCAATGTTTGATACGGGAGTAAGTATAAGATTTTGTGCAGCAGCTGAAAAAAGAGAAAACACGATTGTAAATAAGTATTTACTTTGGAAACTTATGTATTTACATTAATTCGATAATCGATTCACGGCGACCTATGCACATAATTAAGTGAATCGATGATGTATCAGTATTTGTAATCTGCGTAGCTTTTATACAAAGTCAACTTTTTCGAATTAAAAGTCTGTAGATTTGTAAATTTCATAACACGTTAAATAATAATACATTTCATAATAAGACATTTGTGTGAATATATTCCAACTTGTGGAATCGTTTAGAGTTTAATAATATTTATTACGAATATACGAGTGTACAGATGCTGTCACTGTATAACAAATGTGCATACATATGCATGTAAGTATTTAATTCTAAAAAATAAACACGCGTTTAATTTACGATTTACACACGTGTCGAGTAAAAACAGGCCAATAAACTGCATAGCAACCTCATAAAAACTGTTCCAAGTTACACAATTTAAATCAGCCTAGAAATCTTATTAAATGTAAATTCACTCAGGCTTCCGTTTACAATTTCTGAGATGAATTAATAACTTTGTACATAAACTTCGCAGATTCTATAATATTACAAACCAGTGATTAAATTTGCCCATTACGTTCACACTGTATACTTAAATACTTAATTATCTTACTACAATTAAAGTGAGTACTTACATGTGGTGGGAGGTCGAGTAGATTTTTCTCTTCCGGTAAATTTGTGGAATGCATTTGGTGATAAAAATTTAAGTAAAACAAAATTGATCAGACAGAGAGAAGTGTGCCGTGCGATATATTTATTGCGAAAATTTGGCTGTAGCCAAGTCTTGGTGTATCAGAATGTACGCGTGTACGTACATATACTCACAAATTTTGCGAAAATGTATATATGCATTTTTTCTGGTTACATAAGTAAGTCGGGGTCGTGCGGTTCGTTTGGCAAAAGTTTGTCATTTTATTAATAACTCGGTCCGCAAAAAGCAGATTGTTCCAGCTCAGTGAAGAATGGATACGTGCATGAGTGATGGATGTGCGGAAAGTAGGTAAATGAAGATGTAAGTGACGCTTTGTTTCCGAGCAGATGTGCATTTCTCATTTTGAAGAATATGCATGCTTCCTTTGTTTTTTGCATGCTTTATGTATGTACACATTCTTATGTATGTATATAGTGGTTAGGTTTGTTGAAGAAGTTTTCTCGGATTTCGTTGTTTTATACTCTAAATAAAAATAAGTGGAATTTCCTGAAGTTTGAATAAAAAAGAGTATGGCACAACCAACGTTGTGCAAAATTTATCCACCCGGTGGCCAAATCTTACGCAACTTTGGACCAATTTTGCATAGCGGTTGGATAAATTTTCCCTTATGTTTCTGCCATCCTCTTTTTGAATTAAGCTTGAGTAAATTTTAATCATTTTTATTTAGAGTGTAGTTAATTAATGACATGCCATGTTTAATGTATTTTAAATAGATACGTTAAACATTTCCAAGTAAAATTAATGTGATAATTTCTTTAGAGTTGATAAACGTTTAAGTTTACATCACTGCGAACCACTGTGCATGTACATACATACATAAAGATAAATTTAAGCGTTTGTTTATGAAATTTGTATTGACGGAAATTTATTTATTATTCACATAACATTCTGGATGTATTAATGTCTCATCAATTTTATGTACGTGCGACTCGTGTAATTAATTTGGAAATGTGTTTATTATTTTTCTTTTATGATGCTTTTAATGATCTGTATTTATAATTGTGTAATTGTGTATTTATAATTGTGATGATGTTATTACAGATTTTGTATTTTTATCCCATTTTTTATTATTATGGTTGTTTTGATGCTTTGGTAATTGTAATCATGTTTTCGATTTAATAATTGTCTCAATTCTGGATGTGCAGGGGTTTCGATATGTGTATGTGTTAGCCATTTAAGGTTATCCTAAATTTTGGGTTCAAGGTAAGCTCAGAAGTGTTTAACTAGCAGTAATTTTAGTGAAATATGTACAAGTTATTTCAGTCCCCAATCCTATGTAAACATTGTCTTTGTCTGCCAATGTACATATTAGATTAGCATACACATGTATGTATGTTAAAATTTTCCAATACTTTTGTGCATATTTGCGCGAAACATTAGAAGTAAATATGCCCCCCGTTTTGGAAATATTGTAGATGTTGCCTAATTATAACCATGCGGGAAACGACGGCTATTACCAAATTATGTAACACGAAGTGGGCTGGGAACTGATATGACTATTCAGTTGCTTACAAACAAATCTTATCGCAGAATACTCTGTGAAATACACTTATTTAATTGCCTCGAGTACACTAACAAAATTTCGTATTTACACAGTTAATATGTCTTGTCTGAAACACAAAGTAATAAATATTTGACCTGGTAAATGTTGGCAAATTGCTTTAATTGCTATTGCCAATGTTTAGCTCGCAACTGGGAGATTTATGTACACTGCACTGATTGCGTAATCAGTGTACCTGAACTCGGAGTACGTACAACTAGTTCCTTACATACAGTTAAAAGACCGGACACGGTGTTACATGACTGGATCAAGAACAGGGCAAACATAAATATTTAAATGGGGAAATGGATAGTTATATAATAGTTACACCATAAGGACCAAATGTAGTTTGTCAATTATGTTATAAACTACATTCGCGACGAACCGCCACAGATGAGTCTTTTCCTTAGAGATGACTACAAATATCTTTGATATTTTGGTACAACAATATTATTATTTCAACCATGTTTTACATAGATTGATCTTTTTGTCCTGCTTATATGAACTTGTCCATGTTGCAATCGTAATTACTTGTGGATATATCAGTATACCTGTATCAAGCTGTCCAAACCATTTAGATTCTTAGAAATAGGTTAATTACGAAATAATTCTACTTTCTGCCCGATGCTATTTCGTAACATTGACAATCATGCCAATAGGTTACATGACAACCTGTATGTTATCTTACAAGTTGAAGAAAGTTCGTCGGGTATAAAATGGAAGCACTGAAATTTTAACAATGTCCACTATACTTTTGGATTTTGCTTGGGCATAAGTCTTGCAGTGGCTTATTTGTTCACAAGCTTTCTAAGCCGCACATTTCAATTTCACAATGGATGCAATTCAATGGTTAATCTCATTTGTCAACAACATCTTCGGGGATTGGATATCCTTCGCGAAGACGTTATATCTTTTCACCCATAAAGAAGCCCGTTATTCAGCAAGCTATATAGAGTAAGTTCGTCACAATTTTAATATGACGGAGACAATTAAATAGTTCTACCTGTCTATATATACTAATTTTTGCACAGATCTTGCCGCCGGAGCTACCGAATGGGTTTGGCATGTTCATTTCTACCATTCCGATACGACGAAAATGCCAAAACTATTTCTTTAAAACCTTTCCCCAAATGGGCTTCTAACCTCCACTTTGTCCTTCACATCGTCATTTGCGTTCTTCACTTGGGCATGGGTTTTCATTGGAAGTATACCATTGGAAAAGGGGTCGGGTTAGACAAGGCCGGAAGAAAGGAGCTGACCTGGAAGAAGATTGTCCAGTTTTACTACGCCTGCTTGTCCGGATATACTCTGGTAATTGTCATCTTTTTCAGGTTGCGAGCTAACAGGATGAAACCGCTGCTCACCCTTCCGTTCCACATGGAAATCAAGTGGTGCCAGGGACGAGAAGGTTACGTGACCAATCTACTCCTCGGCTTGACTGCATGCGCAACCGGAACCTGTCTCCTCTTACCGTTCATCTATTTGGCTGCGTCTCTCCTGCGGCCGTGTCTGCCATTCTTATCAGTATCCTTGGTGACGAAAAGCTGCCCGACTTGGGCTTCGCTAGGAGAGGTCAATTTAGGCGTTAAAACCTTTTTCGCGTTGGTTGAGTACTACTACTGGATATTTATACTTGGAATATATCTTGGGATTGGGTGGATTGCTCTAGTGTATCCTGGGATCGCGGCAAAACTCAGGATTGACGCGATCATGAGGTAGGATCACAATGATCCTACTTGGGTAGTAAGTCGATAATGATAAATTAAATTGAGATTATTTGATATAATAGCGAACTGAAGGTTGGAATTGAAGATGGGGTCGTGGGATTTCGTGAAATTCAAGTCCTTCAAGTTGTAACTAACTTATTTTGGAAGTTTCCCCTGATGCAGCTACTCCTTGGGATGTGGTTGGTTTGCGAGGTGATCGCGCTCTACAGCGTCGTGCGACTAGCAGGAATCCTTCCACTGGAAATATTTACCTATTTCAATCTCATTAGCATCGATGGAGCAGCACTAATTCACGTTCATTTTAAACTGTTAGCTGTTCCATGCATTGCATCTCTCCAGATGTTTGAGTACAGGAAAAGGATGCCTAAAGGGGGCAGCCGATGGTTCCGGCGAGTGATCAAATCATGCTCGCCGTATCAGCTAAAAATGGCGGATGGGCGTTTTTTTGATAAAAGGACGGCATTAGTTATCTGGCAGTTCGTGGTGGAACGACTCGTCATGTGTTTGATCATGTAGGGATAATTTTAGGTTTCGAGTAAGGGGTTAAACGGGAGAACTCTACCTTCAACATATTTGGCGTATGTACATGTTTAAGCAATACTATTAGCGTCAGCTTACTCTTAAAAAACCGGAACACGCCACTCCTACGGTTTGGAAAATAAAATTCGAAAAACCGACGGAACTCCAAATTATGCTTCCCAACTACCACACAAACTAGAATTCAAGCACCCACTAAAATAAACAAAATTCGTATTATAAACACATGCATATGTAAAGTCATAATAAGTGTACAATAAAAAAATTTAGCGTCGCTGACGGGGTACCTATAAAATCGTACTTAGCCGATCAAAAAGATGTATAGCTGGATACCTAATGGATAGCATAATTTAATCGAGCCCACTACACATTGTGCCCGGACTCACGAAAATTTACTCATGAAAATTTACCCTTAACCTTAAACTATGTACCTTGATCATGAAAGGTATGCTATCTGACGAAGACTAATATCTAATTTCCATAATGGAAATTACAATCCGACACCAATTACCTGAGTTACCACAAACCTGCAAACACCTGCTTTCAGGTGGGATGGTCATGATTAATTACTCATAAGTAAATAGAACTTCAACCTGCATAACTTATTTAACTGCCTGAACCCGGATCTGCACCCAATTTCAGAACACAATAAAACTGACATCAGGTGCTCTAGTAGCGGCACCTGACCTTGCATAAATTTGCACATTGTCATGAAAATGGGTTCGTGGAGTCGTAAATAAAATCTGTTGCATCCTGAATATCAGATATGATGTGGGATGGATACGTCGGGGAACTATTTAAGCGGGGATGGGGATCCAAAATAAGTCAGAAGCTGATTAGTTGGCTTGGTAGGAAAGTAGGCAAATCAATTCAAAAATTTCAAAAAGAACTCAACATGACCTCATTAACTAAGAAAATGCCCGTCATGTTGGCTGCAATTCTTTTCTGCCTGGTAAAATTATCGTGCTCGTTCTCCATGAATCCAGATGACGTACATTTTCTCCTGTTTCCCAGGTAAGTAAATAAATAAATAGATGGACGGGTGGGACGAGGGGAAAAAATTAATTTTGACAAATTTTATAAACTTCGAAAAATGGCACTTAATTGTGTGTGTTTACACATATTTTTGTAGGACAGACAGGACGGTAGAAATCAAGCATGGCGACGCAGGCTCATTGTCCGTTTCGGGATATGATGCCTCAAAACCGGTCGTTTTTATCCTGCATGGCGGGTCATTCACGCCATTCAATTTTCAAAACGAATTAAAACCTGGTGCCTATGTTGCCACTTTGCGAGACGGTAAGGAGTCTATGAGTTATTATTAATCTTAACTTCACATTCATTTATTTAATACGTAGTGAATTATTAAAATATTCAGTCAGTAGTCTACAATTTAATGAATATCCTTTAAATCATGAATCACCCTTAAAATTTTTTTTGAACCAATGAATATTGATTGAATATTTATTTATTCATTTTATTTTCATGAAGAATGAGTGATTTTTTTTCTTTTCCGTCTAGTACAGTCAATTAGAGATCACATGAATAAAACAATGAATGGTGGATAAATAAGTTTTCATTTTCAAATTGTGAAAATGTAAATGTGTAATTAACAAATAATTTGTCCAGATTTGAAATTAAGGTAATTTTGAACGAAGAACAATTTTTTGAACAGGTATTTTATTGATGCGTATGAAATTTACCACCTTACATAGAATACTTGGGTCTCGGAGTCTCCAACGTTATAGCGGTCGATTACAGCGCCCTCGTCAGCCTAGATGAAAACCCGGCCGCAATTCTCCAAGCGGTTGGAGAGGTCACCATAAATTTGGCCATTGTTGGGCGTCGTATCTCCGAATTTATCCAGTTCCTTATTAAGCAAAACGTACTCCGAAGTCCGGACGCGGTTCAGCTGGTCGGGTGGAGTTTGGGCGGGCAGTTGGCAGGAGTTACTGGATCAGAAAGTAAGAAGTTGGGTCTCAAAGTTCCCGGACGTATTACGGCCCTTGACCCAATGGGACTCACATTTGGAACATATCGCCCTGCCGAGTATCGTTTGGACGTTACGGACGCATCATTCGTGGATGTAGTTTATACGACGAGCAGTAATTCCATCACGCCGCTAGGACCGATCGGCCATGTCAACTTTTATCCGAACGCAATCAATGCGAAGGGTGGATTTCCGCCGATGGGGGGAAGTTGGAGGTAATTAAGGCAAAATTTGAGCAGTGGCTGATACTAATTTAACTTGGTGCCTGATTTCACATTGCCCCAAGAGGGCTTAACTTACCTCAAACCCGATTAGGCCTGCTAGTAGGCTAACTACACATGCAATAGTGGGAGTTTCCGATTCTCTCCCGGTTCAGCCGGGGAGTGTTGAGATAAGCAACTTTGTAATGGGTTAAAATTTTAGCATATTTAAAACTTTAGAAATTCGCGAAAAAAATGCGAAACTTATTCATTAACAATTTGCACCAAATTGGGAAATGTTACTAAAAAAATGTAAAAAGTAAAATATGTTCCCTTTTTGATAGTCAACCCCCATGCAACTACAACTTGGCTGATCTCAACGGAAACTTTTGGTGCTCGCATAACCAAGCGTGGAAATATTTCGTATGGTCGATCAACAACCCAGGTTACAAGGCTTGCAAATGTTCCAATACGGATTTGTCGGATTGCAAACAGCCGATTAAATCGTGCCCCAATGTGACAACTTTTGGACAACATGTGCCCCTCAGGTGAATTTAACGATGCATACACTCTAAAAAAATGTTACCATTTTGAAAAGTTAAAATGTACTTTAAATTTTGAAATTAAGTAAGCCATAATACATAATTTTTATATAATTTTTTATATAATTTTTAAGAGTAATGTTTTTAATTGAATTATTGAAAAATTATCAAATTAATTTCTTCCACAGTGCTCGGGGTATCTGCTATTTAGCAATTGGACCAAATCCTTGATTTAAGAAGGCAGAATTGTGACATCTGTTTCACTTCGGTGTTAGTAAAACAAATTTCAACCGTTAAAATATTCATTGACTAAAAGTTTTCCTAACAAGATACACAAAATTATGAGGTGTAATAATCGTAGTAAAATAACATCATTGGATAAGTAATTTACAATTTTGACCTAAATAAAAAGTTATAGCGAATTTTAAAGCCAAATTGACGTTTGCATGAAACGTTTGCAAATTTATTTTATGCACAATTTCGTTGATTTATTTATGACAGTTGTACATAATCATGATAGAAGTTGGGAATTTTAATCGTACATGACATTGGTAGCCAATTTTTAAGAATTTATGATAACACGAGAAGTTGTTTAGCAATCCAGTTGGTGTACTTTGCCACGCTAGCGAACACAGTGGGAGTATCTGAAGGTCAAAACTTAAGAGTTTCAATGAACTAAATCCACCACGTTAAGTAAACTGTACTAAATTCAGCGTTAACTTTAGTACATAAACGTTACTCCCTATTTAGTATATTTTGCTATATTGCATTTACTTTCTAGTTAAAAAGCATATAAATATTACCTTTCTAAAGGTAATATTATGTAATCATCTTGTAATTATTAGGTCGACAACGAATCTACGTTTTCTTTGCCTGGCGAAGTAATCAATCATCTTTTTCTAATCACGCCGATATGAATTTTCGTGCGAGTGAAAATCGACACTTCCGAATTTTTGGATTCAGGCTCGTGTAATGCATAAACAAGATTTTTTGATGAAATCTGTAATCAGTTTTATTAACCCTACATGAAATTACCTAAAAGATGAGTTATCTCTGATCAATTTTTTCCCGCCCGTACCCTTAAAATCAATGGTTGACCGAGCTGCACCTTACTTTTGGGATGCCCTCATGAAAGTCAGAAATGTCCTCTTTTTCATGAGAAATAGCGGATGAGCAATTTTAAAATGTACATTCCACAAAGCTCGGATGCTCCGATTTGTTTCTGACTTCCTGACATGACTTTGTATCATAATTTTCAAAAATTTATCTCCCACTGATGAAACCCCAGACATAAAATAGCTCTCTATCCAAACGATACTTAAAGCAATTAGCATTCCGACAAAACTAATTCCCGTAATTATCCGGCTAACAAATTTATGAAGCCAGACGCAAATAAAGCAAGTAAAAATAGCAAGTATTAACAATGTTCCGTTGTGTTGGACAACCAAAGGTGAGCCATACATAGTATTACAACTTATATCGACCAGTTGCTGGGCTTTGTAAGCTTTCAAAATCTCTCTTTCTTCCAAACAACCTAGCCGGGTATTTAGAAATCTGACGATATTTTTCTTTTTCGCGGGTGAATTGCTCCTGACAATTTTGAAACTTCTTTTATCCTTTTCAATTGAGACCGTAATTGCCGCCGCACTTTTCGGCGTCATTATGGATATCCACACTGTTACACATTGTAAATACATGGCGGCTGTGATTATATAAAGTCCCACATTTCCGGCCGCCTTGAATCCAGCAATTGCCGAAAATATGACAACTGGCAGCATTTTCAGGTCTATTCTTAGCGGAGCTCCTCCATTAAAGATGAACGCAATGAAACGATGGAGTGGAGTGTTTTTGTCCAGAACAAGAATTCCGAAGATTGGCGGCATTGCAAATTGTGTAATTAGGCATGTTGCCAGAACAGCGGTTTCAAGCAAGAGGTATTTTCTGGTGGTGAAGAGACCCCGATTCCAAACGAGTTGGGTTGCAAATTTTCCTGCATAATAAGTATTTCATAAATACTTAAATAAATCGTTCTTCCGTACTTACATAAAAACTATTTATGTAGTTATCCAAACTGCAGCTTCAGCTACGTTATGCGAAGAACTTGTCGGTCTGTCTGTCTGTCAGTCATATATCATATGTATGTCTGTCAGCAGGATTTCTGGAGAACGGATAATCGAAATCGGTTTGCGGCATCATACATATATGTATATGACCCCAGGGGGAGGATCATATCAACTTTTGGGGGAACCGACCGCGGACCACCCAAGTCAAGGGGTGTGGTCGGTGCAAAATGAGAGTTTTAGTGCAATTTAATCTATAGATGAAATAGAGTGAAATTTAGTGGTCCCGAGTTGTGCCACACCCCTGGTTGCCAGGGGGTGTGGTCGGGGCAAAATGAGATGTTTACAAAAAATTGAATCTATAGATGAAATACAGCGAAATCGAGTGTTCCCGAGATGTCGTGGGAGTGGTTGGGGTGAAGTAGTCTGAAGCTACTTCCGTATGTGCGTCTACGACGTTTTATTTTGTTTCATAAATGCTCGATTACAAATTTCAACAGCTTACGCTTTAAGTTGTCGTCCAAGGTTAGCATTTGATTAACAAAGGTGGCAATATTATCCCGATTCCGTAAGGTGAATAACATAAGACAAACATTTGTACCCAGCAGGGTTGTGTAAGCGATATCAAAGACCAGTTTTGTGACAAAGTTGGCATTTGACGTTTCCCTGCTGTGATACCAGATTCTGGACGTGAGTCGAATTAAGATGGCCTGATGGCGAAAAAGTAAGCGAGAAAATAAAACACCCAGATAAACCAGAGTCTAAAATATTTTTGCGGAGATAAGGTGACACGATGAGAAAATTTGTTCCAAGCGAATGGGGACATTTTATCAAGTGATGAAATTATGAAAAAGCGAGAGTACCACGTGAGCATGAAATTGCTTAACATTACGTGAATTTGGGTGGTCCCTACGGACCACCCAAATGCGACACAAATTTTGAATAAATTTAGAAGCGGATTTCCACTTGTAACTTACAAGTTGTAAGAAACTGGTATAGTCTGCTCCTTATGAACAATGTTAAGATCGCAGAATTGCTTGTGCGAAACAAGAAAGTCGAGAATAATGTGAATCGATATTGCTATAAATTATGTAAGCATTCAATTTTCAAATTATAATTTTTTGTAAATATGTTATGGACACGAGTATTATGTGTTTGTGTACTTATGATAAATAAATAATGCTTATTTAAAAGCAAAGACTTGCCTCGTGAAGGTTATATCGATTCCTGATTATCTCGGTTTTAAAACTTATCTTTTAGCTTTTTTTCCGTACTTACATATTAAGCGATTCCGTGCAATTACATATTTTGTTAGAGTCTTTGGTAGGTATTTAATATAATAAACCGTTGCAAACGAAATGTAGCAAAGGGATGAAAACACACGGAATTGTCTTTGTGGCAAGGTCACAACGTCATTAAGCACTTTCCGTCATTGTCTCACATTACCCCAAGTCTCATTTTGCCCCTTTTTGACAGTACACTTCCCGCATATACGACAGTACCTTTCAATAGAAAAGTCATTTACCGTTGACAATTACTTATAGTTGAAATTTATAGTTGACATTATAAAAGTCATTTTTTCGACATTCGACACCGCCCTTACGGTCATTGTGTCGTCGCACGACGAAATGATGGCGATTTTTAAAATCCCCGTCCAAAACTATATACGTCTAAAAAGGTGGAAACAAAAAATTCGACACCTTTGATCGTTACCTTACGACCTACAATGCCCATCTTCGAAATCATCCGTACTTCAAAATTTAGAAACACTTTGTCGTAAACCGCATGTAGAAATTCCAATCCGTTTTAAAGTTATGGTACAAACAGACAGACAAACAGACGGACAAGACATTTCCATACAGGGGTCATCTTAATAATTCTTGGTGATTCTATGTATGTACCTACATATGTAGGCAGTAGACAGTAAATATGTATATATTGAGCGTACTCACGTCAACCTTCGCATATCTCGCATATCTCGCAAATTGAGTATAGCAGCATAACTTGCGAAGTTTTGCGAGATATGCGAGATTTCGCAAAAATTTTGCTGGAAAACCATGGGATTTTTTTCGCAAATTTACCCAGCAATTGGGCATGTTCTTATTGAGCAAAATTACTTCGCAAACTCATCCTCAGCATCGTCAGCACCCTCAGGTGAATTCCATGATGTACACACTCTTAAAAATAATTTTACCTTTTGAAAAATTGAAATGTACTTTTAAATGACTTTTAAATTAACTTTTAAATCAACTTTTAAATTACTTTTAATGTAATTTTAAATTCAGCAAACTATACAAAATCTGGAGTAATGCTGATTTGTTAAAGAGTACAGTTTACTCTGGGCTTTGTTTGTATAGTTTATTTAATACAGAATTCAGGGGCATTTACTATTAACAAAGGTTACATCATTTTTCTTAGTGAGGCAAATACCTAACAACGAAAAAAATTACTAAGTATGCATTTGACCCACCCCAAAAAAGTGACCATCTGAGATATCTCAGTCATTTCTTAACCGATTTTGATGAAATTTTGTACCGATTATTGTTACATAATTTAGAAATGGGATCTGATCCGACTAAGCGATTACTTGATTTTTACCGGAATTATGGGCAAAAATGTGGCCTTAGAAACACATTTGTAATTATTGCTAATTACTAGCAAACTTTATCATCAATTTGAACCCCACGAATTGTAGAACAGTTTATCCCGAAAATTTTAAGTATAAATACATCAAAATCCGTTCCGAATTGATTTAGTTATTCCAATTTAAAGACCATAAAATTCATAGACGTTCTACGAATCAATGTCATTGACAACGACATATGAATAATAAATTTAAGACAAAATAAATATTCAAAACTGTAAACAGAAGAACTAATATTTGATTCTGCAACACTTTTGGTACAATGCATGAAGTGGTGGTTGTGAGTGCCGCACCTTCAGATTAGGTCATTTGGTATCTAGTAATCTAGACCAGACATCTTAAGACCAAAATAACGTGAATCGGTTAAGAAATAACGAAATAATTCAATTTTGAAAACGAAGCATTTAATAAAATTATCCCGGATACAAATATTGAAAGGGGATGGTGCATCCTATTGACATTCCAATTACAAGTTATAAATAAACAAGGTCCCAAAAAAGGGGAAATCTTAGTGAGGTAGTGCAATCATAAGTAATAAATAAAATTAGATTACCGAATTTTTGCATCACCGCTCTCGGTACCATTTTTACTGGATACAGTATAAATTTTTTTTGCATAGGCAAAGGCAAATTTGCATTTTTTTTGCATAGGCAAACGCAAATTTGCATTTTTTTTGTTTTTCATTTTTTGCATAGGCAATTTGTTTTGCATAGGAATTCTTAATTTTATTGAATAAATTGAGAAGAAGGCATTTTTACTGTGTAGTGAACGAGAAGTGGGTTAAATTAACTGAGATATGTAAAATATAATGGCTAAACAATTATGAACTACGTATTTGTTTAAAAAAGATACAAATCTATAATTTCAATTAATATATCAATTTGGATATTCTATTCAGGCAAAATCATGGGACCTTTTGAGATGACAACTTTTCTATTTAAACGATTAATGCTTGGAGTAAAAAATTGTACCGAGAGCGGTGATGCAAAAATTTGGCAATCTAATTTTATTTATTACTTATGATTGCACTACCTCACTAAGATTTCCCCTTTTTTGGGACCTTGTTTATTAACAGTGTACAATTTGTTTATTAATTGACAAAATAATCATATTCATATCTGTTCCAAAGAGCATCTACTATTTCAAAATTGGACCAAATCCTTGATTATAAAAACGAAGTGATTTTCACCTCTCCTTTAGTTGGATTTTAACAAAGGCAAAATTTAAATATTTAAATATTACTTGTTCCGCGAAATTGGCTATGCATTTGGACTTGCTATTTTCAAGTTTTCCTGATGTGAAACAAAAAACTTGGGGTAGATAACAAAATAAAATGATTTGACAATCTCAAATTTTCTCAGCAGTAAATAATTTTCTTGAATATTAAAGCAAAACGTATGTATGCATAAAAAGTTTGCAGAATTTGTTATGAAAAATATTTACTATTCAAACTTATGTACGTATTCATGCATAGGTAATTAATAAGTTCCGAATTTTACTCATACATACAGTAGTTACGTAGTCATGATAACTTATGATAACACAAGAAGTTGCTTAGCAATCCAGTTAGTGTACTTTGCCACGCTGGCGAACACGGTGGGAGTATCTGCAAGGTCAAAAGTCGCGGGATTCACATAACTAATCATTGATATGGGAAACATGTGAAAAAATTTCAGAAGTAAGAAAGTATTCAGAAACCAATTAAAAATAATGTTACCCTTTCGAAAAGGAAATGATTTTTGTAATAACCATTAGTAACCGATACTAAATCCAAAGTAATGTTAACTTGATAAAGAATAAAATTTACTCTGGGTTTAATAGGGTTTACGTAACATAACATTCAGAGTGTATTTACATACTTCCCAAAGGGCTTATTTGTAATACCTTTGACACCACATAGCCCATAGTTAACAATCCCTGCTTGCCACATCGTTGGCCTAGCTGCATTCGAAGTAGGACAGACTAACGGGCTTCCAGAATCTTGCTGAAAAATGGGAGAATTTTTAATTTTTAGCGATGGAAATATGTAGGTTCATAAAGAAAACGGTAATTGTTCAAGTCACACAATTTTGCGGAGGTTGTCAAATCGGTGTCTCTAACAGGGTAACGAAAACCCATACCCATTGGTTTTATCTGGGTTTTGCGGGTACTCGGGGTTTTGGGGTAAACTGAGTCAGTGTCTCATGTATTGAGTTGTGAAAAAATCTCTTTTTCACTAATTTCGCAACAAAACTGCTTATTAATTATATTTTAATCAGTAAATAATTTATAGAATTGCTAGTAATGCCCTGTTATCATATTTTGTAAAATTTTAAAACCCTAACTATCCGTGGGTATTACTCAAACTTGCCACTAGATAAAACCAACCTAAACCCGCAATACCCCAAAAACCCCGGATAGCATACCCTAGTCTGGAACCACCTGTTTCAAATGAAGACATATAAGCGATAGGGACATATGCAAACATTGATTACGACGTAAATATTCTTAACTCCTTTTGTGTCGCATACTTTGCAAAAAAATAACGGATTCTGATTGGTGCCTGCATCGCAAAGTTAAAGTTACGCGAAGTGAGGCTTACGGCGTTTATAAAATTGACGTGAATGCCTACAAGATTTATTGATTTGTGCACCCACCGAACACGTCCCCTTGCCGGCTACTCCACCCGCGCAGATGATCAGGTTCGGCTTCTGCGATAGAAAGATCTGTTCCCCGCACTTTTCCCTGTTGTAAATATCCATCCCCACAAATTTTAATTTCTTGTTGGGATCATCCTCTTGATTCTCCACCGTGTAGCCTTTCAGAATTGGGCGAGGTTATGATATACAATTAATACATTTATTAATATATTTGTAAATATATAGTTAACCGAATCCTGAAATTGTGCACTTTGTCCCATCCGCTGGTTCCTTGAGGGCAGCAGACATCAATCCAACGGACTTGCTTACACGGAGATCTTTCTCTAGCTGTGGGTAAAAGTAAAATTGAGATTGTTATTATTTCTATTTAACTAAGGATTGGAAGCGAGAGGTTCACGAGACCACTTTTCGGGTCGTCGAAAAACTAATCTTCAAGTGAACTAAACAATAGTTTACTTAATGTAATTAGAATTCGGAGCGCATTTACTTTTCAAAAAGATGACATTATTCTTAAGAATGTATGAATATTTTTTTAGAATTATCTATGAAAAAATATTTACCACAATAATGCCAATATCATTGATGAGGACCTTGTTTTTGTCCACGTTGAATTCAGGATGTAGAATAATCTTTTTCACGGCGACGACCGTGCCACCCTCGTCACTTGTGATGGAGCCGACTCTGACCTCAATATCGCCCGGTTTCTTCCCGTTAAGGCAATGGCTTTAAAAGTGAGAAGACATTTCAATTCCATAATTATTTTATTCGCTATTGGAGATGTTTTGAGGTTCCTTAAGGGTTAATTCGGGTCTAGGATTGGCAAAATCTTTCTGCATGTTGTTTCAGTCTACTAGAATCAAAATTAAATAGTAAATCTAGACCTGAAAGTAAAATTTACTCTCAGTTTTTGACATTGTCAAGAGTTACAAATCACTTATTATTATTGCATCAATTATTTAACTCAATTGCAGGATTTGAGTTAGAAGAATTATGCATGACATGATTAGAAATGCCGTACGAAAATTATAAAAATCTGTTTAATACACGACTCTCTGAAAGTGGTTTTGATAAGGAATACCGTGCGGTATCTCGGTGTTAAAGTTTTACCATATCTCTTCCAAGTTTTTATAAGACTCTACAATTTTAATACACTGAGGTAGCAAATTTAATACAGCGAAATCAACACCTGCCTGACTTTACCAGGTTTTTGAGAGTGTATAAATAAATATTTTAAAGGTTTCCCAATTTTGCCAGCCATGCCCCACCCATTCTGCATCCCTCTCCGGTAATCAGTGGAAATCTCCTGCTTACCCCGCTGTTAGAATGTGGCGTAGCGTTATTATAGACCCCCCACAATACTGGTCGCCATCCTTATGCTGAATTGAAACCATGTAAGGAAATTGGTTCACTGTTGCGTCCGCCCCACCAATTATTTTTATGTTTGGAGAATTTGAACTGTTCGCACGTAGCGAATTTATTGAAAAGGTGGACTTAACAAGATATAAAATAAGCAGCAATATTTTTACAGAAAACATTATATCTTATTTTAATTGCAAAATCTTCGCACAAAAAATACATGAAAAGCGACGATGAAACGATTGGATGGAAATGAATCAACGAATTAGACCGATTCCGAACTATGGTCAGTTTCTAAATTATTCCGCTAATGGAAAAATTATGGGAACGAGACTAACAACCCAGTTGTGTTGTTGCATTGTGTTTTTGCATCAAACAATGCCACATGCAGATTTTTGCATAGCAAGTGCTGCATGTTTGTATCACCTGAATGGAGATTAATTCGAGAAATTACTTTTTGCAGGCCGAGTTCCTTGCAAAAACAAGTGTTGTTAACGTATTGTTATACGTACAATGCTTGTAAGACAATGGACATTATGCATAAGTTATTGTATGATTATGGCCAGCATTCGTTACCTTGGAATTTAATTAGGGTCATGCAGCAAGGATGCGCTTGATTAATTTAGGCGAAATATATACGTCATATCTGCTAAGCAAAGATTGGTCCTTATGTAAATTTTATTCAGCAAGATAAACACCACCGAATTTAGATTAGGTTTAAAGTTTTCTAACAACTTCTTATGTAATTGTCTCCAAAATTAGTTGACAATGTGTAACCCTTGGTACGAACATTTGCCTTAGTAAATATTTGTTACTACATAGATAATCAAAGTGTTGATAGTGTGTAACTGTGACAAAAGTTAAATAAATTAGCTTTAAAATTACTTCGATCTACAGTCCTTGACTTGCTCGCTAGAAATAAAGTTAAAGTTTAAACTTTTGAATTTGTAAATTTGAAAAGTTTAAGTGCAAAATTTAAATTATTAAAACTTTCATGCAAAATCACGAAATTGCTTATAGTGAAGTAACTCAAGTTATGTACGTTGAATTTACATATTTGCACGTAAAGTTTACAGTGTACTTATCATTTAATCATTAATGTTTCGTACATGGCAAAAATAATAAGAAGTAGCTAATAATATTTTTATCGATTTGATTATTTATTTTAACTCAATTTAATCAAGCAATATTGCTTTATTATTACATATTTATGTATTTACCTATATATTTACATTCCCATATGATGTATTTATTATGATATTCATACATATGTACATATTTTCTTGAAACCACTCTATTTTTGTGTACCGTCTTGTTGAAATTGCTTCCCCCGACAATTTATGCATGTAAGTATTTACATAAACTGCATACGTACGTATGTATGTATGTAGGTATGCAATATATAATGCTATAATACACATTCTTAAATAGTCCTGGAAATTAATTAGAGATTTGTCATTAATGCATTTGCTATGAAGACGGGAATTGTACTAAATTATACTAAATGATTTTAGACATGAAAACGTAGATAGTACATATCTTAAATTTTACATATTCAAATTTTTCGTCCTTACTTCTCCCCCTTCCCACGCAATAAATTTCCCAAGCTCGAATCGATATTATCGATCGTATATTGCAAGTCAGCCCTCAATGTTTCCAAAGGGTCTGGAATCATTTCCTCCACGTTAGGTATATACTTTCTCATCTTGGCGCAGCTTTCAAGCTGAAATTTCGCCATATTCTCTACCCAATTTGGCTGGGGCTGAAGCTTTCCATTTGCTATGTTTCGAGGTAGCGCGTCGTCTCGGGAGTAATAATCCAGCCATTTAAACAGCAATGATTCATTACCCTTGCTGTGAAGGTCTGTCACAAAATCATCATATGGAACTTTCCTCATTGGGGTGACAAACCTTTCCCGTAACAAGGTCTGGATACCGGGTTTATTTAAAATTTGCTGGCACGTGATGTCGTCGTTAAACGTCATATTTTCGACAACAGATGAAATTTTTGATGGATCGCCACCTTCCCTCCTGGCAAAATCAGACAGTATCGTGAAGACATCGTCCTTATCCAAGGTAGGTTTCGTGTTGTACAAGTACGAATAGATTGCCTCCGCTGCAGAAAAATCACAATGTGTATTCAAAACTATGCTAGATACATAAGTCACGCACAACGTATCCCAATACCTAGTCTAAGTTTGGGAGCAAATTCGTCAGAAATTTTTTCAATGTCCGTGTAATTCCTTGCATGAGGATTTGTGATGTTGAACATTCCACTAGGAACGTTTTCGTCAAAGAATAACTTGAGCGTAATTTCGACAGCGATGTCTACCGGTGCTACATGGAGAGGAAAGCATATATCTGGCATGATACTGTTCATTAGGAAGTAGATACTCTCCAAAAATAAATGATCATTCTCCAAGCTTGTCTTCTTTCCAGTCTTGCTCTCTCCAAAGAGCATGGGAAGTCGGAACGATTTTGCAGGCAACCCTTTTTCAACGGCCTGGCCAACTAGACGGTCACTAATAAATTTGGAGATTATATACCCATACGATGGACCTTAGTCACCATCTTGAGGAAATGTTTCAGGGTAGCCAAAATAATTGTTTTCATAATTTGCGGGAAGCCGTATAGCGAGTAAAGTTGACGCGTTGTATAAGTGCTTCCTCTTTGTAGTGCAAGCAAATTTCAAAATATTTTGGGTTCCGGTAACATTTATTGCTCGCACGCCGATATTTTGGGACGAAAAGTGTGCGTACATTTCCATGTGTGAGGTTTGACCAGCACAATGAACTACGGCGTCGACACAATTGGCAAGTCGATTATAGAGTTCTATTTGCAATGACAGATTTTCCGACACGATATCACCGTCAAGTGGGATGATCTTTTCGATGTTGGAAGTCGATAAGAGGTTCAGTTCCTTTAAGCGATGGATTACTCGATCTGACAAATAATCCATGTATTTGCGGTTGATCTGTGAGTCGTTAAGTAATAACCTTTATTCACGTTTGCTAACCTTTTCCCGATTCACGTTTGCGTGGACGGACTAGACAGTAGATCGATTCTATTTGTGGTAGTCTACTTAGTTGTTGCAAGACGTGAGGCCCAACAACACCGGTGCATCCTGTCAATAACACAATTTTGACAGCAGACATTGGGACCTCTTGGATTGCATTGTATCCATTTGTAGCTTCCCAAAGGATTGAATCATTCTGTCAATTAAAGTTTAGATTTTCCGATTATCATTCAAAATCTATGTATGGCTTTTTTATTATCGGTACCACCTTAATCAATTTGTTACGTTCAATAAAATTAGCACTTCCAAGGTCTGATGTTTTGGGAAACATTATGTTCATCAACGTCAGGGTTGTTAAATGCAAGGTTTGACAATCTCCCAGGTCTGCTACTCGAATTATTCCCTTATTCCCAATCAATCCTTATAACGCGTTTTTCATCTCAATCATCATTAATGAATCCAAACCCAGATCTTGTAACGACTCATTTGGAAGAAGCTCGTCGTCCAACTTGAGCAGTCCTTCAATTATTCGAGCAACATAAGGCTTCGCTACTCCATAACGACCCTCATTGGAGTCGCCACATACTTTCAGTTTATACCATAAGGAATCTACATAAAAAATATTTTTCTTATCAAGATCAACATACAATCTTCATTTACTAGTATCTATTTAATAGAACTAACCGAATTTCCGCACCTGAGTCTGATTCCCATTTCGATACATTCGAATTCCGTCTGGTATTCCTGCCTGAATTCATAATATTCTCCAGATATGTTGTCAACCATGGTGCAAGCATGCTATTTCCCAGCGCATCAATATCTATATCCACAGGAGATACATGGCTAACCCCTGACTTTAGACTATACTCTAAAGCTTTAAGCCCTGCCTTCGTGGAAAATGGCTTCACCATATTTACCACCTTTCCTGCCGCTACTCCAGTCTCACCCCATTGACCCCAATTGATAGTTGTAGCAGGTAGCCCCAGAGATTGTCTATAGTTAACCAAGCCATCTAGGAAAGCGTTTGCCAACGCATGGTTACTCTGCCCTGGAGAACCTAAATTAATAGTGAAATTGATTAAATAAATCTTGCCACGTTACGTGGGGTGATAATATATTGTTAGTTGACCTAATAATGCAACTACAGACGAAAAGACGACAAAGTGTTCCAAATTAATATCCTTGGTTAACTGGTGCAGATTCCATCCACCTCTAACTTTCGGATGTTGTGTGGTCAAAAAACTTTCCGGTGTCTGATTAGGAATAACTCCATCGGCCAGAACCCCTGCAGCATGAATAACTCCTCTCACAGGCATTGTTGGCCATTTAGTCTCAATCCAGCTGAAAAGCTTCTCGCAATACGACATGTCTCCAATATCGCCTTGGGAAATTGATAGCACCCCTTCGGTTTCCGAGGAACTTCGAATTTGCTCTATTTCACGCATAACTCGGCACTCGGGACTCCTTCGTCCAACCAGAACCACATGGCCGGCCCCATTTTTAAGCATCCACTTGCCAACCTCAAATCCAATCCCACCGCACCCACCAGTGATGACGTAGGTAGCTGAAGCACTGAGAAGTTTAAAAGTAAGAGAGATGTGTGAATTATGAAGTTGCGCATTTGGTTCTGGATACTTGAGGACAACTTTCCCTATATGCTTAGCCTCTTGCAGATATCGTATCGCCGATCGAATGTCGACCACATCAAATACCCTCTGAGGTGGCGGGACAAATGTTTTATCGCGTAATCTTGAATCCAGTTCCTTAGCAATAAAAATATATTGATACGAGTACTTGATTCTTGTATTTCTTTCTTATCTACCTTGAACAATATCTTCATATACTGGTCTGGATGGCTGCTCAAATCCTCAACTTTGTAAGCTACATCTGGCCTTAGCTTCTTGACTTCGTTGTCTTCTAAAATATGCAATTTGCTCATCTCAATGAATGTTCCGCCTGTTGCTGTACACGAAAGGCTGGTTTCAATGAATCCAGGACCGGTAAGTGAATTTAAAACGACATCCACCCCATGGCCATTGGTTGCTTCAAGGACACATTTTCCAAAGCTCAGGTCCCTGTAAAATGGACAGATGTACGTGTCAAAATATTTATTGATGTATGCACAAAATGCGTTGTCAAATATTCACTTGCCTGGAGTTGAACACATGTTCAATCCCAATGTGTTTAAGGTATCTGCGTTTTTTTGCAGTTCCATCTGTACAATATATGGTTGCGCCAATTCGCCGAGCCACCTGAATTGCGCTTAAACCAACACCACCTGATGCCGTATGGATCAGTATACTTTGCCCTGACTGTAATTTCCCAACTACAGCTAGACAATGTTGCGCCGTAACCCATATGACTGGTAATGATGCTCCTTGTTCAAATCTGCAACATGTCGTAGACAATTAACCTATCGTCAATCCTCCGGACGGTTCTTTTCTAAACCTGTGTATCAAGTTACGTTATATTATTTGGTAGAGGGGTAGTGCAGAATTCCTGCAAAATTTCATGCGACGAAAGTGGTTGTCCGTGGTACTTGCATCCAAAAACTGCATCCCCTATCTTTCGGCTGGTTACGTCACTGCCAACCCAAACAACAACTCCAGAAAAGTCAACCCCGATAGAATTAACTTTTTCAAACTCTGAAGTAGGTTTAATTATCGCAAAGATATCCCGAAAATTCAAACTTCTGGCATGAATTTCAACCTCGATATCATATGGTTCTAACTGTAAGTTATTGGGAACAATGTCGCGTTGGAATCTTAGATCGCTCACAGACTTACTCGCCGGGATAACCGCATGATATCTGGAAGAGGACGAAGCATTATTTATACGCATTTGTGTTTTAACTTATTTTAACTTGAAACAGTATGAGCATTTCACCGAAATCCTGTCAGCTCAAGTGGCGGATGACTCATCGTCCCCTTATGGGGATGTAACCTTGCCTTATACTTTATATTGTTTCGGTAGGCCACAATTAATTCATCATTCTGTGCTTCAAGTGCCTCTGTGATTAAATACTCTGCATTTTTTGAGTCGTTCTCCTCTGGATCCAGATCCAACAATTTACATATGGCTGAAGGATTCTCGGAGAGGAAGGATCGAAATAGGCCGTGGAGTTGGGAACCAAATGGTAAACTATGACCGCCACTCCCAGCCGACGACTATCAATAAAATCTTCAGATCCATTGACACAATTCTAATCTATATTCAATATTTGGGTATTTCTTACCTGACCAATTGTCACAACAACAATTCTTTTGTTCAAAGTGCCATGGTTCATAAAAGCTTGCAGTAACTTCAAGCATTCATTTACAACCAACAAGGACTTTTCCAGAACTTCATTTGCTTGTATATTTCCTGCAGCCTGAATAAAGATAACCCCTTCCAGATTCTTGTCCGCCAAGGTATCCGAAAGGACTTCTACATTTGTACCCTGTTTGTGTTTAGCAAATTAAAAAAAAACTACCTTTCAAGATGCTTTAAATCACCCCAATTCTTACCCTTGATAGTTTCATTACTACTTTGTTATATTTATTTACTAAATAGTCAGCTAAGACTGAAGTAAAGTTGTCTTCGTTTCCTTAAAGAATCCATAAGTTTCTATCTGACTTCGACATAATGTCCAACTCCCCGTCGTCTATTACTGGCAGCCATGCTTGTTCGTATAGTGCCGGCATTTTCACTTCCGCTTCGCCACGTATTAGTAATGTCCTAAGCCGATCGTTGGTTGTCGCGATGATCTCAATGCCTTCTAGAATTGCCAGTGGGGATCCATCATCTTGCGAATACATTGTTACTCTGTTCTTATTGCAATGGATGTACATCGACTGAGATTTCTGATTTGGAACCGCAGTTTCCACAATGCGAAGCAGAGCAATCTTTTTTACACCAACAGGAACGTGGAGTTGAGTTATTGAATTCGTCGCAATCAATAAGAACAGAGGGGCCTGTAACATTCCATCCAATAGTATAGGATGGCAAATGTCACTCGTGTCTGCAAGAACTCAATGGATTATGAAATAATCTTAACAAATTGTATAATCCAAAGTCGGCTTACCATAAAGCTCAGAGGGCATCTCGACGACGGCTAAGAGTTCGTCGTTTTCTACTCACAAACTCGAGATACTTTGAAACGTGGGCCCAAACTTGTATCCCAGGTCGTTGAGACGTTTATACATCGCTGCAACATCTCCCACTTTCCTAATGCGTTGCCTAATGCTATGCAAACTTTCGAAGTTAAAATCCTGTAGTTCAGCAGGTGACGAATTATCGGATTGGAATTCACTAGTAGTGTGGCACTTCCATTCCAGTTCTCGAGCAGTGGGCTATCGTAGGATAGTTTGAATAATGTTTTAACAAGAATCAATACCTCAGTTAATAATGCCATCCATTAACTCACCTGCTTGGAGTACGACTTCACGGATCCAATATTATTTGCTTCATCAATATTTATGACTACAGTTGTACACAAGTTGATAGGATCCGTTTCGAGTTGCAAACCTGCTCTGACTTGAAAATTTTCCAACACAATCGGGAATGTCACCCCGTGATGCGACGATGCCCGCAGAGCAATTTCGATGAATACCGCAGCTGGAACAACGATAAACTCAAAGATTTTATGGTCTGAAACATATGGATAAGAGGTCAGGCCGACCAAATTCCTGTATTGAGTGTGTATTCCTTGATCGTGTGATTTGACCCCGGGAAATGTTACCCTTTCTCCAAGCCAGGGACGAATATCTGGCTGAGTACGAGCTTTAGGCACCAAGTCATTTTTCTTGTATATCCACATCTTTTTCTTTTGAAAGGGGTAATGAGGCAAATCGACTTTGCGATAGCAGTGACCCCTATGAAATTCTTCAAAGTTTATTCGATAGCCTTGGGCAAATAAGGTACAAATGGTTGAATACAACTCAGTCTCCGTCGAAGCTTTACTTCTTCGCATGGTTGGTAGACACTTAATGTCACAAGAAGACGAAATATTAGCGTGAACTAAAGCAGACAAAACTGGGTGTGGACCAATTTCCACGAATAGAATTGGGCCTGGGCCAAAATAGTTTTCCATGTTTTGGATTGCATTGAAGAATTGAACTGCTTCTCTGGTATGACGTTTCCAGTAATCGACATCAACCTCTGATACTACACTTCCGTCCACTCCGGAAATGTATTCAATTCCGTTCCCTGATTTGAAGTTGATAGAGCATAGCACGTTTTCATACTGCCGCAACATTTTGTCCATATGACGAGAATGGAAAGCATGTTCCGCAACGAGGACATGTGCTTTTACAGCGTTGTTCCTACAAAAGTCGGTAAAGTCAAGTACAGTTTCTGTTGGCCCGGATAGAACTGTCTGTGTAGGTGAGTTCACCCCTGCAATATCCAGCCAGGCGCTCTTCTTGGCGGTGGTACTCGTGCTGCTTTGATAACCCTGCAGAAGTATAAATTTGGAACGCATTTAGCAACATATCAACCTGAACTTAAGTTGGATCACGAAGTAATAACCTTTATCAGGCTTAGTCTGTACCTTCAGGAAGACTTGAAGCAATGAGTTAGCATGGTCTAAGGGTACATTAATTGCCACCATTCTTCCTTCAGGAAGAGAATCAATCAGTCTGCATCTCGCCCCCAACATTCGCAACCCATCTTTCAGCGATAGAAATCCAGCTGCGACTGCAGCACCAAATTCGCCAAGTGAATGTCCTACTACTGCGTCGGGAGCGACCCCCCAAGACTCGAGTAACTTAAGGAGGCCATATTCAATGACGAATATGGAACTTTGTGAATAGAGGGACGAATTGATCATCGTCTCGTCTTCTCCCCACATTGCTTCTTTTAGCTTCAAGTCATACATATCCTGCAAAATGGCTTCAGCGTGATCAAATGCTCTTTCAAAGACAGGGTGTGAATTATATAATTGTCTCCCCATGCCATGGAATTGTGAACCCTGTCCAGGAAACAGAAATACCAAAGGCCGCTGTTCATTCACCCTCTCATTAATTTCATATTCCTTTTGATTAAGTTTTTGTAATGCTTCCCTTCCATTAGAAGCATAGAACGCAATTCGATGTTGGAATTGGTTTCGGCCCGTGTTTGCAGTGAACGCAACATCATTAAAACTTTCAGAAGAATGGAAAAGAAGTTCCCCGTATCGGTTGATAGTTTCTTCCAATGCGGTTTTCGTTTTTGCAGAGATGCTCAGAATATTTACGACTGGAAGTTTCGCGTCTGGTACATGCTTAAAGGAAAGGCTTAATTTCGGTTCCCATTCCTCAATGATTGTGTGGGTATTTGTCCCAGTTATGCCAAACGAGGAAACGCCAGCAATTTTTCTGTTGCATTCGTCCTTCAACATATGCCAGGATCGGCCAGTGACTGATATTTCCGCCGGAATGTTGGCCAGCACAGGTAGGATTTGGGGGTTAATGTTTTCCAACCCTATTTGTTTCGGGATATAATTGTGCTTCATCATTTCCAATGTTTTTATTATTCCAGCGAGGCACGAAGTGGATTCTGTGTGGCCTATATTTGCCTTCCCTGCAGTAATTATTAGGGGGTTCTTCCTATCAGGGGACGCATATACCTCTTCGATTGCCTTAATCTCCATTGGATCACCCACAGCTGTGCCCGTTCCATGCGCTTCCACTAGTTCAACGTCGACAGGGCTTATGCCTGCGTCGTTAAGGGCCATTTGCATAGCAGCAGCTTCGCCACCAACAGTCGGCGTACCCATACTTTTACTTAAGCCGTCTTGAGACTGGCCATAACCGAGAATAACTCCTTGGATCCTGTCGCCATCCCTTACGGCGTCCGACAACCGCTTAAGTAGAACAACGCCACATCTATAAGAATAGGTCGGCATGTTTTGGTTGATCAGTGGTAGGCTAAATAATTTGGATTCAGAATTTAACAAACCCTTCGCCTCTAACGTAACCGTTTGCATCAGCGTCGAAAACTCGGCTACGATACTCAGCAGAAATAATATGTCTAAATTCAGTGAAATCGAAGGGAGCAACGAGTAAATTTGCCCCGCAAACGAAGGCCAGATTTGTTTCTCCATTCCGTAAGGCTTTAACGGCTAATCCAAGAGCGACACCGGAAGAGGAGCAGCCTGATTCCGTCGATATGTTTGGGCCAGAAAGTCCGAGAAAGTGGGCAATTCGTGCGGACACTAGAAGTAAAGTGAGTCAATAAATTTAACATGAAGTGCACCGTTATTTATTTCATTAAGTGCTAAGTAAGTAAATATTTTCCAAACTAAAGTATTTCCTATTTTTTCATACCGATTGTCTTAAGGGTACGTAACCAATATGAAAATATGTTTATACGCTTACAGGTTCCAATGGAATTTCCCATATAGTTGCGGTACCAATCTCCATGAGACTTCCATTTGTTCGTTAGCTCCAAATTGCATCGAAGGTTGGAATAGAATTGGGACTAGTTCGTCGGTTTTTTTGGCCAAGTAAACCAGTCCCCCACTTTTTACGAACAAGTCATCAAAATTTTCCAATACCTAAAAATCATGATTTTATGTACAAATTAGTTAAGTTAGTGATAGTACTTATAGTTAGTTAAGTTCTTTTCGCACACATACCAAGGATTCGGGTTCCAGAAGTATCACACGTTTAAAAATCGTTAGCGAACAAACTTGCAGAAACACTTCATTCAAGAATTCCGATTCTAAAGAGAATTTCGTAACGACTAGTGGGAAGACCGCGTCAAACACCTTGTTGAGTAGAACACTACAATTCCAGTTTTCCCATATTAATTTGACTTTTCAATCATCATTGTGCACAAACTAATAATTGTGGCATGCCTAATTTTCTCGGGGAGACCTGACCCCACGATGAGAACCACGTTCCGATTCGTGCAACAATTCCGCAGGGATTGGAGTAGAACGAGAGCTTTCTTGGCTTCTTCTTCCGTCCTGACAAACGTCACCCAGGCACCTACCTTTTTTGTCTTACTCCTACAACATGTTGTACATATGTACATACATATTCAGTAACATAGGTATGTAAGTATGTGCCTTATTTTTTCATGGCATGTATGTAGCTCAACTCCAGGTGAAATTTCGTAGCTCTATTAGGTATGTATGAATTTATGAATAAGATCTACATGTGTACGTTAATGAATTTAAAAGATTTTGCAAAATCTTCCCACTAACGTAATACTAAACGTTTTAAAATTTACTTTACCGAGAATGAGCCACGTATATATTTGCACAAATTGTCAAAATGTGCATTGCAAATTAATTATTAATTAAACGAAACAATTGGTTTAAAATGACAATTCGCTTCAAAATACGTATGCCTAACCGTGGGTCTATTATTATTAGTCGCAAAGGTCCCATAATTTCTTTGGGAAGTTATTTTCTCATGGATTCAATTTAGTATTACTTAAATAATTTCGTCACTGGCAAGAATGTATAGCGAAACTGTTGACAACAAAACAATATTTTACCAGCCAAGAAACCTTGCAGAATTTTTTTTCGACTAATAAAACTAGGGAAGCAGTAGTAATTAATTTACACGAATTATATAGTTGATCAAAACACCAATTGCCTTAAGAGGCCCTTACCTTCCCTCATTTTTCGAAATTGATGATGCCAAGCCAAATCAAAATTTAAAGGATTTATATTTTCAAGAAATTATTGTATACTTTGGGGAAATTCTTATTTAAAAATTGTTATAGTTTGGGAAGCTTGTGATTATGTATATGTTTGTTCGATTTGATCAACAAATAATTGATGAGAGTTTACAGCCTTTATATAAACTTGATCAATCTGCTCTGTCATCCAAGGGAATTTTTCATGGGTCAGGTCCTCATAAAATTTAATGGGGTGCTCGTAAAATGAAATATGTAATGTCAACTTTCCTTAATAAAATCATGTCCACTTCGTTAAATCAGTTATCGTTAAGATCTAATAAACCAGACTAGATTTTACGACGTAACGAATCCAAATTAGTATTAATTTCCTTGTCAACATTTATGTAAAATAGATAAATTTGTATGGAATTATGTAATACCTCATATAAAATGATGAGATTGATTATATACATAAAATATTTATTATCTAAATATACTTATGAATTACATATCTGTCGAACAAAATTTAGTAAATGTATGTCGTGGTTGCGTACATATTTACCAAAAATAGCAAAATGAGCTTAATGATATTTATAAATTAAAGCCAAAATAATCAAAAACTTAGCAACAAATTTCACTTAAAGAAATCACTTGAATGCGGCTTAATTAAGGTTTAAATACATACATAATCTCAAGGAGAGTCATAAAAGAAGAACACATGTAACAGATTAAGTTAACTTATAAAAATGTACCTGCAACGTCGTCAATTTAATTTCATGTCAGAGATTTACATGCATACAATATTAAGATGTGTGCACTTGTATGTATGTAGTGTTCAGTAGGGTTGCCGCGGGTAACGGGTCGGGTACCCGTTACCCGCATACCCGCACGATGCTTGCGGGTACCCGTTATCTGCGGGTAGCGAGAACTACCCGCACGGGTAACGGGTAGTTAAGTTTTTATTTAATTTTCGACATCAATCACTTCACAAAGAAAGTTAGCTGCAAGTTAGTCCATTTATCAACATAAGCGTCAATTTAATATTTTCCAATTTCAAAATTTGCCATTTGCCATTTGGCATCAACTAGCGCTTATACTGAGCGTGTCTTTTCGGAAGCCACAGAAGCCTACGGCAGTCTCAAATGCTTTTCACGACCGGATAATGTGGATAAGTTATTGTTTCTCAAGCATAATTTGCCTGCTCCAAAATATCAGTAATAATTTGACTTGTATTTGTGTGTATTTTTATAAGACTGACGAGATTTTAGTTTAGTGCTTTGAAGATGAAAAACCTGAATCCGATTGAAAGCAACAAATTTATTTTTAGGCAATTTGTTTAACTTAAATGAAAACTTCATTTAAGTCGAAATTTCAAAAAGTCAAACTAAAAACTCAACCTTTTTCAAGCTACACCAAGATTGTCTAACGAGTATATCAATAAGTCAAGCCAAAAATTAGGAATCGCATGATACTTTCCATTGAATATCCACTTTGAAGAATAATATTGGCGGCAAAGTTGAATTTTTAAGTAAATGCTCTGCATCTTTTTTTCCACTATGAGGGACTCTGTCCCCCAATACATAGTTATCGTTAACGGGCTATTCAGCAGAAAGATAAGTGATAATTCCTAATTTTTGCCTTGATTGTTTTTACATAAATCGCTAAAAAAATTCCGGTGTAGCTTGAAAACAGTTCCATTGTCTGCCTGAAAGTCTGGTTTCAGAAACATCTAATGAGATCTAGCAAAATATGGCATTCGTAACTTGCACAGCATTATCTCAAACTACTGAACAACCCAAATGGGCAAATAATGGTTAAATCAAATTTATTCTGAAGGTTGGTTAGTTTTTAACTTAATTCTCATAACGGGTAGCGGGTAACGGGTACCCGCACGGGTACGGGTAGTTGTGCTGCGGGTAGCGGGTCGGGTAACGGGCAGCATTTTCGCTACCCGCGGCAACCTTAGTGTTCAGCTAATTGAACAAATTTGCATAAGAATACGTACAAACTAGTAATACACATATAAATATGCAAATATTTTTCCTTGCTCAAAGGACAAAATTAGGATTAACCAAACAAGAAAAATGTGGTCAACTTGTGTGGCATTTATGCAAAGATGAGGCAATCTATGAGAGCACACACTTTCGCATAATTAATGAATTCAGGTGACTTGTAACAAGGAGGAGGGTGTACGATGCTTGCCAAGCCGGATTTTGATGCCACACCCACATGTATTTTTCGCCCATAAGACGTTCTGAGGATAAACTGCAGGAGAGAAAAATTCGGTGGCCCCATGGGGACTTTTGGGGACAACATAGGGGAGGGATGCGTTTCCATAACATGGCAGATTATCGGGACATCGAATATGGGAACATTGTCCCCACGTCTCCCGGACAAACGTGGGTCGTTTTACAATAGATAAATTCCATCTTAAATTATTCTCACTTTTATATTTTCTTATCCCACACATTTCTTTTAATCGTCAACATTTAAGAAGAATGGGAAATGAATGCACCCCTTTTGAAATAGCATGTGAAATTTATTTGTTTTAAAATGATATGAAATTGCAAAAGTTTTAAAAAGCTTGTTAATATTTTTGATAAGTTGTGTAATGTTACCAGTTTACAGTTGAACTAGGTATGTATGAGCTTTATTTAACACATCATGCAACATTTCACTACCTATTTGCACCTATTAAGAAGTTCGCATTATTAAGTATTCATCAAGTCTGACTTTGCTAGCATTACACGTTCTCTTTGGAACAAGGTACCTTATTACGACACATTTTTCTGTCGATTCAATAATGAGGCCACATTTTTTAGACTGGTTTCAGTGAGGAAAATTATTAAGAACTTTGATGTCATATTATGTACATATAGGTTCGGCAACAATTTTATTTCCCACAAACACCCCAAATACGTATGATATTGGACATGTAAATACGTAGTTCGAGCCGGATACGTTTTATATCCGACGTTAACGTAAGACTCGATTACTCCTCACATAGTCAAAATCGACCCATCGTTAATAATTTCTGTAACCTGGGAACTTATTTAAAAATTCCGTACGACGAATATGAGCAGCATTACGTTTTTAATGGCAGTACATGAAAGATTTATCGAATTGCGAGTTCATCCAGCAGTTCAAGAGAATGCTTAAGTCCGTATGTACATATATATAATCCAAATATTTACCTTATGTATGTCATGCAAAATCGTCCGTAAGTACATAAGGCCCATCACTGTAATTCCCCTCAACAAAAACTTTGGCTTAATGTACACACCTTTAGTATATATATAATAATAGGCCAAAATTATTGATTTTTAGCTCAAATTCATATAAGATCTATGTATCTGTTGAATGAGTTTATTGTTAGTTATGTATGTATGAGCGCTATTTAACGAAACCTTGTACTTATGCACGTAGATACCAAAGTCTTAACATCCGAAACAAAGAATTTCGCAAGAATTTATAAAAACCGATGAGTGAGTAGGGCGCACGTGTATTGTCTTTTCAAGTGCGTACATAGTTATTCACAAAGTTTGGACTAAACCTATGTACCTACTTATTAAGTAGCTTCAGCTACTTTATGTGCAGAGTTTGTCCGTCAGCAGGTAACGAGAGAACGTACATAGATAATCGACATCGGTTTGCGGAATTACATGTACATAGATATATACGACTCCAAAGGGGGGTCATGTCAATTTTTGGGGTTAATCGCAAACCCACCCAAAGATAAGAATGAAAAATAAGATTTCAATGATTCAATACCTGAAATTCAAGTAAATCTAGTATTTCTGAGATGTGATGGGTTTAGGTTTGAGTGAAGTAACACTCAAGCTACTTCTTGATGTGCGATTGGTACGGTTTATTAAACATGCCAGATAAACTTACCCACTTCCCTTATAATAATTTGTCACCCATACTGAAACTATTTAGTCCATAAGTTTATTAATATTTTTAGCATTTGTCGTGTGGCATGTTAGGGAGCGTCCATAAATCACGTGATCGATTTTTGGACAATTTTGACCCCCTCCCCCCCTTGGTGACCGTTGGTGATAATTTCGCTACCCCCCCCCCCCCCACCAGTCACGTGACAGATGATGCTCAAATTAAATCATGTTGTTCGTAATAACAAATATTATTCCAGTGTTTTTTAATCATTAATCAAATTTGAGCTGCACACATGTGTAAATAACTATTTAATACGCCAGTTAGACATAAGAATTTTAAGTCGAAGCAAGTTTCTAAATATACAAAATGAAAATCAAATCTATATAAGGTGTGTGAGGTATGTCAAGAGAATTTATATATAACACTCATGACATTTATTGGCATATACAAAACTTTACTCATGTCACGTGACATCTGACCATCTACCCCCCCCCCCTTTGTGATAATTGGTGACAAATTTCAGACCCCCTCCCCCCCTCTAATCGATCACGTGATTTATGGACGCTCCCTTAACAGGAAAATGTAGGTTTGACAATATTTAAAACAACAAAGTATTTAAATTTTAAATATTTGCTCAGTTTGCTGAACCGATACAAAATAGATTTTTTAACGAAGGGAACGTAATATTCGTCGTCAAACGGAACAAATACCTCTAGAAATGTTAGTGTTCAACACCTTTCTGCACGTCTTTGCCCATTGTTGTTTTGAAATTTTAAATTTTGAAGATTTCCCGCTAGATGAACGGTGCATCACTATGCCTGTATTAAGCACGCGCATTTCCAATTTAGCGCGTCAACAATCACTTTCTCATGTTGTGAATTCCAAGAGCGGAATTTGTAATACATGCACAGCTGAATTATTCAATTTAGACGCTATTCTATCGAGCGTTGCAAATTTTTTTGATCTTATGACTTCATTCACACCTAAAACTCACCCAAAATTTCGCATCTTTGTTTATTCCCATTTAAGTAAAGACCCAACTTCTATTCAAAACCTACCTCAACATTTAACGAGGATTTCAACTGCACAGGCTCTCTTTGTTAAAATCATAAAATCGCCAGCCCTTCATATAAATCGCGTGTATAGCTTGAGAGCATTAAAGTTTGTGCAATTATGCTTCATGGAGACATGCAATACTTCTAAATTAAATCAGTTACTCGTCTTCCGAGGACCAATTAGTTTCGATTTGAGCAACCAGTACGTTTCACTACCGGAATACCTCGAACTACAGGGAAACTTTTGGGATGAATTCGAATGGGCAGAGCATCACCTTCTCCAATATTGTAGTGCTGCAACAATGGGGTATGACGATGAAGTTGGCGGGTCTCACGCCCTCCCACCTGCGTGGTGCTTACAATATAATTTTTTCAAGGACACGAACGTCTCCGTGCCCAAACCAGAGCTCGAGAGGACGGAAAATGTGGTATCCATCCAGAATTTGAAATCAATCGATATTACACGCAGAATGATGCACACATATTCAATTGATATTCATCCACACGCGGTAACTCATGACGGTCTGTTCTACTTCGTTTTTATTAATAAATCCGAGCTAGGACAAGTTTGCCGCTTACGGAACCATTTGACAGTTACGTTTGGATAATCTTCATTTCTACTGGGATACTTCTTTCGGTTACATTGTGGGCACAACTTGAAGAAAGCTGGACGCATATTGGCTCAATCATTTTCTTTATTTTTGCAATTTCTGTCTTACAAACAAATACGGTTTTTGAAAATATCTTGCGGCGTAAAATTAGAGTAGGGTCACTTATCATCATAACGTGGTCAGCAATGATGGTAGTATTAGCATATGCTTACACGAATTTGATTTATTCGGTATTAATGTCCACGGTTAAACCTAACTTGCCCAAAAATTTGCATGAACTTCTTAAACTCGACGAGATTAAAGTTTACACATTCCAGCATCCTGATGATGGAGAGTATATGAACGGAATAGAAGATTTACTTCAAATTGTAGTACATTTTGAAGCGTGGGGAAACAAAATAGTTGAACCAGTGAACAGCACTAATGATTTTGCTGTTTTCGATAAAACGGTTCTTTCACTCGCATATCATGGGGTTGTCGGCGCTAAGGCTATTTCTCCGAAATTTATAGCCATACAAAATTTTGGAAATATGAGGACGTTCACCGCTCTACTTGAGGAAACTGGAAGGTTCGTTATAGTTAGGAACGATGACTTTCACGTATTGGATTTCAAATCATTATGGATCTCAACAAGGTGTATAGTTGGCCAAGTGTTTGGAAATTATTTGAAGCGCTTGTACGAATCAGGGACATACTCATTTTGGTCAAGACAGTGGGACAAATACGTTGATGCATCCGGTGTACGTGCTATACGCAAAGGAAATAAAAAATATAATGGACATTCTTCAAAGAAGAATGAGCCCCTGTCTTATGTACAGCTGGTGATTCAATTTACACTTTTAGAGATTGGGTTAGCGACCGCATGTCTTGGACATGTTTTAGAAATTGGGTGGTTCCTTTCGTGGACTATCTTTGAAAATATATAAACGAAACTTTATCCGTACATATTGGCTAGTGATTGATTGATACCAGAGCAGTGCAAAAATGACAGACCAAAGACCAATAACATACCGTAAAAAATGTGTATCACGACTTCATCTATTTTTGAGTATGTAAATTTGTAGGTATATGCACCACTTTATACAAATGGATAACTTGAATGTTTATATAAGTACGGCAGATGTATTATCTTGTATTAATACCAGTTAGGAATATTTAACTGCATAATAAATTAAGATAACGTTGATGCATTTTTGACCAGTGTGACTTTATCAAGGCGAATAATTAGGTAAATAAGATAAGGGTAAGTTCAGAAATTGGATGAAACGGAACACACCCCACTGCCAGGGGGTGTGGTCCAAATTAAATTAAACTTTAATCTTCATATGGGGTGTCATTTTAAAAGAAATTTGAAGGTGATTTCAAGAACGCTAATATTTTTGACCTCGATCTTTTGATCCTAAGGAAAAAATACAGATTTGTAAGATATGGTGTAATTTTAAAGGACATTTCGATCATTCTGACGCTACTTTTTGATAGTCATGTGTAAGGGTTTATTTAAAAATTTACTTGAAATTTACTTGAGTTTTGGCGTTTTTACTTATTTATAGCTGAAAATTCCCAAAATAAAAAAAAGAACTGCATTTAAATTCCGAAAATGGGTAATTTTATTGTCACGAATTTGACTAAATATCTACATACATAGTTATCATATTAGCTTTTAAACTTTTTAAAAATACTTTAATTTAAGAACAGTGGTCGCTCCTATCGGCCGACATGGAGTTCCACCCGAAGCAAAAATATCCCGCGCCGGCCCCCAACGTGACGGCCATGGCGAGCCAGACATTGTACGTCATGAAAATCAACATGAGGAAGTAGGACAGCACGAACTGTGCGATGTGTAGACAGGTCTGTGCAATGTGGAATCCCGTCAAAATACTGGCCGATCTGGGAGTAAGGAAGTGTGCACTCAAAACAAAAAATTGTCAAATCAACACCGCCGGTGTCAATATATTACTTGGTTACAATTGTGATTCCGGGTTACGATGATTTTTATGCCGGTAGTTAAAATTTTATGACCGGACGGACAAATTTCATTTCCACTTGGAATTCCAATTGTAACCAAGGCGGTTAAGTTATATATTGACACAGGCGGTGTTGATTTGACAAATTTTTGTTTTGAGTGTGAAGTTAGAAAATTAGGTCTAAATTTCATGAAAAACTTGGTCGGATTAGCTATTTCAGAAGGCCGAACCAATCCGATTACTGGATTTTTCAAAAACATATCAAATCCGAGCAATAAACTTAACACCGATTCGGATGAATTAGATTGGGGACGAAAACAGATATCCAACTTATCAAAAAACAGATATCCGACTTAACTCTGAAAGTTTTCGTGTATTGTTAAAAATCTAGCCATATATTAGGTGGGCAGTATTTAGTTCCTCATCTTACTTTGAGGAATGCGCATGTTTTCTGAAGAGAACGTCCCTCCAGTGTTTGAGCCCCTCGTACGAGAACGCCATTGCGAAAATTATCACGAGAGAGAGCACGAACCAGCCGGTCTTTTCAGTCTTCCAAAATTTAAAGAGAACCGTTTCATCCGTCCCGGTATGAAACCACATCTGTTTATTTGCATGAAAAAGTCAGTTAGCTTTTACTCAAAATTTAAAACAAATCTTGCGGTGCTGCAAGTTTTATATATTTCCATATGTATAAAAGGCTACATAAATATTTATAACCCCGCTAAGTGCAAATTAAAAGAAGTAAAAATCCCTATAAAGTTACTAATTCCCTCGTAGCTTAGTGGTCAGAGCACTTAACATAAATTCTATTGAGCCTTGGTTCGATTCCCGGCTGGGTAACAATTTTTGGCATTATTTGGGATTTTCGAATTTGTATATTAATAAACAAAAGTTTCAAACTTACCGCCATGCCGTGCTCCATCTCACTCGGAACGTCTAAACAAGTATACGTTTCGCTATCAAAGTTGACACATTCGATGCATCGATGAACCATGGTCGACCCGTCCATGATCATCTCGCAAAAGGCGTCGTGCACGCAATTCAGCGAAAACTCGGTCGGGTTCATGGCGCACCCTTCTTGTCCAACGGTCAAACTGCAGGCATTTCGGATGACGTCGAACACTTGGGTCGACGGATTTCGACAGGCGCAACGGTCCCCGGTGCAGCCCAAGTATCTGTCCCTGTTGCAGTACTGGGTCGAATTTATTCCCGCGTCGGACGCACAGGGCGCGCCATAGGTCGCGGTGCAGACTCCGTTCCGATCCACGGCGAGAGTGTCGCTCGCGCACGTGCATTTCAACGTGGTCGCGTTGCAGGCCAGATGTCGCTCCGTGTAGCAGGCGTCGTTCAACGGGGTACATGTAGCTCCGTAGTCGAGCCCTTGCACCGAGATGGCGACGAGGAGAGGGATGAGGAAAATTGTACAGGTGATGTAGTTCATTTCGGACTGGAAATTCGATTAGATTATGTAGTTAAGAATTATGCAAATTATATTAAACCAGCAAGCTCTTAAAAATAATATTGTTGCCTTTTTAAGAAGTAAACACAATGTAATTTATAAAATTAACTAAACTATAGTAAATTCCGACTAAACATTATTTTTTTAAATAAACTAATACACTCTTGAAAATAAAGTTACCCATTTGAAAAGTAAGATCACGATACATAAATCTGATATTAAGTAAACTATACTAAATCCAGAATAAATTTTACTCTTTATCGAGCCAACCCTTTTAACGAGTATGATTAGCTTCAATAAAATTTATTAATTCGAGGACGTTAGAAGTACTTTGTGGTGCGATAGGAGGAATTCAATGGTTGTAATAAAACTTGGAAAAATTAGAAAAATCCAAAATTTAACATGGCATTAGATTGATAAATATCTAAATTTTGGGCATGAAAAAGTTGAAATTTAGGTTTGGTTGTCGTAGTAAAATATCCCACAAAATAAAAACGGATTTTACGCCGAGAATAGAAAATTACGAAAATCATTGACCTTCTATAAACGAAAATTGTCCTCCTCTCGAACCATGCCTATAATTTTTGACGACGACTTTGCTCTTCCTCCCGACTCAAGCCATTTTTTAAAACGACAATTGTCTTTTATGTACGAATCAAAGACACCTACACCTTCCTCTTGATTTTGTGTAGTTTGCTTAATTTCAAATTCAAACTGCACTTACTTTCCAAAGAGGTGACAATATTTTTTAGAGTGTAGCTCTATAAAGTTTTATCAGTTTCCAAAAGTTGTTCACTAATTTTAATGACAAAATATTCTTTCTATAAAGCAATAATGTTTGTTAATATACATACATAAATAAGTAAATTAAGCTTAACCAAAGCTTCCCTTACAGTGTTTACAGCTATTTGGACTCGGTGACGTGGAAATAGTTTGAGAATATTGAAAATCCTTTTTGATATCACAGACCGCAGGGTTTTGACTCACGGTCCGTCAACGAGGAGAAAATGGGACGTAATGCAGACGTGACTATTTGATGTGCCTTCACTCGAATGACGCTTATCTAATCTCGCATGCAAATTGAGGTGATCCTATTGTGTTGAAAAATGTAGTGTACGTGTGTACAAACACTCTTAAAAATTCGACAATAATGTGAGAATTTTGTTTCACTCTACGAAAAGGCACTTTTTCAAAAATTGAGTACCTTGTTGACACTCCTTAAGTCTACATAGATTAAATTTAAAAAAAAAAAAACTATACTAAATCCAAGATAAACTTTACTCGTTATCAAGTTAGCGAAGAAACTATGGATTTAATATATTTTAGTTATCATCTAATTCTGAGTACATTTACGTTTGAACCGGACAACACTATTTTTAGGAGTGTACTCTTTTGTAACATTATAACTTATCGGTGTAACATTACTTTCAAGATTGTAACATGATGAGTAATCACACCTGGTGATGTTTCGATAACAAAAAGTTACCATGTCGGCAACACATGTTTAAAATTGTGAAATGTTGATGTTAAATTTTAAACTGAAATGATTGTACTTTTCGAGACTTTGGCATATTTCTAAGAGTGTTATGGTCGAATGGGGTACCGGGCAGAAAGACGTGATCGGTTTGGTGGGGATTAAGATATTTAATAGTTCCATGATTTATTGAATTTAATTATATCTGAATATAATAGATTTACAATAAAAGGACTAATTTTTGATGAGCAACATGATGGGCAAATTTTTGATGAGCTAATTATTTGTAAATTTGATCTCCGCTGGATTCACAATTGTAACTGATTCTTAGGGACAGTGGGGTAATCTTCGTGATCGTCACGGTCATCTTCTGCTAATGTTAAGTATATAAACCCCTCCTTTCCGGATCCCACATACAGTATTAATGTCCTCCATTATCCCCGTGGGTTCTGTGGCTAGTGTTTGGAGCAAATTGTAATGAGTATGTATGTACGTGCATGCATGCATACATACTTATCCGTCCATCCACCCATTACACATATGGACATAAAGAACGATTAAAAGGTTCATTGGACATAACTTTATTCGATTGACGTGCATAAAGTGATAAAATATATTTGCATAAACGTGACGCCACACGCAAAGTATGGCGAAATGAACGTACATACAGAGGTTATATATATTTTTTTATATTTTGTACATTTATGACATATGCATAGATCTCTAGTGGTAGAGCTAAGTTGTCATAAAAAGGGGAAGTCGACCCGTGTTAGATGTCAAAAGGTGCGGAGGTCAAGGGTCACCTAATCAATTAAATGTGATACCTTTGAAAAAGAGAGAATTAAATTTAAAATACAAACTTTTCCAAAACAGGAAGTTGTTTTTGTTGGTGTTGATCGACTTACGATTTAAACCGGGAACGTCCATATATTACGTCATCATAAATGTGGGAGAGTGGATTTAGGGTCGCCTATCCTTCTCGTATTGAGCTTAAAATGAGGAAGCTTGGGACGGAGTGGGTGGTCGAAAAATCTCGTTTTTTATAACGTAATATGTGGACGTGCTCATCGAGATAAGGACCAAACTTCTCGTGACTTTTGCATATTTCTAAGAGTACTCTTATCGATTGGGGTACCTGGCAGAAAGCTGTGATTAGTTTCAGAGGGATTTTAGTGAATATTTTATTTAAATACAGATTTTTTATAGATGATCTCCACTTGCTTGAGGAAAGTCTAAAGATTATTTAGCTGTATAACTACATACATATTTTACGAGTTTATTCGACCATCCAACCATTACTCACACAGGGGAAAAGGGGTCAAAATTCTCCGAAAATCGATCACACACTTTTTGTACGACCCTTTTGTGATTAATTTGAAGGGATTCCGTCTTCAGATGTAAAATGAAACTTGTGGACCAAACAGTGCCAAATTAGACAATATAACAAATACATTTTCCATTCCCGTTTTCTATTAAAATATTCTACACTCTAATTACAAGCGACAAAATATTCGGTGTTTTTTTTATTAACATATTATGTAAATATGTAAAATAAGGCAAAATTTCGAAACTAATCCTTAGTCTTATATTCACAAATCCATCCTATCTAGTCAAACAAAGTATGTAGTATGAACTTATAAAGTTCTTGCACAATGATATCTAATAACATTTATCATTACTAGTTAAATTCTGAAATCCTACATATGTATAAATATATGTATACAATGATTTACTTGTTTGCACGAAATAAATTCCCCAAGCTTGAATCAATATTATCGATAGCATACTGCAAATCAGTCCTTATCGTTTCTAACGGGTCAGGAATTAACTCTTCCACATTTGGGATATACTGTCGCATTTTGGCGCAAGTTGCCAACTGAAAGCTCTCCATATTCTCGACCCATTTTGAATACAAAGGTAAAGTTCCATTTGCCATATGTCTTGTTGGGGCGTCATCGCGAGAGTAATAATCTAACCATTTATATAATACCGATCCATTACCTTCGCGTTGCATTTGTGCGACGAAATCATCATGGGGAACTTTGCTGAATGGGGTGTCCAATCCTTTCCGTAGTAAGGTTCGGATGTTGGGTTCATTTAATATTTCCTGGCATGTGATCTCGCCATTGAAGTCCCCATGTTGCAGAATATATAGAATTTCCTCTTGGTCTACGCCTTCGTTCCTGGCAAAATTCGACATAATCCTAAAAACATCGTGCCTTCCCAAGGAATTTCCCACGTTGTCCAGGTTCTTATAAAATATCTCAGCTGTAAAGTAAATACAAATAATTAAATGTGACTCCTGTGTATGCATGTATCCGTTATGCTCGATTTAGGTAAATACCTAGTCTCAATATTCGTCCAAATTCTTCTGAAAGCATCCCAACATCTGTGAAATTTCTGGCATGGGGATTTGTAATATTGAACATTCCACTGGGAACATTTTCGTCGAAAAATAACTTGAGCGTAACACGAACGGCTACATCAACTGGTAGGAGATGGAGTGGAAGGATTATATCTGGTATGGTGCATTTCATTACAAAGTAGATAAATTCCAGAAAAAAGTGATCAACCCCCAAGTTTGTTTTCCTTCCCGTCATGCTATCCCCACAAATCAATGGAAATCGGAACGATTTTACAGGCAACCCTCTTTCAACGGCTTGACAGACGAGCCGGTCAACGATAAATTTCGTGATTCCATACCCATGAGATGGGGCTTCATCAAAGTCACCATCTTTGGGAAAGGTTTCAGGATACCCTAAATAATTATCTTGACGATTTGCGGGTAGCCATGTTGCGAGTAAAGATGACGCATTGTAAAGGTGTTTCCTTCTTGTACTGCATGCAAATTGCAAAATGTTTTGGGTTCCCGTAACATTTGTTGCTCTCAACCCGATATTTGAAGACGAGGATCGACCGTACATTTCCATATGGGACGTTTGAGCAGCACAATGGAATACAGCTTCAACACCGGAGGCTAATTGATGATAGAGTAAGAGTTTTAATGATAAATGCTCTGACACAACATCGCCATCAATTGTGATGATCTTTTCGATTTTACAAGTTGATAAGAGGTTCAGTTCCTTTAGGCGGCAGAGTACTCGATCTAAGAAACATATCCATTACTGCATTACTGTTGCAATAAATATAAGTAAAAGAAATAAGCTGTATTCGTATTTTCTCACCTCTCCCCGATGAAACTTGGTGCGAACGAACTAGGCAGTAGATCGATTGAATTTGGGGTAACCGACTCAGCTGATGCAAGACGTATGGCCCAACAGTACCAGTGCATCCAGTAAGTAGGACGATTTTGACAGACGATATTGGGACTTCTTGTAATAAGTTGGCTGCATTTGTAGTTTCCCAAAGCATTGAATCATCCTGTAAATTGGGATATACATTGCATGATGGTCTTGTAAAAACTATTCATACTTTTTTTATTATATGAACGCCCCACCTTAATCAATTTGTTACGCTCAACCAATTTGGCATATTCGCGCCCTGATGTTTTGGGGAACATTATGTTCACTATCGCAACCGTAGTTAAATGTAGGGTTTGCCATTCCGCAAGGTCTGCTACCCGAATTATACCTGCACTACCAATTAAGCCTTGCAAACTGCTCTTCATCTCAATCATCATTAGTGAGTCCAAGCCCAGATCTTGCAGCGATTCATTAGGAAGAAGTTCGTCGTCCAACTTGAGCAATCTTTCAATGATTTGAGCAACAAAAGGCTTCGTTACTGCATAACGAGCCTCATACGAGTCGTCAGAAATTCTAAGCTCACGCCATAAGGAATCTACGTAAGAATTATTTTCTTGTCAAAATTAAGAAGCAGCCTTTTACAGTTAAACTTGGTAGAACCAAGTGAGTTTCCGCACCTGAGTCTGATTCCCATTTGGCTACATTTGAATACCGTCGGGTATTCCTACTTGATTTCATAATGTCCCCGAGATACGTCGTCAACCAGGGAGCAAGCATATTATTTCCCAGTGCATCTATATCTACATCCACAGGAGAGATTTGACTAACGCCTGCCTTTAGGCTGTACTCCAGAGCCGCAAGGCCAGCCTTTGTGGTAAATGGCTTCACCATATTCACCACCTTTCCTGCCGCTACTCCAGTCTCACCCCACTGGCCCCAATTTATTGTTGTAGCTGGTAGTCCAAGAGATTGTCTATAGTTAACTAAGCCATCTAGGAAGGCGTTTGCTAACGCATGGTTACTTTGCCCTGACGAGCCTATTTAAATTATGAACTTGAATTGGTATTGAAAATTTACGTGTCATAATAATATATTGGTAGTGGACCTAATAATGCAACTACTGAAGAGAAGACTACAAAATGATCCAGGTTCTTATCTTTGGTTAGCTGGTGTAGGTTCCATCCACCTCTAACCTTAGGATGCTGTGTTGCCAAAAAACTTTCCGTTGTTTGATTAGGAATAACCCCATCAGCTAGAACCCCTGCAGCATGAATAACTCCTCTCAAGGGCATTGTGGGCCATTTTCTTTCCATCCATCCGAAAAGCTTCTCACAGTAGGGCATGAAGCCAATATCGCCTAGTGAAATTGATAGTACCTCTTCGTTCTCCATAGAAGCACGAAGGAATTCAATTTCCCGCATTATTGTGGCCTCAGGGCTTCTTCTTCCAACCAGCACAACAAGTCTTGCTCCATTCTGAATCATCCACTTACCAACTTCAAACCCAATTCCACCACATCCACCAGTGATGACGTAGGTTGCGTTGGCACTGAGAAGTTTAAAGGTGGGGGAAATGTTTAGGCTGAAATCTTGTTTGACTGGTTGAGGATATTTAAGAACAATTTTGCCGATATGTTTTGCTTCCTGCAGGCACTGTAATGCCGAACGGACGTCGACCAAATCAAATATTCTCTGAGGCGGCGGGGTGAACGTTTTATCTCGAAGTTTTAAATCTAGCTCCTACATAATTGATATACAATGTATGTTTGCTTACAGAATACATGCGTCATGCATACAGGATTCGCTAGCTTCTTGCTCACTTACCTGGAGCAATTCGTTCGTATAGTCATCTGGATGGCTGCTCAAATCTTCAACGAAATAAGCTACATCTGGCCTTAGCCGATTGACTTCCTGCTTTTCCAAAATATTAAACTTGCTCATTTCAATGAATCTGCCTCCCATTGCTGTACATGATAGGCTCGTTTCAATGAATCCAGGTCCGGTAAGTGAATTTAAAACGAGGTCGACCCCATGGCCATTGGTGGCGTCTAGAACCCCCTTTACAAACATTAGGTCTCTGTTGACAGATATATTTATCAAGGTGATCCATCTATTGGCTGACGTACATATGTTGTCAAATATTCACTTGCCTGGAGTTGAACACATGTTCGATTCCAATGTGTTTTAGGTATCTGCGTTTTTTTGCAGTTCCAGCAGTACAATATATGGTTGCGCCAATTCGCCGAGCCACCTGAATTGCACTTAAACCAACACCACCTGATGCTGTATGGATTAGGATACTTTGCCCCGACTGCAATTTCCCTACCACAGCTAGACAATGTTGCGCCGTAACCCATATGACTGGTAATGATGCGCCATCTTCAAATCTGTAACATGCTTGCTGTAAATGACTGATTAACATTTGTCCATCTTCCATGTCGCACTACTTACGTCATAGCATTTGGAAGTAGCGTAGTGCAGGATTCATGTAAAATTTCATGCGAGGAAAGAGGTTGTTGTCCTTTGAATTTATATCCAAAAACCGCATCCCCTGTCTTTCTGCTTGTTACGTGGCTGCCTATCCGTACAACAACTCCAGAGAAGTCAATCCCGATGGAGTTAACCTTATCAAATTCCGGAGTAGGTTTTAAAACAGCAAATACATCCCTAAAATTTAGACTTCTAGCACGAATCTCAATCTCAATTTCATTTGGTGCCAACTTGCTATTTGTTGTAACAAGGTCGCTTTGAAACATTAGATCTGTCACAGACTTTGATTTCGGGATCACGACATGATACCTGGAAGTGGAGAACTACATTTATTTCATATCCATATTTAGCTTCCAATAGAGCAAGTATTTCACCTTGATCCGGTCAGTTGAAGTGGTGGATGACTCAACGTCGACTTATATGGGCGAAACCTTGCCTTGTACTTGATATTGTTTCGGTATGCCACAAGAAATTCATCATTCTGCGCATCCAGAAGTGCCTCCGTAATTATGTGTACCGTATTTTGTAAATCACCCTCCTCTGGATCCAGGTCTACTACGCTACCAATGGCCGAAGGGTTCTCAGAGAGGAATGACCGAAATAGGCCGTGGAGTGGTGAACCAAATGGTAAATTATTACTGCCATTTCCAGCCGATGACTATTAATAAAATGAACACAGGCAGATCTACTTTAGGAATTTGTATACCTGGCCAATTGTTACCACCACAATTCGTGATGCCGACGTGCCTTGATTCATTAGAGCTTGAAGAAGCTTCAAGCATTCATCAGCAACAAAAATGGACTCTTCTGCAACTTCATTTGCATTTATGGGTCTTGCAGCCTGAAGAAAGATAACCCCTTCCAGATTTTTGTTGTCCAGGGCTTCGGAGAGGACTCTTGAACTTGTCCCCTAATGGTATTTTTCATAAATTATTGAAAATTACTTCCTAGGGAACCGTAAATCATACTGTTTGTTACCCTTGATAGTTCCATAACCTCCCTGTCGTACTTATTTACTAAATAGTCAGCTACGACGGCAGTAAGGTTATTTTGGTTTCCGTGAAGAATCCACAAATTTCTATCCGACTTGGATGTGATGTTGATATCACCGCTATCAATTACTGGAAGCCATGCTTGCTCGTATAGTGCAGGCATCTTAATCTCTTCCTCCCCACGTTTTAGTCCCATCCTCAGCCGATCTCTGCTTGTCGGCATGACCTCAATACCCTCCAGAATGAGCAATGGCGATCCATTATCCCCCGAATACATGGTTATCCTTTTTTTGTTGCAATGAATATATACCGATTCGAATTTTAGATTAGCTGTTTCCACAACATCCAGCAAGACAATTCTTTTTACACCAATAGGAACATGGAGTTGAGACATAGAGTTCCTTTCAGTCATTACGCAGAGAAGGCTCTGCAACATTGCATCCAATAGTATCGGATGGAAAATATCTCTCGTATCTGCAAAAATTCAATCGAACATTAAATACTCCTAGGTAATAGTGTAATTCGTGATGTGCATACCATTTACCTCACCCGGCACGTCAACCAGGGCTAATAGTTGATCATTTTCCACCCAAAAACTTGAAATACTGCGAAACGTGGGTCCAAACTTGTAGCCCATGTCATTAAGACGTTCATAGATCGCTTTAGGGTCTCCCACTTGTTTGATACGTTGCCTAATAATATCCAGATTTTCAGAGCTCAAGTCGTGCAGTTCAGTGGAGGACGAATTATCGGGTTGGAATTCACTAGTTGAGTGACACTTCCATTCTAGCTCTCCAGCATTGATCTGAGAAGGACATTAATAATAGTATTTGAACAAGATTTAATGCCTCAGGAACCATGCCATCTATTTAATTACCTGTTTGGAATACGACTTCACGGATCCACTCTTATCTGTTCCATCGTTACTAAATACGACCGTTGTACACAACTGGACCGTATCAATTTCGAATTGTAAAGCTGCCTTTATCTGGAAATTCTCCAGCACAATTGGGAATGTCGCCCCGTGAAGCGATGATGCCCGTAGCGCAATTTCGATGAATACGGCAGCTGGAGCAAGGACAAACTCAAAGATTTTATGGTCTGCCACATAAGGATAGGAAGTCAGGCCGACCTCGTTCCTGTACTGAGTGTTTACTCCTTGACCTTGAGCAATGACTCCAGGAAATACTACCCTTTCTCCAAGCCAAGGACGAATATCAGACTGAGTGACCAAGTCATTTTTCTTGTATATCCACAGCTTTTTGTGTTGAAAGGGGTAATTAGGTAAATCGACTTTGAGACAGGGCTGACCTCTATGAAATTGTTTCCAGTTGATTTGATATCCATGGACAAATAAAGCACAAATGGTTGAATGCAACTCAACCTGCTTCGTGGCCTTATTCTTGCGCATGGTTGGGAGACATTTGATGTCACAAGAGGATGAAATATTAGCGTGAACTAATGCAGACAAAACTGGATGAGGACCAATTTCCACGAACAGAATTTGTCCTGGACCAAAGCATTTCTCCACATTTTCCACGGCACTACAGAATTGAACGGCCTCACGAGTGTGGCGTTTCCAATATTCAACGTCAATCGATGAAACTTCCCTTCCGTCAACTCCGGATATATATTTAATTCCGTTGCCTGATTTGAATTCAATTGAGCGTAGCACGTCTTCATACTCTTGTAGCATTTTGTCCATATGACGAGAATGGAAAGCATGTTCCGCAACGAGGACATGTGCTTTTACAGCGTTGTTCCTACAAAAGTCGGCAAAGTCAAGTACCGTGCATGTGGGCCCGGATAGAACAGTCTGTGTAGGTGAGTTTACTCCAGCAATATCCAACCAGGCGTTCGGCCTGGTGGTGGTACCCGTTGTTGTGCTTGTTTGATAACCCTGCCAAACCATTAATTTGGAAAACCCAAAAATAAATCCAACCTTAATTTGAATGGCGAAACTCTTGTTGCGTCACGTACCTTCAGGAAGACTTGAAGCAATGAGTTAGCATGGTCCAAGGCTACATTAATTGCGACCATTTTCCCGTTAGGGAGAGCATCAATCAATCTGCATCTCGCTGCAAGAATACGCAACCCATCTTCCAATGACATAAATCCAGCGGCAACTGCAGCACCAAATTCGCCAAGTGAGTGACCTAAAACTGCGTTGGGTACGACTCCCCAAGACTCAAGTAATTTAAGGAGACAATATTCAATGACGAATATGGAACTTTGTGAATAAAGGGAACAATTTATTAATGTCTGGTCTTCGCCCCATATGGCATGTTTTAGCTTCAAGTCATAAATCTCTTTCAAAATAGATTCGGCGTGATCAAATGACCTCTTAAAGACGGGGTAAGAAGTATATAGCTGTCTCCCCATTCCATGGAATTGTGAACCCTGTCCAGGAAACAGAAATACCAAAGGCCGCTTCTCAGCTGAAGTCTGATTAATTTCATATTCCTTTTGATTTAGTTTCTGCAATGCTTCCATTCCGCTTGAAGCATGGAGTGCAATTCGATGTTGGAATTGAGTTCGACCCGTATTTGCAGTGTACGCTACATCATCAAAACTATCGTAGGGAAGCGAAAGGAATTCCTTGAATCGATTGATCGTTTCTTCCAAGCCGATATCCGTTTTTGCCGAGATGGTCAAGATATTTATGGCTGGGATTTCCACTTCCGGTACATGCTTAAAGGAAAGGCTCAATTTTGGGTCCCATTCCTGATAATGGTGTGCGTATTTGCGTTGCGTTCGTCCATCAACATATGCCAAGATCAGCCAGTTACTGATATTTCTGCTGGAATTTTGGCGAGCACAGGTAGGATTTGGGGGTTAATGTTTTCCAACCCTATTTGTTTCGGGATATAATTGTGCTTCATCATTTCCAATGTTTTTATTATTCCAGCCAGGCAAGAAGTGGATTCTGTGTGGCCTATATTTGCCTTCCCTGCAGTAATTATTAAGGGGTTCTTCCTGTCTGGAGACGCATACACCTGTTCGATTGCTTTCATCTCCATTGGATCACCCACAGCTGTGCCCGTCCCGTGTGCTTCCACTAGTTGAACGTCAACGGGGCTTATGCCTGCGTCGTTAAGGGCCATTTGCATAGCACTAGCTTCGCCACCAACAGTGGGTGTACCCATACTCTTACTTACACCGTCTTGAGATTGACCATAACCAAGAATTACTCCATGGATCCTGTCGCCATCCCTTACGGCGTCCGACAATCGCTTAAGGAGAAGAACGCCACAACTATAAAAACAGGTGGGCGTTTTTTGAAAGATCAGTTGTAGATTAAGCAATATAGATAAGGATTTGGACTTACCCTTCGCCCCGAACATAACCGTCAGCATCAGCATCGAAAACTCGGCTCCGATACTCGGGTGAAATAACGTGTATTAATTCACTAAAATCGAAAGCGGTGACAAATATGTTTGCCCCGCAAACAAAAGCCAAATTTGTTTCTCCGTTGCGTAAGGCTTTAATAGCTAAGCCAAGCGCGACGCCAGAGGAAGAACAGCCTGATTCTGTCGATATATTTGGGCCAGTGAGTTCGAGAAAATGGGCCACGCGAGCGGATACTAGAATTATAGTGCATTATTAAATTTGGTATCAAATCCATTTTATCTTATTTTAGCAGTGCAAATATATTCTAAGGTTATTTATGTGTCCTCATATTTGCGTAATTCCAATTATTTTAAGCCTAATAAGGATCTCATTTTGTTTTTATACTCACGGGTACCAATTGAATTTCCCATATAGTTTCGATACCAGTCTCCATGGTTTTTCCATTTGTTCGTTAGTTCCAAATATTCCTGTCTCCAAACCCCCGAAAACACTCCAGTGTTGGTTTCGTTCAACGATGACGCAGTAACTCCAGCATTTTCCATAGCTTCCCAAACAAGTTCAAGCAAAATTCGTTGTTGCGGATCGATCCAAACCAGTTCGGTTTTACTAATGCCGAAGAACTTCGGGTCACACGAGTCAACTGGGCAAGACAACCAACCAGCCTGGATTTCCAGCTGTACATTGGTCAAGTCGTAGCCTTGCTCCTTTGTCCAGCGATCTTTCGGAAGTGGTCCAATTGCACACTTTGCTTCTGTAAAGAGTTTCCAGAATTCTGATATGTTGTTTGATCCTGGCAAACGACACGACATTCCGATGATGGCTATTGGTTCCCTCTAATGAAAATTTCACTTGTGAATACAGAGCTAAAAATGCATGAATGGATTTAAGTGAGATAGATTTAGAAATTTTGTACCTTAATAGGATGCTGACTATCTCCACCTCTGTTCAACATGTTGTCGACATAAGCTTCAAGACTCCGGTAATGAGCCATAATCTCAAAAATTTCCTTGGATTCGATGTCAGTTGACAATGTTTGGGGATTCATTAGATTCCTAAGTACAAAAGGGCACATATTGTGCAAATTTATGATTGTACATCACAAAATCAAACTTTGTTTATCTCATGGTTACCTTTGATAGAAGTCTTATTCATCAAACCGGACCAAACATTCGGTTTCTAACCAATTTACTTTAAATTTCGACAATAGTATTTGTCGAATACTCCCACCGCCGTTAAGACTTTGCCGAAATTCGTGACATAATTGCATCGAAGGTTGGAATAGAATTGGGACTAGTTCGTCGGTTTTTTTGGCCAAGTAAACCAGTCCCCCACTTTTTACGAACAAGTCATCAAAATTTTCCAATACCTAAAAATCATGATTTTATGTACAAATTAGTTAAGTTAGTGATAGTACTTATAGTTAGTTAAGTTCTTTTCGCACACATACCAAGGATTCGGGTTCCAGAAGTATCACACGTTTAAAAATCGTTAGCGAACAAACTTGCAGAAACACTTCATTCAAGAATTCCGATTCTAAAGAGAATTTCGTAACGACTAGTGGGAAGACCGCGTCAAACACCTTGTTGAGTAGAACACTACAATTCCAGTTTTCCCATATTAATTTGACTTTTCAATCATCATTGTGCACAAACTAATAATTGTGGCATGCCTAATTTTCTCGGGGAGACCTGACCCCACGATGAGAACCACGTTCCGATTCGTGCAACAATTCCGCAGGGATTGGAGTAGAACGAGGGCTTTCTTGGCTTCTTCCTCCGTTCGGGCATATGTCACCCATGCACCATCGTGTCCAACTCCTATTTCATAAATACATGGTGATTAATGGAAACAGGTTAATGAATATTTAAATTATCTTATGATTCTTTCTGTTTTGACTTGTTGATGTCAACAAAAGATATTTAAGTAATTCCTTGTCTCGTTGAATTTATAAACCTACGAATATATTTTTCGTAATAAAAAATTCGCAAATATACGAAATGATGATTATTTTAATCGAAAAGTGAGATTCGTTGGCTTCGGTATTTTTATTTGCGATGACATTTAAGGTTATTGCTGTTGGTACCAGGAGTAATAAGTAAGATGCAAAATTTGTGGTGACCTGGAGCTTCGTACGCTTTGCACAACAAATTCTGTGCGTTTTCTTTTAAAATTCGCATCTTTCACAAACTTCACAAATAGATTTTGTAGTGTGATCTTTGTGAAATACTACTCCCGCAACTGCTTGACATTAAGTATGCAGGTAGCTCTTCTCCCATAACGGTTTCGGAAAATGGCCGAGTTACAAAAGAAATAATTATTTTTTAATTAGTTAATGTCATAAGTCCTTCGCAATAGGGTTGCCGTTTTTATCCGAGATTATCCTATCCGATCGGATAGGATCGGATAATGTCGGATAGGATAAGGAAGAATACGATTAGGATATCCGTCGGATAGGATAATATTTCTCAAATTATCCGACTCGGATTATCCGAATAGTGGACTTATCCGATCGGATAAAAATAATTTTTATCCTATCCTATCCTATCCGATCGGATGGCAACCCTACTTCGCAAATTACAAGGACACCAACTTGAGAATTGTGGTACAAAAATACCATGTAAGCAAACTTACCTTCCTTCATTCTCCCACGCGTAGATGTTAGTCGAACTTATTCAGGGTTTATTGAATTTATTTATGCTTCACGAGATTTTATTTATTTTTGGTTATTTCAGAATCGACACAAAAATTTCAAATTTATATTTGAACAAAAACAATGATTCGAACAAGAATTGCTAAGAGCAAGTGATGCGATTTAATTGAGAGTTGGCAAACTTTATATAAACCGAGACTGGCCCTGGCCTGCGTAAAAGCACGAATTTTTATATAACTACCTGACCAAAAAGCATTTTTTTTAATTGCTCCATTACCAGCAAGTTATAAGATGTTACTGTGTAAAAATGCTGAAATGTAATTAAAATGTAATTAATGAAGTATTTAAATTGTCATTAAAATGTAAATTGAGTCCGACAATGAGCTGCTCAGTGTCAGGAATTTTTAAATTGTTACAGCCTGACCACGAAATAATTTGTATTCATTCCATTTTCCGCAATTTGAATGGCTTTATATAAACTGAGACCTACTAATGATCACAAATTTTTAAATTTCTTACTTTTGTCCCATTTTCCGCAATTTTATGAGCTTTGTGTATATGTACAAAGTGACACCGACCCTTATCTCCTCAACAATAGGAATTTCCTGCATATCGAATTTTTAAATTGGTAACTACGTAGTCACCAAATCATATTGTTGCATGAAGGGCCGTCCATAAATTACGTTACGCGAGTGGGTGTACGTGGGTCTAAAGCTACAATGATATATGTAGTGCCTATGTGACACATGTTAAAGAGGAAAAAGGGTCTAGAAAATCACGATTTTTGCCGTACGTAATTTATGGGCGGCCCCTGACCCATACTTATAAAGTGAACGTATCCACTCTAATTGCATGAATAAGAATCTGTATTGTTTTCTACAAAATAATTTTTACCAGACCATTTGTATCTGAATACTTATATTGACCGCCATATGTACATACGTCTTACGGCTTTTAGTCGATTATTGCTTTATGATGTCAATAAAACATCCTGCATTTTATTACTGTGTAATTTTAAAGTCTTCATCCGTGTCTATTATGGCTACTGAATGTTTAACATTTCAAGTATGTCATGATGGAAGCAATTGCGCAATCATATAGGGAATGATTCTGTGTATATGTGTAAAATGCAGGTGCATTAATCGCCTCAGCATGTCAGGTTTCTTTACGTGATCAATTTATGTAATGAAGTTAACCAAATAGGACAAGTGTGTCGTTCGTTTTGATATATTATTTTTGATATATTATATCGTAGCTATTACGCCTAGTACCTAGTAGGGCCAATTGTTATGACCAATACGTAAATTAATGTACCGAATCCAGTTGACGGAATTTTGGAAAACTAACGATACCACGGGAGAGCCCATTAAATTCTCTTCAAGTTAGACCAACCAGCTTTAAAAATTATCTCCTTTTGAAGCGACACCAGCCTGAAGTCTTGGTATATTCATGTCACTCGCGGTACGCACTCATTCTAAGGGATATTGGTCTCAATTCTAGGCTAAAGATTTTTTTTAGGATTCCAAACTTTTGTGAGGTTTAGCACATGTATCTACACAGTTAGAAAAGACACTTACTCTTCGACAAGTAAAATTTCTATTAACTGCATATTTCGTAAATCACCCTACCCGATCATAAAGTAATAGGGAAAAGTTACCCAAGATGAAGAAAGTGAGGCAAAGTGCCCCAATATTGCGTACGTTTAATTTCATATGAAGGAGCGATGTCATACGTAGGGTAAATGCCAGATCGCAATACCCTACATTAAACATGGTTACCCCATATAGGCAGAACTCGGCATGGTCTATGACCTATATTCAGTTAAACGCCCGCTTTTTACTTTCAGTCAGTTTTGTGCCAATTTGATCTTCTAAAGATTTCAGTTTATAAATTGCAACAAATTCTTAATTTAAAATGGACTCTGCGGAGGTCAAGCGACTTCTAACGCAACTGGATTTTAAGGAGTACATTCAAGCGTTTGAAGGTATTCATTTCTTACTTATTTTTCGGTTTGTATACTTTTTAAACAGTTTTGCAAATTATGAAATATCTAATAAAACTTTACTTGCAATTTTTATGTAGAAAACAATTCGCACGTTCGTGAATTTCTTCATGTGATAGGAGACAAGAATTGCTTAGAACGTATACATAATAGTATTAGATAATTAACTAAATAATATTATTAATACGAATTCTAATTTTAATGATGCAAGTAGAATAAATACAAAAGATAACCGATACTCTATATATGTAATTCATTAACTTCATATAGTTACTCTGCGCCATGGTATAAGATAAAAAATATTATACTATATAGACTATCTAGATGCTTTTGGTTCATGTGGGGTACGAAATGTGGCTTATAAAGGGTAATGCAATTAACACTATATAATGCACACCGAGTGCAAGGTAGGGTAAAATCGATTACCCCATGCTATTTTTCCCTATTTATACTCCATGTAGCATCACTGCACTTATTACTCCGTTTGAAGTTATTTTTTACCTCATATTAATGCAAAATTTCTAACTGTGTAGCTTCAGTTTGGACCATATATCGTATACCACAAGGTTGAGGCTTGGCAAAGGTAAATTTTTTTCGGTAAAGGAATTGTGGACTTCAACCACCCGGTTACTATTTTGGTCTCATGAGCAGGATCTGAAACGTCCTTGAATGTCAGGTGGCTATTTTTGAGTTGGGAGAGGTTCGGGGGTTTCACAGTCCGCTCGATAACTTCAAAAAATATTTTTTGACACGAAATTTCAAACCCCAAAGGCAGAAAAATCGCGTTTTAGACCAAATCCAACTTACACCCAATAAAAAATCACAGAAACAGAATGGTGCGTCCGATTAACGTTTTTAAAAATTTTATGGACAGTCTGGACTCATGGGGCCTGGACACGGTCCTTTTGCTATTTTAGTTGGCCTCAATTGTAAAAATTTGCTCGTCTTTTCAAAGTATTTGTTTTTTATTTTTCAAGAGCGTACCGCATAATCAGCGCCGGGCTTCTGAGGGGTCTACATATCTTTAGTTGGCATTAATTTACCAAGTTTTCCTTCTTACCTCTTGAAGACATAAGTCCAATGTTTAGTCTAAGGGCCCGGGACATGGTTTTGCTTAACCCGTCAATTTGCAGGGAAAATTTTTTGTGGGTCCGGCATGAATTTGGACAAATTCAGGTTTTCCGCGCCTTTATAATGCTTGTTGACCTTTCTGACCGTTCCCTTTCACTTTTGTCTCACTCAGCAGCACTGCCAGTGTCAGTGGATCATTTTTTGGTACGGTCAACCCTTGTGCGATCAGTTTAGATTTTTAGTGAGCAATTGAAAAATGCCGAATTTTGTTGTTTTAAAAAATGTTGCTAAAAAATTGCAACAGGCTGTTTCTCCTTATCTGTCATTCTGGCACCTTGGATCAAAGAAATTTCAGATCATGGTTTCTAATTGCATGGGCATTTCAATAAAAAATACTACAAATGTCTAACATGACCATACCTGTGCAGCTTCACTCAATTTACCCAAATTGAAGCTTCATTCACGATGAGGGAGTGAAGGAGAGTGAAGCTGAGTGAGGGAATTTAAAACTTTGATCGAGTGAGTGAAGGTGAGTGAGGGAGGCCCAAATGAGAAATGAGTGGAATGAAGGGTGAAGGAGATGAAGGCTTCATCTCTTCACACCTTCTCCTCCGGGGAAGAAGGGTGGAGGAATATAGGGTAGATAATTAGTTTACATACTCAAATAAGCGTTGGAATATCAACATAGTACCGTCTCGTATTACCCCATGCAATTTTCACCGTGCCCCAGTCCAATGTCACGTTGCCCCAACCCAGTCTCACGTTGTCCCAGCCCAGTCTCACATTACCCCAGTCGAATCTCACATTGCCCCAGTTCAGTCTCACATTGCCCCAGTCCAGTCTCACGTTTCCCCACTAGATGGCGCCAAAATATTTATATTATAATGACGCGAGAGACTGAATTGAGTGAAAGAAAGAGTGAAGGAAATAGATGATTGAGGGGAGTGAGTGACGTGTGAGGAATGAAGGAGTGAGCATTAGATTTATATGTGAGTGAAGCTTCACTCAGCCTTCCTTCACGCGAGTGAGGGGAGTGAAGGGAATTTGTGTCGAGGTGAAAATGAGTGAAGTTGAGTGAAGGGAAATTCGCTTGCACAGGTATGAACATATTATTTTTACCTATTATCTATTATTTTTTTACGCGCGGAAGGCGTTGGTCATTACAATTGGCCCTACTTGGTACATGCTTGGGAAGAGTTTTCACGCGAAATCGAAACTGAGTAAAATTTTTGCTTGAGCAAAATTTATAAGCGGCCAGAATACACCGCTTTCGAAGGCATATCTATTTCGCTTAATTTTCATTCCGAGGTACTCAAAATAAAATAAAATTAAAATGTATGATTTGTACTAAGAATACTCAAAACCATCTTACGTTTCGGATATGTTTAAAATACGTTTTATGTCTTAAATAATTCTAAATTAAAAGATTGAAGCGATTATCAAATGAGATACATTTATTACATCTTATAAAAAAATGAAATCAAAATGTAAACCTTTCATGTTTTAGCAGATATGTGGGTTTGGAACCCTGTGGAAATGCACCTGTTAAAGTGTAAACAATTTTAATAGAGATTATATAAGTCGATGCGATGCAAATTAACTGTACCACCTACATATATAGATACGGTTCTCTAAGATCCATTAATCTGGCGACGTACACGTAAATAATTTAACGACGTACGGGAAATCTAAAATACTAGAATGCATTCATAATTATACAATTATCAACAATATGTAACGGCTGTTGGCTATGATGCAATAAATCAATTATTATGACTAAAATGCGTTCATCTAATTCCCTTCAAGTTTTCGTTCTAATATTCATTTACAAGCTCGATCCTCAAAAACGGTAAGATTATCAATGAATTTAGTTTGTTTCTGAGTGGTAAATTTTTCATTGCCACAGCATTACTAAAAATTGTGTCCGTTATTACCGTCCTGGTAGTCACATGTATACTCCGGTGAGTAATGATTTAATGTAAGTTTTCTAAGGGTGAAAATCTGTATTTGGCTGTCCGGACATTTACGACGATCATGGTTTTTGTAAATGGTACAAATATCTACCTACGTACGTACAAACTTTTCGTTTTTGACTATTTGCTAATATTTCTTTAGCGGAACTACACAAGTATGAAATTTTGGTTTTCATATAAATAATTTATTATACCTTGAAGCCTCGATCTTGGTTTACGTTTCGAGTAGATCTTAAATTTGGTATTAAAAACTGACAATATATTTGTAATTTTCTGAGTTTTGTTAATTTTAATTTAAGACCTGATTATGAATATGAATGCTAGACTTGAATTATAAAACGTTATTGGTTTTGATTTCCACCAGCCAATGGAATAATTTTAAATAAAATGCATATTCCTTTGTAAGTAAAGTTATCCAAAAAAGACGGCAAAATAAGTAGGATGGAATTAATTTAACATCGCTTATTTAGGTGCATACTGAAGCACCTCTCTTATGTACCAATAAAAATCAAGTCTGACCAGGAAAAATTAACTGAGAACTAAAAGTGTAATCATTTTACTCAGAATTACATGTCCGTTATAACTCCGTTTAAACTGAGAATTATGAAAAATCATGAAATACTTACTTTTTGAATTATGTATGTGTCTACACTCTTAATAATCCGGTAAAGTCACGCAGGTAATGATTTATCGGTAATAAATTTGGTAATGTTTTACCAGGCAGTAAAAATTCGTTACAATAATGGTAAAACTTTATTCCCAAGCCATTACCACACAGTACAACTTATCATTACCACTTTGGTAGAGTCATATACTTGTGCTTTTCGGTAACGTTTATTACCGGATTATTTACAGTGTAAGGTTAACTTAAAATGCTACCGGTGTCAGTGGACGTGTGAGCAGTACAATCTAATAAAATTAACTATTTGCTACTAAAATGTGCTACCGTGATTGCTTTATTTCTCACTGACAATGAGGAGGTGTGAGGTGGTTATCGCCGATATCCACCGGACTAATTTTTAATTAATTTAAATTGTTTAATTTAATTTTTTTCTAATTTTTCACGTTCAAAAATAAGTGGACCCGTATTTTTTCGTTTTCCTGAATGGGCATGTTTACGCCCTTGGCGGAATTTTCAAAAAAAATTCAGCCAAAATTCAGATTTTTAAAAACGCTGTAACTTTTCGAATTTTAACCCGATTTCAAAAAATAAACCCAATTTGTGTTCAGAATCACATCCCTGAAAATATGAAAATTCGTTTTTAAAAATTTTAAAAATTTGATATTTTCATGCTATTTCTGAGTTTTTATAAACCTAAAAAACGAGAATTTTTTGAAAATTTAAAGTTTTTTAAAAATGAATTTTTATATTTTCAGGGATGTAGTTCTGAACACAAATTGGGCTTATTTTTTGAAATTGTGAGCTGTGACAATTTCAAATAATCTGGTAACAACGATGCATACAGGACAGAAAAGATCCGCTACTATGTATGCGGCAAGGAACTGATAAAATTAAGTACATTGCTACGACATAAAATGGAGTGGGTTTGTTACAATCTTGTGTCAAATTGTACCTGACACGGAGTGAAAACTTTTTCTTACTATCCAATAGCAAATTCTTACCAAACCGGTGAGGTCATATTTAGACACCGCCAGGTAGCGATTTTTTAGCGATTTTGCTTTCAGTGTAACTTTGTGTGCAAGATCAATAAGGAAAACAAATTTATGAAATATACACACATATGCATGTATGTCTGCAAATATATGTACATGTGGTTAAGTATGTACCACTCGTATATAACACACGCAGAAGTATGCACACTGAACATTTTCCTTGTCGTTATCTTGATGTATGCTCCGTGAATATCTCCACTTTGAAAAACATGAAAAACATCTTATAATATGCGAAATATGCCTAAATTAAGTCGAATATTTCAAGTTTATGACTCTATATAAATCCAACCTTCGTCAGAGAACATTTCTGTCGTGAAAGTGTATCTGGAAAAATAACAGCTCGTACTCCGTAGCAAAGTTAAGTCTGACCTGCGAAAAGGCATCTTTTAGCGTTACGGGAATAATGGACAATAAAATTGTGTTAGTTACATAATATATTTCCAAAAATTTGGAGAATTATTTTTTGAACATTTCCAGCAATAATTCTTTGGCGTTAAAAGAGTATTAAAAAAATAGTAATTTTGAGATTTTTTTTAGAACTTTATGGGAAAATGATACCAACAACTCGGCAACTCAGGACAATCTGGACTATGAAATGGACACCAATTCAGACTCTGCTCAAAATAATGGGAACGGAAAAAGTGCTGTCAGAATTCCAGTCGCTGTTAGGGTTCAACATGCTTCCAAAACCTATGGGGCTGGTCCGGAAGTACTCAAAAATCTCAGCATGACAATTGAAAAGGGAACAATGTCAGTTTTTATAGCAGAAACTTCTTCTTCTATCCATTAGTCTGTACACTCTTAAGAACACTGCTACACTTTGGAAATTAAATGCGGTTTTAATTTTATTCTAAGTAAAACATACTAAATCCATACTAAATCCAAAATTTTACTCTTCATCAACACTTTGAAAAATCAGATAACAGCTATTATCAACCGATGACTATACATATGTGACACTACCGCCATGGTTACAAATTATTACCGAGTGATCGTAAATGTTTTACCATTCTGAGAATATTTTTTACCCCCTGGTTGCGCTTATTACCAGCCCTTTAACAAATTTACTACCACTCGGCAACAACTTATTACCAAGGCAGTGGAAACACATTTGGTCACTGCTTGGTAATAAACTTGTAACCGGATTTTTTAGAGTAAAGTTAAACTTATTCTGGATTTAGTATTGTTTACTCAATGCATTTACTTTTCAATAGGGTTACAACATTTAGTAGCGCCCAATATATGGATTAAATTTCTTCCAGTTATTCCCTTCTGGGCTCATCCGGCTGCGGGAAGACGACCTTGTTGTCGTGCATTGTGGGAATTCGGAAACTAGATTCGGGAGAAATTTCCGTCTTCGGTGGAGAACCAGGTTCTCGGGAAAGTGGAATTCCAGGCAAACGTGTGGGATTCATGCCGCAAGAAAACTCATTGTACAATGACTTTTCAATTAATGAGTCAATGCAATATTTTGCCGCTCTGTATGACATGAGTGGTCACGACCTGAGAGAAAGTCGTGACTTTCTCGTCAAATTCTTAGACTTGCCGGACCCTGAGAGAAGCATAGGGACTTTGAGGTTTGTTTTGATTTACCATACACACATTTGCATAATAAAGATGAAGACATTTATGATGTTTTCGGATCCTAAAATTAGTTGTGACAATACAAAATTACGATCTTTACATAGTTCGACCCCTTCTGTTTTCTTCGTAAAAGAGATATCTTACGATACTACGGATACGAAGAAAATTATGAATATCCCCAGTATAAAATTGTATCCATGAATTAAAAGAATACTTATTTTTTTATTTTAGTGGGGGTCAAAAAAGAAGAGTTTCACTAGCACTTTCTGTAAGTACAAATATTCCAGAACCTACTTTTATTAGTACTAATAATTTATTTTATTGCACAGTTGATTCATTCTCCTGAACTTCTCATCTTGGACGTAAGAATCATTATTAGATATGTATAATGAGTATAATTAAGAACTAACTAGTACTGATTTTAACAATATAATTATTACCTATCAAATTAATTGGAGCCCACAGTCGGGATCGACCCCTTACTTAGGGAAAAGTGAGAAACTTTTAGATAGATTTTAAACCTATGCTTTTTATATATAAATACATACGTATTTATTTACATATATATTTTACACCTTTAATATTTTTCTAGCATTTGGAATCATCTCTTAAGTCTCGTTGCAAAAAAGAACACCACTGTTATCATAACTACCCATTATACGGAGGAAGCTCGTCCATCCAATAAGGTACGAAAAAGTTACATAAATACATGTGTAAATACGTACATATGTAAATATGTATGTATGTACATACATATATACGCATATTGCATAAGTAAATCGTGGCAATTCAAGGAGACCTTGGTAACACAGCATAATCCATAAATTGTGGAAGCCTACGGTGCATATGTTTACAAAATTTTACAAATATTTCTGAGGAAAATTAGCTTCCAAATTAACGTTTTCAAACTTATCCCGATCAAGAGTCTGTTTATTTTGTAAAGGTTGGCAAGAGTATTTTATCTACAAAATATGATGATTTTTGCCTGTGTTAATGTCCTCTGCTTGCAAACACAAATGACAAATGCAGCTAATTATTCCGATAATGCTTAAATTGCTAATTAATTTGTCGCCATAGATCGGACTAATGCGAGGTGGACGCCTCATCACGGAGTCCAGTCCGCAAGAACTGCTCGCCCAACATGAAACCAACTCGTTGGAAAATATTGTTTTAAAATTGTGCAAAAATGACAGTATGGATATAGACAATCCACATGTTCAGAATAGACGAATATGTACGTCATTAAATTATATTATCCTGCATTTTATTTCTATTTTAATTCAATTTTTGTCTCCTGTTTAGCAGCAATTGCAACGATTACATCCATCGGAAAAATAACTTACCGCAAATTTTCCTCCGCCGGCTCAATCCAATACAAACCGTATGAATCGACTACATCCTTCCAAAGGATTAAGGCTCTAGTGGGCAAAAACTATGTGGTCATGACGAGAAATTTAATCCTCCTTTTGTTCATGATGATCGTCCCTGCGACACAAGTCCTCGTCATTTGTCTGGCTATAGGAAACGATCCCAAGTAAATATGTTATATTATCACACTGTTAGAAATCCAGTATTAAAATAATACCAAACTGGTATAAAGTGACATTGATAAGTGATACCGTGCGATAGTAATTTGGTATTGAATTAAATACGTGGGTAGCCAATTTTTACGGACGGGTATATGTAAATAATTTCAATACCAAGCGGTAGCAAATTTAATACCGAGAAATTAACATATGTACCTAGTATGCACCAGATTTGGAGTGTCGACTCACATCAAGGGTGGACTTCGATATTCACTTATACATACCTGACTAATTTAATTTAAACACATCAAATTCAACCAAGGTTTAAATTATCTGTAAAATTTCAGGCCTATGTGGATGGGAGTGGTTAATCACGAATTAAATTACACTTCCTGTCCGATACTGGATCCTGCAAGTAAACAAGGTGAAGGATGCGACGTGGAGAACTTGAGTTGCAAATTTCTCGCGGAAATACCTACCGACACGATTTATTTGGTAGGAACATTGAAAATTTGGCCCTCGTAATTAAATTTCTAAATTGTTTCTAAATTTGTACTCTTTACCTCAGAGAGATTACGCAACCGATGAGTTAGCCAGAGATGCTGTGAAAGCTGGAAAAGTGTGGGGATTCTTCACTTTTCCGAAGAATTGGTCGGATAACTTGTACGAACGTGCCAGCGCGGCAGGAACGATAGAGAATGAAACCTTGCGAGGATCCTATGTCAAAATGGAGATGGACTACTCAAGTAGAAATTCGAAATTTTTAATTATTTATTATGTATGCCAAGTTAAAAAATTATATGATTCCCATGTTTAGACAAGCAAATTTCTTACGCCATCAAAAGCGAGATTTATGACGCGTTTGAAATATTTCTGAAGGACGTGTTAGTAAAGTGTGGATTTTACGAGGGTTTGGCAGAATCGCCGATTCAGGTAAGCCAGCCATTGGTGTTATCGGTATTTTTCCATTTTGATGGTTATAAAAAGGGTATTCATTACGAGTTCAAATGTTAGCCTTATTATTAATTAATTAATTAGAATAATTTTGGCAAAAAATTGCTAACTGAATAAATACTAGTCTTGAGGATGCGCAAATTCGGAAATGAATTTTCAAGCTATTTTTCTGCGAGTTTGTAAACTTTATTTTTTTTACTAATGTTATGCGAACTCGGAATGAATACCCCAAATGTTTACGTCAGTATGTAGATCCTGTTTATGGTACGGATGATACCGATTTTAAGGAATTTATCTCACCCGGTGTCCTTGTAGCGTGAGTATTTAGATAACTGAATTTTGGCCCCTGAAAAAATTCATGTACCAAATTTCATTAACAATTTTTGCAGAATAATGTTATTCTTTCCACTCTGCTCGACTGCGGTTTCATACATCTGGGATAAGAAACAAGGAACGTATGTAAATAAATAAAATTGTTGAATTTTTTGCCAAATTTTTTAGCATGAAATTTCTTATCTGTATTTATTTTTAGCCTGGAGAGAAGCATGGTGGCCGGGGTGTAAGCAAAATTACAATTAAATATTATTAATCAATTAATTAAAAAAATTAATTAAATTAGTTAAAATTTTAAAAAATTGAAAAATTAATTGCATATTAATTAAAATTAAAATTAAATTATATGAGAAAAATTCGCATGTCCAAAGTTTTCTAAACAAAAACATTTATTCATTTCAGGCAATCATGGGAAATTATGGCATCACTTTTACTAACGGAAGGAGTCGTAGTCGTGATTCAGTGCATTTTCTCATTTTCCATCATTCTCTACTTGTTCAATATTGAGATCTTGGGAAGTACGAGTTTAGCCGTTGGAATTACTTTGTTGATGGGATTGGGAGGAGTATCAATGGGTCAGTGTTAGGATTAAATGGTTTTAATTATCCAGACAAAAAAAATGAGGATTAATATTCATTATTCTTTCATATCCTTGGTATTTTTCTTGAGTAAAATAAGTTATGACGATTACGAGATTGTTTATGCGTCTTAAGATTTGTCGTAAAAAATCACGTTACGATTTTTACGAAGCTCTATCCCTTGTTATAGGTACTAGGCTGATATTCTACTAACAAGGGACACTCACGACCTGTCGTTTGAGTCCAGGGTACCCACTATGTTTTTTTAGAATCTACGAGGACCCCTGATGAAGGATTCATTCATATTTCCGTGTAAAATTCATATTTGGCCCAATGGCGTGGCGCCAAACTTAAAAATTTACATTTTCGACCAATTTCAAACCCCCATAACTTTTGCAATTTATGTCGGATTTTTAAAATTTTATGCTTAAAATGATCAGAAAAGTCGAAATTTTAGGGAAAAAAATAAAAATAAAAAAATTAAATTTTTGAGATATTTTTAGCATTTTTTCGACGAACCTGAAATTTCGAAATTTTACGAAAAGTTAAAAGCGGTAATTTTGGAAAAAATGTCATAGAATACGAAAGTTGAACTCCTTGTCATGATTTTTGCCAAAAATTTTGAAAATCCGTCCAGGATTTCAAAAGTTATGGCGGTTTTAAAATGAAAAACCATCAAATTTGGCGAATTTGGCGCCACGCCATGGCGCAAAATATGAGTTTTACACGGAAATATGAATGAATCCTTCATCTGTTGTCCTAGTAGATTCTAAAAAACATAGTGGGTACCCTGGACTCAACCGACAGGTCGTGAGTGTCCCTTGTAAGCGTAGGCTCTCTTGTCTGTCTGTCAGCAGGATAACTGGAGATTAGAATCGAGATTGGTTGACGATATAATACTTGTGATCCCAGGGGTGGACTCTATATTTCAATTTTTGGGTAAATCGGACCACCCCCCTCGAGTTCAGGGTGTGTAGTCGCACAATGTTTGGGAAAATTGCTTGTTTCACCTCATTGCTACATTGCTACATACGGTTTATTTTTTTCTCGTAAAGTATTTTATTATACGAAGGATACGAAGGTATAATGAATGAGTATACCCTTACTGAAGATTTTAAATAAATAGTTATGTAAATATGGCAGGAATGCTGATTGCTTCCTTTTGCGACGAAGAAATTTCGGCAGTGATGTTAGCCATCGCAACATTTTTCCCCAATATGATTTTGTCAGGTTTCAGAATTGTGTATTTATTTAATTGAGCAGATTATGGCGTTAACGTTAACTGAAATAATTTTAATTTTAGGAATTATCTGGCCAATTGAAGGGATGCCAATTATAATGCAATACTTAACGTACCTACTCCCCTGCAAATTGGCGGCCGAATCGATCCGTTCCATCATTTCGCGAGGATGGGGATTTTCGCATACTGGAGTTTGGCCAGGATTTGCTACAACGGCGGCGTGGATTGCCTTTTACTTATTGCTGACTTTGTTGATTCATAAGTTTAGGTTTTCGCAGTTATAGATTGTAGTGGTTTTTTAAGCCGATCAAAATATTTGTCAATTTTCAGCGATGTGGATTTTCCATATTGAATAAACTCTGGATTTCTCGCGAATGTGTCAAACATGCAAATGAGGTGACTAGCACAAATTATTCCATTGATCACGCAATGCTTATGCTGATGGGATTATTCCTGTAACAGCGAAATAACTGTAAGCAATATGCATATTTATGCAGAAATTATTAATCACGTTGCTATTATTCTGTCGATAGATTCTGAAGATATGTAAGACTATAAACAGTCAATTACTTTTTGATATTTAAAATATACTTAATAAGTACCCTGTGAATCACAGGCTGTGATAGAAATCCAGTTTCTACACGTTTGTTTGTTAGTCGTTTGAGTAAGTAAAGGCGGAATGGTCATTTCAGAAATAAATATTCCAATTTTATTGTGCGTATTTAACATGTAATATTACTCTTAGTTGATGACAACTAAGTACTTGGTACTTCTTTGATTAATTTGGAATGTATTTACATATAAATGATTTTACTCTTGCAGAAAGAAAATAGATATTAACATTTCTAGGTAATTTCTGCGATCCTATTCATTAATTTGCTGCTTTACGCGAAATAAATTCCCCAAGCTCGAATCGATATTATCAACGACAAATTGCAAATCAATCTTTATCGTTTCCAGCGGGTCAGGAATTAAATTCTCTACGTCGGGAATGTACTCTCGCATTTTGGCGCAACTTGCGCTCTGAAATCGCGCCATATCTTCAACCCATCTCGCCTGCAAGGGTAATTTTCCCTCTGCTATGTACCGTGTTAGGGCGTCATCACGAGAGTAATAATCAAGCCATTTAGTTAGTAGTGACCCTTTACCCTCGCTTTGCAGGTGTGTGACGAAATCAGCATATGCGACTTGGCTGAATGGGGTGTTCAATTTTGTGTTTTGTAGTAAGGTTTGAATATTGGGATCATTAAGTATTTCCTGGCATCTGATCTCGCTATTGAAGTTCCCATTTTGAAGAATGTGAACAATTTCATCCTGGTTAATGCCCTCGTTCCCGCAAAAATCTGACACGACCCTAAAAGCATCATCCTTTTCCATCATATTTTTCGTACTGCCCAGATTCTTATAAAATGCCTCCGCTACAATATTTACATAACCAACAAGTTACTCGTGTGTATTTATATCAGTTCATATCAAGCTTGAATTAGTTAAGTACCTAATCTCAGTTTTCCACTAAATTTTTCAGAAAGCTTCCCAAGATCAGTATAACTTCTAGCGTGGGGATTTGTAATATTGAATATTCCGCTAGGAATATTTTTGTTAAAAAATAACTTCAGTGTAACATTTACGGCGACGTCAACCGGTACAAGATGGAGAGGAAAGATTACGTCTGGTGTAACATTTTTCATCATAGAGTAGATGATCTCCAGGAAGAAATGGTCATTCCCTAAGTTTGTCTTTTTTCCGTTTCTGCTATCCCCAAAAAGCATGGGAAGTCGGAATGATTTTGCAGGCAGCCCTCTTTCAATTGCTTGACAGACGAGCCGGTCGCCAATAAATTTCGAGATTGAATACCCATGGGATGGACCTTCGTCAAAGTCACCATCTTTAGGGAAGGTTTCTGGATACCCGGAATAATTTTCTTGCTGATTTTGTGGAAGCCATATTGCGAGTAACGTGGACGCGTTATAAAAGTGTTTTTTCTTTGTACTGCATGCAAATTGCAGAATATTTTGGGTTCCTGTGACGTTCAATGCTCTTAATCCAATCTTTGAAGATGACGAACGTCCGTACATTTCCATATGAGAGGTTTGAGCAGCACAGTGGATAACAGCGTCAACATGTGAAGCAAGCTGTTTGTACACATCTAACCCGAGTGAGAAGTTCTCCAATACCACATCACCGTCAAGCGCGATTACTTTGTCGATTAAGGTTGCAGTAAAAAGACCCAGTTCTTCTAGACGCTGGACAATTCGGTCTAAAAAATATTCAGAGTTACATTATCGGGTTGTACGTATGAGAATATAGTTGTATGCTTATACCTCTCCCAGACGCATGTTTTCCTGGCCGAACCAAGCAGTAGATCGATTCGATTTGAGAAGTTTGGCTCAATTGTTGCAACATGTACGGTCCCAGAACTCCAGTACATCTGGTTAAGAAAACAAATTTTGGAGACGAAATTGCAACTTCGCGGAGAGACGCAGCTGGATTGGTACTTTCCCAAAGTTTCGAATCGTCCTAGATTATGAAATATTTGAGCACAAAGGACAAATGTACATAATTACAGTTTTGTATGAATTTTTGAGCACCTTAATCAACTTATTTCGTTCGAATAATTTGGCACATTGGTCACCTGGTCCTTTTGAATACATTATATTTAGCATAGTCACGGTAGTTAAATGCAGTGTATGGCAATCGGCTAGGTCCCCTACGCGAATTGTTTTAGATTTGCCAAGTAAACCTTGCAAGGCATTCTTCATTTCAATCATCATTAATGAATCTAAACCAAGGTCTTGCAAAGACTCATTTGGGAGGAGCTCCTCGTCCAATTTGAGTAGCTTTTCAATTGTGCGAGTGACAAATGACTTCATGACCGTATACCGCCCATCCTCGGTGTCTTCACAAGTTTTAAGTGCACCCCATAAACAATCTGAAACAGCCAGACAATTTTTCTACACACGACATCCTTAATTGCTTATGTCTTTACCTGAGTCGGACTCCCAAACGGCGACATTTGAATACCTCCGGGAATCAGTGCCTGCGTTCATAACCTGTTCAAGATAAGTGGTCATCCATGGGGCCAAACTGCTGCTGCCAAGTGATTCAATATCCATATCAACAGGAGAAATTTGTCGAAGTCCTGTCGTTAGACAGTAACCGAGTGCGGCTAGGCCATCTTGTGTAGAAAATGGCTTCACGATATTCACCACTTCTCCTGCAGCAACCCCAGTCTCACCCCACTGACCCCAATTGATGCTTGTGCCCGGTAGCCCCAGAGACTGCCTGTAGTGGACCAGACCATCAAGGAAAGCATTAGCCAAGGCGTGATTGCTTTGTCCTGGTAAACCTTGTTTAATAACATATGAACTCCATTACATCAATTTTACAACACGTGCATATTCCTTTACTATACCCAATAATGCGACAATTGAAGAGAACACGACAAAGTGTTCTAAATTCTTGTCCTTGGTCAACTGGTGAAGGCTCTATCCGCCTGTAACTTTGGGATGTTGGGTGGTCAGAAAACTCTCAGATGTTTGATTCGGTATTACTCCATCAGCAAGCACGCCAGCAGCATGCATAACGCCTTTTAAGGGCATGCTTGACCACTCGGACTCCAACCAAATGAATAGCTTCTCACAGTATGACGTATCACCAATGTCGCCAAACGAAATTGATATCACCTGGTTCTTAGCAATGGAACTTTGTATTAATTCAATTTCTAGCTTGATTTTCGGGTCCGGTTCAGTTCTTCCTACCAGAACGACATGACCAGCTCCGTTATTAATTAACCACTTGACTACTTCAAACCCAATCCCACCACACCCCCCAGTGACGACGTAGGTAGCTCTGTTATTGAACAGTTTAAACATTGGGGTAGCTTGTGGATCGCCTTTGCTTGGTTCCGGGTATTTGACAACTACTTTCCCAATATGATTTGCCTCCTGAAGATAAACAAGTGCAGCCCGGATGTCTACCAATTCAAATACCTTCTGGGGCAGAGGGACAAATTCGTTATCTCGCAATTGCCGGTAAAGTTCCTAAATTATTAGAAAAAAACAGTCTGGTTGTTATTGATTATTTACCAATACCCAAGGTAGTCTTGCAAGGGATCGGACGTACCTGAAATAACTTCATCCTATACTCGACAGGCAGGATGGTCACATCCTCAATTGAATATTCAACATCAGACCTTAGCTTGCTGACTTCGTCATTGTTTAAAATATTAAGCTTGCTCATTTCAACAAATCTTCCTCCCTTTGCAGTACACGAAAGTGAGGTTTCGATAAATCCATGGCCCGTGAGTGAATTTAAAACCAGGTCAACTCCTTGGCCATTGGATGCTTTAAGCACGTTCTTTCCGAATGTCAGGTCCCTTTTCAAGTAGCATATTTTTCAATGAAAAAATCCAATGCTTTAAAGCTCAACTAAATAATAAAGCAAACTACCTTGAGTTGAAAACTATATTCTACTCCAATATGCTTCAGATAATTACGCTTTCTTTCACTTCCGACGGTGCAGTAAACGATTGCGCCTATTTTTCTAGCAATCTGTATTGCACAAAGACCAACGCCACCAGACGCTGTGGATCAGAATACGTTGCCCTTTTCTCAACTGCCCAATAGTTATTAGACAGTGATACGCTGTTAAAAATACGGTTGGAAATGCAGCTCCATCAGTAAATCTATTTAAGAACAGAGCTTTTGTTATTTCATATAGTAAATGTCGCTTAGTTATTAGGTGCTGACATACCCAATAGCATTTGGAAGTAGGACAGTGCAGAATTCGTTCATAATCTCATGTGAGGAAAATGCCGCTCCATGGTATTTGCAACCAATAACCACATCACCAATCTTTTTGCTTGTGACACCTTTACCAACACGAATAACGACTCCGGAAAAATCAACCCCAACCGTATTCACGTTCTCGAACTCTTGGCTGGGCTTGAGGATAGCAAAAATATCTCGATAATTTAAACTCCAAGCACGAATCTGAACTTCAATATCATTAACTTCTAAGTCTTTTGACACAGTGATTATGTCCCTTTGAAATCGTAAGTCGGCAACAGTATTTGCTTCCGGGAGAACAAGGTGGTACCTTGGTGGAAAATATATAGAAATAGTGATACGAGGTTGTATCGGGTTAATTTCAGCTTAATATCTCACCGAGATCCACTTAGTTCAAGTGATGGATGACGTAAGTGATCGATGACGTGACGGGTATAAAAGGACGCAATCTTGCCTTGTACTTGGTATTATTTCGGTAGGCGACCAGAAATTCATCGTTCTCAGTTCCTTGCATAGCCTCAGTGAGTATATATCCTGCGTTTTTCAAATCGTCCTCATCAGGATCAAGGTCCACCAACCTTCCATTGGCTGCAGGGTTTTCGGATAGGAATGGTCGAAATAGGCCATGCAGTTGCGAACAAAACGGCAAGTTATATGTAGGCGAATCATTCCCAGCGAACGACTATTCACACAAGGTTGTACATATTTGATGAGTACGAGATTAATTTTCAGGTTTTCTCACCTGACCAACGGTTACAATTAAAATCTTGATATCCGATGTTCCTTGATTCATCAGACCTTGAAGGCACTTTAGGCACTCGTTCGCCACAAAAATGGACTCTCCCGGCATTACACTTTCATCTACGGTTCTGGCAGACTCAAGGAATATGATTCCTTCTAACCCCTGGTCGACACAGTCATCGTCTATCACCTGATGTTTTGCCTGCACCCAACAGAACTACTTATCACTAGGAATTTATGTTTTTTGGCAAATACGAGTATATTCTAAATTCGATCACCTTTGGTGGTACTACAATTTGCCGGTCATATTTGTTTTCTAAGTACTCAGCTACAAGAGTACTTAAGCAATTTTCCCTTCCATACAGGATCCACAACTTTCTATTGAATTCCGGCATGCCTGTATCACTGTTCGCTATTACTGGTAGCCATATTTGATCGTAAAGGGTCGGCATCTTGATCTCAGCCTTGCGATGTTTTAGCATTTTTTGTAGGCGATCACTGGTAGTCTGTATGGTCTCAATACCTTGTTGGACCGCTAGTGGAATTCCATCTTCTCCGGAATACATCGTTACATTGTTTTTGTTACAATGGATATAGACAGAAATAGTTTCTCGGGACCAACAGGAACTTTGAGCTGGCCAATTGAATTAGTCTCTTCCTTCAAGATAATGGACGCCTGCAACATCCCGTCCAAAAGAATTGGATGACACAGATCACGTTGATCTTTGAGAATTAATGTTCTTCTTAATATCCGTGTTGAATCATTAATTTAAATATCTTACAAAATATTTGGTTCAAAATATTTGGTTACCATAATGCCTATATGGAATTTGGACGATGGCCAGTAGCTCCTCGTTTTCAATCGACAGACGTGATATACTTTGGAATAACGTACCAAACTTGTAGCCCATATCGTAAAGGGATTGGTACATCGTCACAGGGTCTCGAATTTGTTTGACACGTTTTCGAATAGTGTCGATACCTTCAAATATCAAGCCGGTCACCACTGAAGAGTACGAAAATTCAGGTTGAAATTCACATTCTGTATGCAGTTGCCAATCTTGCTCTGCCGAAGTTATCTTACGAAAAATTATAAATTACGGAATTAAGTAATTAAATTATTAAGTAGGTAACTTAGTAAACAGGCTCCATACTAACCTGTTTAGAGTATGACCTAATAGCTCCAATTTTACTTTCACCATCATTATCATATACAACCGTTGTGCAAAGCTGTAAGTTATCGTTTTCCAGTTGGAGCGCCGCTTGAATTCCGAAGTTTGTCAGCACGATCGGAAATCCCATGCCATGAAGCGTAGACGCGCGTAGCGCAATTTCTAAGAATACCGCAGCTGGAACTAATATAAACTCGAAGATTTTATGATCTGCCACATATGGGTAGATCGTTAATCCTACTTCGTTCCTGTATTGCGTTTCTATTTCTTGTCTTTGTGACTTCATCCCGGGAAATACCATCATTTCTCCCAGCCAAGGATGAACATCTTTCAGAGGGTAACTTCTTGTAACGACGTCATTTTTCCTATATATCCACACGCTTTTCCGTTGGAAAGGTTAATTCGGCAAATCTACCTTGCGACAGGGAAGGCCTATATGAAATTCTTTCCAGTTTATATGATATCCTAGGGCAAACATAGAACAAATGGCTTCTTGTAGCTCAGTTTCAGTTGTCGTTTTGCTGTTACGCATTGTGGGTAAACATTTGATATCGCAAGCAGGCGATACATTCGCGTGAACTAACGCGGATAAAATAGGATGTGGTCCGACTTCTACGAACAAAATTGGAACAGAAGTAAAAAACTTTTCTAGATTTTCAATTCCTCCGCAGAATTGTACCGCGTCCCGGGTGTGTCGTTTCCAGTAGTCAACGTTAGCAGGCGAAACTTGTTTTCCGTCCAGGCCAGAAAAAAATTTAATGTGATTGCCTGATTTGAAATCGATTGAGCATAGAACGTTTTCATATTCTCGCAGTATTTGGTCCATATGACGAAAATGGAAGGCATGTTCCGAAGCAAGAACATGTGCCTTTACCCCGTTATTCTTGCAGAAGTCAGCAAAGTCGAGCACTGTACATGTGGGTCCAGAAAGGACGGTCTGTGTGGGTGAGTTTACAGCAGCAATATCTAGCCAAGAGTCCTTGTGCGCTCCTGAATTACATTGTTGAGCCTATCATGTTATTAATATGGTAAAGTAATAAGGCGAATTAAAAAACAATCGAACTGTAATGCTTGCAATGAACCTTCAAGAAGACTTGCAACAATGAATTAGCATGGTCCAAGCGTGTGTTAATCGCCACCATTCGTCCGCTAGGGAGAGCATCAATTAATCTGCATCGGGTTCCGAGCATAAGCAACCCGTCTTCCAGAGTTATAAATCCAGCTGCAACTGCAGCCCCGAACTCGCCCAGTGAATGACCAATAACTGCATCAGGAACGACCCCCCAAGACTCCAGTAATTTCATAAGACAGTATTCAACGACGAATATGGAACTTGAACTGTGAATACAGGGAAGAATTTATCAGGCTCTGATCCTCGCCCCAAATTGCGGACTTGAGTTTCAGGTTGAACATATCGTTCAAAATGGTTTCGGCGTGATCAAAGGCAGTGCTAAAAACCGGATGTGAATGATATAATTGTCTACCCATGCCATAGAATTGTGATCCCTGTCCTGGGAAAAGGAATATCAACGGCCTTTTCTCAGGCACCTTCTGACTAATTTTATATTTCTTTTGATTAAGCTTTTGGAAAGCTTCCATTCCACTTGTTGCGTGAAGGGCAATTCGATGTTGAAAGTGAGTTCTTCCCGTGTTTGCAGTGTAGGCGACATCATTAAACTTATCAGTCGAATTCGATAGAAATTTTTTGTATCGGGCTATGTATTCTTCTAATGCGGTTTCAGTTTGGGTGGAGATTGTCAAGATTGTGGTAATGTCAAATCGGGCTTGCTCCTGAATATTATTAAAGCAGTTATCGAGTTTTGGATCCCATTCTTTCATAATCGTGTGAGTATTTGTTCCAGTTATGCCGAAAGAAGAAACCCCGGCAATTTTTCGGTGATCCTGTTCCGTTTCATACCAGGATCGGCCAGTGGCTGATATTTCGGCAGGAATAGTCTCTAGTGCTGGTAAAATTAGCGGGTTAATGTTATCCAGCCCGATCTGTCTCGGGACATAATTGTGCTTCATCATCTGCAACGTCTTTATAATTCCTGCAGTGCATGAAACTGATTCTGTGTGACCTAAGTTAGCCTTTCCCGCCGTGATTATGAGGGGGACTTTTCTTTCGATGGATGAATAAACAGCCTCAATTGCTTTAATCTCCATTGGATCACCCACAGCTGTGCCCGTCCCGTGTGCTTCCACTAGTTGAACGTCAATGGGGCTTATGCCTGCGTCGTTAAGTGCCATTTCAATAGCAGCAGCTTCACCACCAACAGTCGGTGTACCCATACTTTTGCTTAGCCCGTCTTGTGATTGACCATAACCTAGAATAACTCCATGGACCCTGTCGTGATCTCGCACAGCATCAGAGAGTCGCTTAAGTAAAAGAACACCACATCTGGAATTTGTAAAGTTGCTTACAGAAGGTTAAGAAGGTATACAGATGTAACGGAATCGTAAGAATCATACCCTTCACCACGAACATATCCGTTTGCTTCAGTGTCGAATACGCGACTGCGGTATTCAGGCGAGATAATATGACGAAAATCATTTAAATCGAACGCAAAAGTGATCAAGTTAATCCCACAAGCAAACCCAAGGTTTGCTTCCCCCTTGCCTAGAGCATTAATTGCCATGCCAAGAGCGACACCAGATGATGAACAACCAGATTCTGTTGATATGTTGGGACCTGTTAATCCAAGGAAATGCGCGATTCGGGAGGAAACTGGAATAAAATTCAAAAATTCAGAAGTTCAGAAACTTACCATCTGGTAAGTTTCTACTACTACACGCTTCAAGTTTATGTAGCCGTTCATCAATTTCAGTTTTCGAAGACTTACGAGTGCCTATCGAATTTCCCATGTAGTTTCGAAACCAGTCCCCCGATGATTTCCATTTGTTAGTCATTTCCAAATAACCTTGTGTGAACGGGCCAGAGAAGACACCAGTATTAGTTCCATACACTGATGAAGCGGGGACCCCAGCATCTTCCATGGCTTCCCATACAAGTTCAAGCAGAATTCTGTGTTGTGGATCGGTCCAGATCATTTCGTTGTGACTAAGACCGAAAAACTTGGGGTCACAGGTGTCAATTGGACAGGACAACCAACCAGCCTGGATTTCCCGTTGTGCACTTGTCAAGTCGTAACATTGGTCCTTTGTCCAGCGATCGGTTGGAAGTGGTCTAATTGCACACTTTCCTTCGGTAAAGATTTTCCAGAATTCGGATACATTGTTTGATCCTGGCATGCGGCACGACATTCCGATGATGGCTATTGGTTCCCTCTAATGACGAACACGGTGATACATATATGTACAAAGGATGCATTTAAGTGATATAAATTTATGAAGTGTGCACCAACCTTCGTTGGTTTCTTGACATCTAAACCTCCATTCAACAAATTGTTGACATAAGCTTCAATGCATCGATAGTAATCCATATTCTCGAAAATTTCCTTCGATTCTATGTCCGTTGACATTGGTTCCGTGACCGTGATTTTGGGATAAGACAGATTCCTATATAATGACACATATTACCCCAACCTATAATAACATCTAGATAACAAATCTTTAATCTATGTACCTTTCAGGGCAGTATTTTGCATCAAATCGAATTAAACACTCCGTATTCAGCCAGTTCACATCGAGCTTCGACATTATGATTTGTTGAATTCCTCCACTCTTCTGAAGTTCTTGACGGAATTCATGGCACAATTTTATCGACGGTTCGAAAAGAATTGGGAGTAGTGCGTCCGTTTTTTTAGCCAAGGCAACCCGTGCTTCACTTTGTAGGAATAAATCATCAGAATTTTCCAACACCTTACAACGTTATAATAGTTTCATGTATAAATTAGTGCAATTTATAAAGGACAATTGGAAAAATTATTTTCGCAATGGTACCAATGAGTCTGGTTCCATGAGAAGTATACGTTTAAAAATCGTCAAAGAATAGACTTGTAGAAACATTTCGTCCACAAATTCGTTTTCGTCAGTGGATTGTAGCGGGATCAGGGGAAATACCGCGTCAAATATCGTGTTGAGAAGAATCCTAAAATATTTGATATTCAAATTCTTCGTCTAAATTAACATTTTTACCGATCTAAATTAAATAATACTTAAATACCTGAGTTTCTCTGGTAGACCTGGGCCCGCCATGAGAACGACGTTCCGATTAGTATAACAGTTCCGCAGCGATTTGAGTAGAATGAGAGCTTTCTTGGCTTCTTCCTCTGTTCGGGCATATGTCACCCATGCGCCGTCATGTCCAACTCCTAATTAAATTACATATAAGTATGTATAAACTTAATATTTAATCACTTAAATTAAAAACTCCACGCAAAAGAACCAAAGCAAAGTTTTAAATATGTGTTTTGGTATTTTACGGTTTTGGAACCCTATACCCATCCAATGAAATATAAAAGTTTGAACAGTTTTAAGAATGTATGCTGTAATCATAGATAGTTTTATTCACTTTAATTGCACTCGATTCAGGTAACAGGTACTACAAATCTCTACGTATGTATTTATTATCTGACATGTGCTTAAATCCATTCTGCGAGTTACATTGTGATGTAAAAGATATAATGTTCTCCAGTTTATGTCAGTATGCACAATAAATGCAGTGCCCTTTTCCTCAATTATTTACATGTATGTAACTGCTTACTGAATATGGTTTTACAAGGAAAGTAATACGAGGAATAAACAGGGTTGCGACATTTAAATAAAAATTAACAAACTGGTCAATCTGAATTTTTCCTGCTGCAAGGTAGCCTCATAAATATGTACATACAGGGTGGTTTAAATGTCACGAATCGTGACATTTTCAATTGTATCGTGACTCACGATACAATTGAAAATGTTTCAATGGGAAAAGCCCTTTAATCATTATTACATACATACACTCAAAACAAAAATTTTTCAAATCAACACCGCCAGTGTCAACATGTGACTTAACCGCCTTGGTTAAAATGTTGATTCCGAGTTATGATGATTTTGATACCGGTAGTTAGAATGTTATGACCGGACGGAAAAATTTCACTACCACTTGGAATCATAGATAATTGTAACCAAGGCGGTTAAGTTATATATTGACACCGGCGATGTTGATTTGGCAAATTTTTCTTTTGAGTGTACATATTGTAGTTACCAGATTTCGAGTTGAGATTTTTATTCATTATTATCAAAACTGATGGAAAACTGATGAATTGAATGTCAGAGGCAAAATGTCGGTAACTAATGGATATTTATGAAATTTTTCCACTGTAGTGACGTTTTAACCACCCTGTATAACTATAAATACATATATTCGTACATAACTAACTAGCTGGTTTCAAAATAGTGGTTTAGTGGCCTGTTATCTTCTAAGACGAAAATTTAAAATTTAAATTTAAAGTTTACAATTAGATAAATATTACATTTATTCTACAATTGTTCCAAAATTATTAGACATTTATGTAAAATAAATCCTTTAAGAACGATGAAGGGACGAATTCCTCAACAAATGTTTTAAGCTAAATAACAAAAAAAAACACGTTTCAGCTTCTTGTTACTTAATATTTTTAATTTTTGGAACAAATATAGCTTTGTTTAGACCAAAGTTAAAAACATGATCGAAATGTCGTTAAAATGATTCTTATGTATTTGCAAGTCGTTCAAGAAGCCTATCATCCTGCCCGGGTAGGACAGCTTTAGCAGGGCGTCGAGCTGTTTCTCCTCTCTAGATTTGTCCTTACCTTGTATGATAGCACGTAGATTCGCCGGAGTTTTATCGTTGAATCCATATTTCATTAAAATTGAAAGTTTTCTCCTTGTCTTCCACTGTTTGATACAAGAAAAAAATTTCAAGAGTTTGAGGGCCGTCCATAAATTATGCAACTTAAAAATCGCGAAGTTCTAGATCTGCCTTTAGCCTAAGTATTTTACATAGGCATGATATCATTTGACCCTTAATCCGCCACCTCCCCTCTTTAATCTTCCATAATTTATGAACGTCCCCTTACTTCAAGTCGTATTCATTTACAGATATTCTATGCACCCTTCACAAAATAACGTTACCCTTCTGAAAAATGTGTATGTAAATTCACTCTAAATTCTATATTGAGTAAAACTTTACTAACAAGGGACACTCACGACCTGTCGTTTGAGTCCAGGGTAGCCACTATGTTTTTTAGAATCTACTAGGACTCCAGATAAAGGATCCTTCCAAATTTCCGTGTTAAACTCATATTTGGCGCCATGGTGTGGCGCCAAACTTAAATATTTGCATTTTCGACCAATTTTAAATCCCCATAACAAAATTTTATGCTTAAAATGATCACAAAAGTCGAAATTTTTGAGAAAAAAATAAAAATATAAAATTTCGAATTTTTGAAAAATTTTTAGCAGTTTTTCGACGAATCCCCATTTTTAAGAAAATTACGAAAGTTTGCGAAAAGTTAAAAGCAATAATTTTGGAAAAAATTTCATGGGATAAGAAAGTTGAACTCCTTGTCATGATTTTTGCCAAATATTTTGAAATTCCGTCCAGGATTTCAAAAGTTAAGGCGGTTTCAAAAATAAAAACATTCAAATTTGGCGAATTTGACGCCACGGCACGACGCCAGATATGAGTTTTACACGGAAATATGAATGAATCCTTCATCTGGGGTCCTAGTAGATTCTAAAAAACATAGTGGTTACCCTGGACTCAAACGACAGGTCGTGAGTGTCCCTTGTAAGTTAAATTAAGTGAAATTGAGCGTTTTCGCGATGTCGTGGGAGTGGTTGGGGTGAAGTAGTCTAAAGCTACTTAATTATGTGCGTTTACGACGGTTTATTTTTGAACATGCCCGAAGACGACCAGGTTACGGGTGGTGGGTTGATTTTTAACTGGGTTCCGGGCGGGGCAGGGTTTTACCGGTGTAAGGGCGCGTCGGGTTTAAGCCTGGTTAGGGATGCGTCGGGTTGTGGGTCGGAATTTACCCAGGTTGACCCGGCACTTGACACACCCCCACTATCCCATTTACTATCGTGAAGCAATATCAGGGTCCATAAATTCAGAATTGGGAACCCATGCGCGACGAAATTATCATTAAAGGCACCCACGCTTACAATCATTTGGATCGAGATGCAAGTACCCACTCCGGCTTAAACGAGTAACAGGATTGATATCAGAATGCCCCAGATTTCGAAATCGTAAACGCTTCGGAGCAAAGCGTATGTCAGAACGGATTTTGTAAAGGCTAAGAAGGCTAAATAAGCTGACGTAGGCCGTTACAAAATTCAGAAGCTTCATTTTGGGGGAGATGTCAGGAATAGTTTAACAATCTCCGGGGTAAAGTGATCTTCCCGAGCGGGAATTATTTCTTGGGGTAGAATCAATAGTTTCTTGTCTAAAATTTAATTTAATTTTTGAAACACTGATATAATCTAACAATGGAGGTCTCCCAACGTATGCTCACAGATTTGGACCAGACTAGTGTCAATCGATCACAAATATAATGAGTATGAAATTTGCAAATGCAACTATCTGCCAATGCGCAGGTTTGGCGGAGATATTTGCATAGAAAGATGCGAAAACGCACCCTCAAGGCTGGCAAATTGTTCATTTTCCTAATTTTCTGGCAATTTTTGCCACTTTTTATGCAATTATCTCCGCTAAACCTGCGCATTGGCAGGTAGTTCCATTTGCGAATTTCATACTAATTATATTTGTGATCGATTGACGCTAGTTTGGTCCAAATCTGTGAGCATACGTTGGGAGACCTCCATTGTAAGTTAGATTATCTAACAGTGGCGATAAAATAATTAAGCTAAGGAGGAAAGACACTCTACATGCCTTTCTCAGATCTCGGTGTCCTTTGGGTATTTGGTAGTCCTTGGTGACTGAAGGATAACCCTACAGTCGTTTGATGCCATGGCCACATTTGCGCCCGCCACACCCACTCAAAAGTGCCCAAAAAACGCTTTCACTCCAGCTTTCACTCATTCAAATCCTCGCCAAAAATCCAATTTTACTCCGATTTTGAAATTTCTTTCAACATTATACTCCCAGATAGTTGTTTTCTTATATCCAACATCAAACTCGACTTCTTGAAATTCTTAATATTTATAACATTTAAAATTCTGAATGAGCATTGTTGTCGTAATGAACAACGACAATTATTCCCGCGAAATAAGCATCTAACAAGTTGAGTTTTATGTTGGATATAAGAGAGCAACTATCTGGGAGTACAATGTTGAAAGAAATTTCAATTCGGAGTAAAATTGGATTTTTGGCGAGGATTTGAATGAGTGAAAGCTGGAGTAAAAGCGATTTTTAAGCACATTTGAGTGGGTGTGGCGGGCGCAAATTGGGCCATGGCATCAAACCACTCTAGGGTTATCATTCACTCACCTACGACTACTACATACTAGGTGGCCCAGGCAAACTGGTAGTGAAATGAAACGCTGTAGCCACAACAGTTTTCGTGTTACAAATTTCTGATTAATTTTAATGGAAAGCCAGTTAATTTTCGAGTGGAAAACAATTTCTAGTTTTTGAAATTTCCTCCCCCCTCATAAATCTAGCGCTGAAGACGCGGCATCCTGTCATTAATTAAAGTGCGCACTGAATTTGAGGACAAATTCTTTGATTTCGTGGCCAAAGATTTTTTTAAGGCTTGCATACTTCTGTGAACCTTAGAACACACATTTGCACATAATTTTTACAATATTTCATAATCCGGGGATTCAAATCCACCAAGAAGGATGTAAATTCCGAAGTGGAAATAAAGTCCGGAATTTGATTTTTTTTGCAACGCGTGAATCGTTTTTTCACTATGCACTGGTGCTGAGTCCTTTTGAAAGGTCTAGTCGACTCCATTGAATCGGATCTCACTTAGGGGATGTACCACGGACTTGAAAACATATTTTAAGAAATTTGATCCCCCCACCTCCCCCCCATTTTAGATGAAATTATGAGAAATTTCCTCAAATCAGCTCGCACCGGCCAAAACTACCATAAAACCTGGATATTGTGAACTTTTGACCATTTTCTTTATTGGGAACTCTCTTTGATAGATTTTGTGTAAAAAATGTTGTTTTGTTTGTTAAAAAATTGCTCCACGGCCAAAATATCCTCATCTGACAGAATCTCAACAGAATCCTCTTCAATTTTTTGGAGCGCACCGCTTCAGAGGGGCCCTGCATTTCTTAAATCTAGTTTTCCTTTGGAGGATAATCATCCTATGTCAAGGTCCACGTTTCGAAGCCTGAAGTCCAAGGTTCAGTTTGAGCACTCGTTGGATAATCTGCATCGACACTGTCAGCTGTAATGCTGGTTTCCGGCGAAATTTCGTGAATTTTTTCGAATTCTAGCCTTCAGCGCCTTGGCAATGGGTGTGGTCGTTTGAAGTTTTAAAAAAATACTTCTTCGACTGTACTTATTCAACCCAATCCCAGTGAACGTTTTTATAGTCCTCTGGACTAAATTAAAGTTCACCTTCGATTTCTGTAGTAGTTTAAAAAATTTACTATTTCTCCTCCGAATTTTTTGGTGCAAAATTATTGTCGCCTGCGTCCTTTCACGATTTTCCCTGCAGATATGCGTTGCATGTAGGTAAAAGTGAAATTATGTTTCTTATAGAAAATCGCACGACGAATCCAATGCACTTATCAGATTTTTATTATCTCCAGAGGTTTTGAAGCTAAGAGCCACTTTCAGCTTGCCTGGGCCTAGTAGGTATGCAAAAGGCATCAAGATCTAAGAGGGGCATGTAGAGGGGCTTTCCTCCTAAGTAGTCACGATGGAGTTTTCACGTGAAACCATAAATTCTGTGTAGAATATTTCTAAATTTATTCAAATAATAATTTTCACTTTAGAATAGTTCTATTATACATTTGAAATTTATAATTTTACAATTTCATAACTCCAATTAGACTTTTTTAGTCGAAATCAGGGAAAACTAACAAAGAAATATATTAATTTGCATATCACCCCATATTTATGCACTTGTAAACAATATAGCCAATAATTAACAAAATGACAAGGGTCGACGTTCCAAAGAGGGAAATGCAGATACCGGAAGATACAACAAGAATGGGAATAGCTATCAGAAGTCTCAAATAGTACGTCACGTAGGAGACAATCTTCTCCGGGGGTTGAGCGATTCCGGCAAGAAAGGTCCTGAAATCAGACCAGGCTCCTGACATTGATGGAAAAAATGAATACATCAGAAATCCTGTAGCTATGAACACGCCTGGAATTCCCAAAATCGCCAGTAATGAGAGTTCAAACTGAATCAGAAAGACCGACGACAGAACCGCTGATAGAACTGCAACACAAAATATGGATTTATGAATGTACATACAAAACAATGTAATGATGGGAAATATCACCCAGCATTTAGTAATCTGGCCTATATTTATGTACAATTGCTCATTGGGTTGGTTTCCAGAGAGCGACCGGGGCGCTTAAAATACCAAGGCGTATCACATATTATAATCCTGTCTACCTAGCCTGCAGATGCAACAAATCGGGAAGAGTTTACTACGAAATGTCGCCTCTTTCTATGAGAATTCGTCAGGAAATTTGATTCGCAAAGAAAGTCGCGACATTCCATGGCGCAGTCCAAATGTCTTTGGCTTGTGGGCTGCGTAGTACTTATAAATACCAGACGGATGGGGCTTTATTCTGAATTATTACAATTAAGAAGGCTCCCGCTAAAAGTCGAATTAAATCCAGAATCAAAATATCCTCGAGTAAAACAACATAATTAGTTGGATTATTCATGTTCGTGATTCTATAATTGAACTCCACCTTGACTTGCATTTACTCAAAAATTTATCCTACACAGGCTCGCGTCAGAATATTCAAGGTTTCCAACATATATAATTCCAGATTAATATTTAACCTTGTAAATACTCGAACTAAATCTAAAAATTTATGTTGTATTACATACATCCAAAAGCTCCTGAACTAGCCCATCGTATGTGGCTGACACGTCTTGATTCATTCTTCGTTTTAAAATTTCTGTAATATTGTCCAATTTCGCAGCCCAATATTTTATCGTATTCTGAAGCTATTTCAGGGTACGAGGCAATCCCTTCCCTCGCTCCTTTGACGTAGTCAAATGCCAACAACCTACACGATAAGTGAGCCTTCTCCAATTCTTCTGGGTCGATGTATAATAAATTTTGATCAAGTTTCTCCTCCATCCCTTTCACATACGAACCCAAAGCAATTTTATTGTCTTCCCTCGCCTTCTCCGTCATGATCAATTTTATCAGACTGGGAACTGTGAAATCCCTTCGGGTTTAACATTTGCTTGCAAAACATTGTCATAAAACTTTCAAATTCTGGATCAATGTCGGCATCGTTGTCAAACGTTTCCAGCTGGTCGCCTGGTTTTGGTAGAAGAAAAGCTGACATCGATCGGAAGCTGTTGGCTATAGCGGTTTTCGTCTTTGCATCCAGGCTGCATTTATTATTAGTATATGAATTTTGAAAAAATTTTCTTTCTCAATGATCGGGAGACTCTGATCATGCTTTCCCAATCTGAAATCTTGCGAGGCGAAATCCCTGATTAAAAAGACTAGTTCGGAAGCCTTCTCGTTTGCCAGGTTAGAAAATTGGATGAAATTTTCCAAAAATTGAAACTCATTTTCGTGAACTTGCTTCATGAAGTTGTAAATAATTGTGGACGAGAGTAGTGCATTTAAGGCGAATAATTTCGACTCCTCCGAAGCGTCGCTAGTCTGGTCAGAATTTCCCTGCGTGTCGAGAAGGATGACTGCAAACTCTTTTCCGTTTTCGTCGGTAATAAAGAATGGTTCGGGCCACACCCGGATCCCTTTCGTTACTGATTCAGTAGTGTTGCGAAAGACGAATTGTTTGTCTAATTTTCGTTTTAGAAATCCCTCCTCGCCTTTGAAGGTGTGATATTTTATGAAAGAGTTCAAAAGGTATGACTTTCCGGTCCGTATGAGCCTACAGATTGAAATGGTTGCAATTTCTCGGTCTCCAACTTTCTTCATTAAATTCTCAAATTCCGCTGTGTTGAATTCAAGTTTGTCGTTTTCCAATTTTGCTAACCAGACCGACCCCTCACTTGCGTGAGGCACCTCTGGGCTCCTCAGAATATTGTGCAAAAATTGCATTTTTCTCAGCGAATGCAGGGTGGGGCTCCCAAGCTGGTTCTGACGAGATGTAAGTGAATGTTGTTCAACAAATGTGTATGGATTTGGGCAGATTTATCAGCCTGGTTATTACCTTCATGCTCAATTATCAGTACACTAGCACATAAAACCCGTCATGCGATGTCTCAGTATTCACATACTCTTCACTCAGTGCAAAATTTAGACTAAACGTGCACTCAAAACAAAACGGTGTCAATATATGACTTAACCGCCTTTGTTACAATTGTGATTCCGAGTAGTAATGAAATTTTTCCATCCGGTCATAAGATTATAACTACCGGTATCAAAATCATCATAACTCGGATTCAACATTGTAACCAAGGCGGTTAAGTCATATATTGACACCGGCGGTGTTGATTCGACAAATTTTTATTTTTGTGAAGTTTGCCAAAACCACATGTTTAAGTAGTAAGCTATCTATTTTGACTCGCTGTTTACACTTTAACTTCAGGTTTTCTCGATTTCGTGACCTACATGCGGTACGATTGATCTCACTTAGCTCCACACGCGGAATGTTGAAATGAAGCGCGATGTTCAAATCGGACCGACAAATATGTACATAGACTTACTTATATATATGCCCTGACGTACATATTAGCATACTGGTTTCATAAACGTTACAACTGAGGAAAGGTATTCATGCATCGTGAATCTCTCTTCGGCCCCAAGAATTTAACCCCCGGACAGACTAACAACTACATACATATGTACATATTTAATAGTCCTACGATTTGACCGGCGCATATCAAAACCCTGTTGATACATACGATTGTTATCTTTCGGTTTGAACGGACAAACACATTATGCAAAGTCATTCACAGATAAATACTTATGTATTTGCCAAACGGCCAACATAACAATTCAGTTTTATTATCTAAATGCGAAGTACATACATACTTTGTTTTTATTGAGGATAAGTACGACAGAAAAAATTATCTGCAGGCTCCAGTCTGGCGATGCATATAACGCTCTAATTACTTGCCGACGGTCATCCTCTAATAAAAAAACTTTTATCAATACATTGAGCGTACTCACGTCAACCTTCGCATATCTCGCATATCTCGTAAATTGAGCATAGCAACATACCTTGCGAAGTTTTGCGAGATATGCGAGATTTCGCAAAAAATTTGCTGGAAAACCATGGGATTTTTTTCGCAAATTTACCCAGCAAGTGTCCCATTATCTCCAATTACACAAACAATTATATGTAAATTGACTATTCCCCAACCTCAGCAAATGGCCACATGAATTGATTGAATACATAGATATGTAAATATATATACGGTCGTTAATTACGTGACTAATTTTCGTGTATGTATGTACGTACGCATAAGTTTTCGCGAGTCTCATGAGGAGACTCTCATCCTCCCCTGTATATCAATAATCCGCAATATAATATTAATATTGTTCACTAACAATGGAACCTTTTTTCAAGCTACACGAGATAAGCTTAGTGACATATGCTAAAAAATCAAGCTAAAAATTATAAATGACGTGGTACTTATCTTTCGGTTGAATGGGCACTTGGAGGTCAAATATTTGAGGGCAAAGTTCACAGTAGCGGCCTGTTTTTTTCTCAAGCGGGTGAGCGGAGGAGTGAAAATTTTCTCCTTCGAAGTCACTCTCGCACGCTCGCACTTCATTCAATGCATATTATTTTTGACAAAATTTCACAATCTCGTAAATTGGTGTATACATTCATCTAATTTTATATTTTCTTTTTAAAATCCTACTATCCACCGATCCGTAATAAAAAAGTGCCGATAGGTTCAATAAATTATTATTATTTATATTATAAATTAAAATTACTTACTGGGCCCACTGTAACTGTAAGTTGCTGTTTTCTTCGAAACCACTAGAGATAATGAAAATCTGATGATTGCATTGGATTCCCCGTGCGATTTTGCATAAGTTCCATGAATCAGTTTTTTACTACTTGCAAAGCAAATTCTAATAGAAAATATTGAATGGAAGCCGGCGGCGAAAATTTTTCATTACAAAAATGGGGAGAGAAATGGCGAATTTTAAAAGTGTGATAGGAATGGAACGAACAGTATAATTTAGTCCAACAGACTATAAAAACGTTTATGGGGACCGGGTGGACTAAGAACAGTCGAAGAAATAATTTTTGAAATCCTACAAGGACCACACCCATCATGAAGCCGCTGAAGGCTGGAATCCGAAGAAATTCACGAAATTCCAAAGGAAACCAGCCTCACAGATGACAGTGTCGATCCAAATTACCCAATGAGTGCTCAAATTGAAGCTTAGACTTAGGACTTTGAAATGTGGTACTTGCCACATCCTGATCGTACCCCAAAGGAAAACCAGATTAAAGAATTGCAGGAGTCACCTCAAGCGGTACGCACCAAAAAGGTGAGCAGGATTCTTTTTACAAATGAGGAGATTTTCACATCGAAAAAATCTTTTAACAAGCGAATTGGCCTAATCCTCGCATAATCGGTCAGAGACATTCCCCGATATAGACAAAAGGTCAGAAAGTCACATTATCCATGTTTTTTGATGATTTTGGGTGGTGGGAGCTAATTGGGGTAATTTCTCTACATTTTGCTGAAAATCGGGGGGAGGTGGGGAAATCAAATTTCTTAAAATATGTTTTTGAGTCCGTGGTACATCCCCCAAGTGAGATCCAATTCATTGAAGTCGATTAGCCCTTGCAGTAGGACTAGGCATTTGCTTATAGTGCAAAAATGACCCAAGCGTGAGTAAAAAACAAAATTCCGAACTTTTCTTTCACTTGGAAATGGTAATTCTACTTTCAGGATTTGAATCTCCGGATTATAAAAAATGGTCAAAGTTAGGGTCAAACGTGTGTTCTAAGTCTCGTAGAAGTGTAGAGATCCGAAAAAATTTTTTGACCACGGAATGGAACACTATGCCCAGGAATTAGTGCGTGCTTCAGCAAAGAACTGCAGGCGGTTTCTTCAGCACTGCATTAATGGCGGAGGAGGAAATTTCAACAACTAAAAATTGTTTTCTACTCAGAAATTAACTGGCTTTCAGTTAAAATTAACGAGAAATTTGTAACATAAAAACTGTTGTAGCCACAGGGTTTCATTTCACTTACAGTTTCAGTGGGCCACCTAGTATAAATCGAATATTATCCTCGAAAACCTCAGAGATGACTACTAAAAATTATAACTGCGTCTAATAATTTAATTAATGTATTAATTAATTAGAAATCACAATCCTTAAAGTTGACTTATTTTTATTGCCACATTTCGTTGTATATTTTTGGAAATGCATAATGATTGCATACTAGTAACGAAACTAGGGCCAGAGTGAAGGGATCGGAGTGACCTCGAAGGAGAAAATTTTCACTCCTCCGCTCGCCCGCTTGAGAAAAAAGCAGGCCGCTACTGTGAACTTTGCTCTCAAATATTTGACCTCAAAGTGCCCATTCAACGGAAAGATAAGTACCACGTCATTTCTTATTTCTAGCTTGATTTTTTAGCATATGTCACGAAGCTTATCTCGTGTAGTTTGAAAAAAGGTTCCATTGTAAGAGGTGAAAACCCATTTATGGGAATGTCATGTCTGTCTGGCTGTCCGTCCGTATCCACAATATCTTTAGAACGGATTCGAATTTCGACATCCGGTTTTCGCCAACGTTTCTCTAATGTTTGTATTCGAAGCAATATGTAATCAAAGAGGAAACATAACATAATGCACAAACCAATCAGCACAGCTTTGCTTAGCCCGAACCAGGATTGATTTGTAAAACCATTTTTGTCACTAGTTTTTATAAAATTATGTGCTACGCTACTGTTTTTCACTAATTCTTGTCTTAACGGACGTCAATTCTTCGTGTGCATTAATATTTATTTTTTTATTTTTGACCTTGTCTCTGACTACAATGTCAGTCACCTCAAGTGCCCTTCTGATTACTTTTGGCTTATAATTAACTTCAAAATATTTTAAGAAAGCACTGTAGTGCTTTCTTAGTTCTTCTTTCAATTTGAAACAGAAATCCTTAGAAGGATTTCTGTTTCAAATTGCATTCTTCCATGTTAATTTCAGAAAATCGGCGGGGGTCACCCCATAGGGTCGTAGCATCAAATCTTTGACATTTACGAAACCCTGATGTCAGAACACGAATTCCTTACATAGACAAATTTGATTTTAAATTTGATTTTTTTATTAAAACAATTTATTTTATAAGTATGTATGCCGAGCAGAATATCACGACATATCATGAAAATTTAATTTAGTATGAATACATTCATAAGTATACCATTAAGAACTTTTTCTACAGATTTATTTTTCCAGACAAGATATCTTCACCTAATTTTACCAAGAAACATATTTAGAAATCAATATTTTTTTAATTATGTCTGCATTAACTTTTCATTTCCTCCTAATCACGTCGCATCTATCCCCACCCGCCTCCTCCACATCTGCCGCCGAGTTGAGAGCAACCAACGCTACGTCGGAAGCGTGGGTTCACCTCAAACCCGACAGGTTCCACCAGGGAGTCCCCTTGAAGCTCTAAAAGAATTAGGTATATAAGTTTCAACTTTTGAATTTTCGGCGCCAATTTTTTAATAAATACCTAGTCCCATCGCCTCGCCCAGGACAGCGTTCACCTCAACAACGGCAACGACCAACAAGAAAATTGTGGCCAAGCATTTCTTCATGTCTGTGGCGAAAATGAGGAAATTTTAACAATTTCCAAATTTTAGTCTTTTAGAAATTAATTTCTTGACTTACCGTTTCGAGAAAGTTGTTAAACAGGATGTGCCCCTTTTTTCGAAAAGAAGTCTAGTATGAACTTCCATAGTGACTGAGCTACACTCAAAACAAAACGGTGTCAATATATGACTTAACCGCCTTGGTTACAATTGTGATTCCGAATTGTAATGAATTTTTTCCGTCCGGTCATAACATTATAACTACCGGTATCAAAATCATCAAAACTCAGATTCAACATTGTAACCAAGGCGGTTAAATCATATATTGACACCGGCGGTGTTGATTCGACGAATTTTTATTTTGAGTGTACATTTTATACCACGGAGAACAAGGTTTTCTACGATTGACACTACCGAAAGGAAGGAAGTCATCAAGTCTCACAAAAAGTAAGGGTCCATTAACTTCTAACTTTTGCATTGTCTCGAAATCGCGGGTTACGTAAGAAAATTATGAATTTGCATA